GTCCAGTAGGGGCGGGTAAGAACGTTACAACAACAACAACAAACAGTACAAAAAAAACAGTCGTGCAAAGTACAAGGAAGGTGAACCGCCCAAAAACACGTTCTCCTGCGGAGGGAGCTGGTAGGAACGTCGGGTTGCTCGGTCAATGGCCAGGGTCAACGGCGGCACCACGTGGTGGTGTATTCCGCAAATATGCCCGACTGTGAGGACGGGCTTGGCGGCTTATAATGTAGAGATAGCAGCCGCCATACTCCAAACGCATGTTGTGGATTCTCCACGTGGAGGAGGAAATGTCGTGAAGATGGCCGCACGTGGTTGGTGGCCGCCCAGCCCTTCGCGTGTGCCGTGGCCGCCTTCCCCACACTACATTATCAGTGGCGTAGTGACTACATTATCAGTGGTGTAGTAACTACATTATCAGTGGTGTAGTGACTACATTATCAGTGGCGTAGTGACTACATTATCAGTGGCGTAGTGACTACATTATCAGTGGTGTAGTAACTACATTATCAGTGGTGTAGTAACTACATTATCAGTGGTGTAGTGACTACATTATCAGTGGTGTAGTAACTACATTATCAGTGGCGTAGTGACTACATTATCAGTGGTGTAGTGACTACATTATCAGTGGCGTAGTGACTACATTATCAGTGGTGTAGTGACTACATTATCAGTGGTGTAGTGACTACATTATCAGTGGTGTAGTGACTACATTATTATTGGTGTAATAACTACATTATCAGTGGTGTAGTGACTACATTATCAGTGGCGTAGTGACTACATTATCAGTGGTGTAGTAACTACATTATCAGTGGCGTAGTGACTACATTATCAGTGGTGTAGTGACTACATTATCAGTGGTGTAATAACTACATTATCAGTGGTGTAGTCACTACTTTATCAGTGGCGTAGTGACTACATTATCAGTGGTGTAGTGACTACTTTATCAGTGGTGTAGTAACTACATTATCAGTGGCGTAGTGACTACATTATCAGTGGTGTAGTAACTACATTATCAGTGGCGTAGTGACTACATTATCAGTGGTGTAGTGACTACATTATCAGTGGTGTAGTAACTACATTATCAGTGGCGTAGTGACTACATTATCAGTGGTGTAGTAACTACATTATCAGTGGTGTAGTAACTACATTATCAGTGGTGTAGTAACTACATTATCAGTGGCGTAGTAAACTACATTATCAGTGGTGTAGTAACTGCATTATCAGTGGCGTAGTAAACTACATTATCAGTGGTGTAGTCACTACATTATCAGTGGTGTAGTGACTACATTATCAGTGGTGTAGTAACTACATTATCAGTGGTGTAATAACTACATTATCAGTGGTGTAGTAACTACATTATCAGTGGCGTAGTGACTACATTATCAGTGGTGTAGTGACTACATTATCAGTGGTGTAGTGACTACATTATCAGTGGTGTAGTAACTGCATTATCAGTGGCGTAGTAAACTACATTATCAGTGGTGTAGTAACTACATTATCAGTGGCGTAGTGACTACATTATCAGTGGTGTAGTAACTACATTATCAGTGGTGTAGTAACTACATTATCAGTGGCGTAGTGACTACATTATCAGTGGTGTAGTAACTACATTATCAGTGGTGTAGTAACTACATTATCAGTGGTGTAGTAACTACATTATCAGTGGCGTAGTAAACTACATTATCAGTGGTGTAGTAACTGCATTATCAGTGGCGTAGTAAACTACATTATCAGTGGTGTAGTCACTACATTATCAGTGGTGTAGTGACTACATTATCAGTGGTGTAGTAACTACATTATCAGTGGTGTAATAACTACATTATCAGTGGTGTAGTAACTACATTATCAGTGGTGTAGTAACTACATTATCAGTGGCGTAGTGACTACATTATCAGTGGTGTAGTGACTACATTATCAGTGGTGTAGTGACTACATTATCAGTGGTGTAGTGACTACATTATCAGTGGCGTAGTGACTACATTATCAGTGGTGTAATAACTACATTATCAGTGGCGTAGTGACTACATTATCAGTGGTATAGTGACTACATTATCAGTGGTGTAGTGACTACATTATCAGTGGCGTAGTGACTACTTTATCAGTGGCGTAGTGACTACATTATCAGTGGTGTAGTGACTACATTATCAGTGGCGTAGTGACTACATTATCAGTGGTGTAGTAACTACATTATCAGTGGTGTAGTAACTACATTATCAGTGGCGTTGTGACTACATTATCAGTGGCGTAGTGACTACATTATCAGTGGTGTAGTAACTACATTATCAGTAACGTAGTAACTACATTATCAGTGGTGTAGTAACTGCATTATCAGTGGCGTAGTAAACTACATTATCAGTGGTGTAGTGACTACATTATCAGTGGTGTAGTAACTACATTATCAGTGGTGTAGTAACTACATTATCAGTGGCGTTGTGACTACATTATCAGTGGCGTAGTGACTACATTATCAGTGGTGTAGTAACTACATTATCAGTAACGTAGTAACTACATTATCAGTGGTGTAGTAACTGCATTATCAGTGGCGTAGTAAACTACATTATCAGTGGTGTAGTGACTACATTATCAGTGGTGTAGTAACTACATTATCAGTGGTGTAGTAACTACATTATCAGTGGTGTAGTGACTACATTATCAGTGGTGTAGTGACTACATTATCAGTGACGTAGTAACTACATTATCAGTGGTGTAGTAACTACATTATCAGTGGTGTAGTGACGACATTATCAGTGGTGTAGTGACGACATTATCAGTGGTGTAGTAACTACATTTTCAGTGGTGTAGTGACGACATTATCAGTGGTGTAGTGACTACATTATCAGTGGCGTAGTAACTACATTATCAGTGGTGTAGTAACTACATTATCAGTGGTGTAGTAACTACATTATCAGTGGTGTAGTGACTACATTATCAGTGGTGTAGTGACTACATTATCAGTGGTGTAGTGACGACATTATCAGTGGTGTAGTGACTACATTATCAGTGGCGTAGTAACTACATTATCAGTGGTGTAGTAACTACATTATCAGTGGTGTAGTAACTACATTATCAGTGGTGTAGTAACTACATTATCAGTGGCGTAGTAACTACATTATCAGTGGTGTAGTAACTACATTATCAGTGGTGTAGTGACTACATTTTCAGTGGTGTAGTGACTACATTATCAGTGGTTTAGTAACTACATTATCAGTGGTGTAGTGACTACATTATCAGTGACGTAGTAACTACATTATCAGTGACGTAGTGACTACATTATAAGTGGTGTAGTGACTACATTATCAGTGGTGTAGTGACTACATTATCAGTGGTGTAGTAACTACATTATCAGTGGCGTAGTAACTACATTATCAGTGGTGTAGTGACTACATTATCAGTGGTGTAGTGACTACATTATCAGTGGCGTAGTAAATACATTATCAGTGGTGTAGTAACTACATTATCAGTGGTGTGACTGCGTTATCAGTGGTGTAGTAACTACATTATCAGTGGTGTAGTGACTACATTATCAGTGGTGTAGTGACTACATTATCAGTGGTGTAGTGACTACATTATCAGTGGTGTAGTGACTACATTATCAGTGGTGTAGTGACTACATTATCAGTGGTGTAGTGACTACATTATCAGTGGTGTAGTGACTACATTATCAGTGGTGTAGTGACTACATTATTAGTGGTGTAGTAACTACGTTATCAGTGGTGTAGTTACTACATTATCAGTGGTGTAGTGACTACATTATTAGTGGTGTAGTAACTACATTATCAGTGGTGTAGTGACTACATTATTAGTGGTGTAGTAACTACGTTATCAGTGGTGTAGTTACTACATTATCAGTGGTGTAGTGACTACATTATTAGTGGTGTAGTAACTACATTATCAGTGGTGTAGTGACTACATTATCAGTGGTGTCGTGACTGCGTTATTAGCTCAGGGGGTGCGTCGATCGGTCAGGTGAGGACCCAATATTTGATGTCTCTTAATGGTGGCTGTCAAGGGTGCCCCCAACTGGTATCTTTGGCCACGCTCGTTACGCTGCTGCACAGAACGCCTCTCCACGTGGCAGTCGTACAAACGAACTCTGTTCCTCCGAGGGGCCGTCCATAAATGACGTCACGCACCTGGGGGGGGGGGGTCAGACATTTGTGACGATGTGTGACGAGGGAGGGGGGGGTTGAAAATGTGACGTCACATCAAAATGCGCAACTTTAAATAAATACAGACAACACGTTCTACGTAATTAAATAGACTTTTTAATAAACCAAAAATTCTCCTACAACATCAGAGTGCAGCGCCACATTAAGTACGCACTACAATGACAATAGTTTAAAGCGATTTGAAGCAATTTTTTTTTTGGATGTGGTGGGGTCAAAAATCGTACAAAATTGCGTGACGTCATTTATGGACGGCCCCTGAGTGACTCAACGTGGAGCACGTGGACCAAGAACCAGATGCTAGAGAGTGGACGGTGGCTAAATGTTCACTCCCTCGCCTGGTATGCAGGAGGTCATGGGTTCGACCCTGACCCTGACGCCTGCTGCTGTATGTTTGGCGTTTGCGTGTCTCTCTGCTCGTGGTCGCGTGGAGCTCCAGGTTTTCCCTCCACATGTATCAACAACAACACAACGCGTTTAAAGCATTAGGCTTCTGCTATAGATTCCCACGTGATAATAAGCCACTTCGCTGAGTGTATCATTAGTGGCGGTAAATTAATTGAAGATCATAAGACATCTGGACCACCCTGTACACTAGCAGATCATTACGTCATCGTTCTTTGTCGTCCCGCGCGATGACGTCATCGTTTCCTCGTGACGACGTCATCGTTTCCTCGCGATGACGTCATCGTTTCCTCGCGATGGCGTCATCGTTTCCTCGCGATGGCGTCATCGTTTCCTCGCGATGACGTCATCGTTTCCTCGCGTCCTCGCGATGACGTCATCGTTTCCTCGCGATGACGTCGTCGTTTCCTCGCGATGACGTCGTCGTTTTCTCGCGATGACGTCGTCGTTTTCTCGCGATGACGTCGTCGTCTCCGCGCGATGACGTCGTCGGCGGGACGTGGTGACGAAACGACGCCAGCTTCCGTGCTTTTTTTTCCTTCCTCAGCGCCCGGAGCGGAGATGGCGCGCGACCACCGCGGTGAGACGATCGCCTCGACACCACCAGCCACCACCGCCACCAGCCACCACCAGCCACCACCACCGCCACCAGCCACCACCACCAGCAGCCACCACCAGCCACCAGCTACCACCACCGCCGCCACCACCTGCCACTACCACCAGCCACCAGCAGCCACCAGCCACCACCGCCACCAGCAGCCGCCACCAGCAGCCACCACCACCACGCACCCCCTTAGATACACCAACATCGCCCACCACACGGAGTGTACTGGGTGAGAGTTTTCAAGTTTAATTTACTAGGTATAGCCCTGTGAGCCATGCGGCTCTTAAGTCGGGTGCAACCGCAACAAACAAAACTTGAACACAGAACATCTTAAAGCGACAACGCGTAACAGAAACATCCTGGAATAAACCAGCAAATATTCCACACAAAAAAACTTATTAAAACGCTGCGTGCAAAAATCACAATGTGGTGCAAGCCAACAACAACTATAAGACAATTTAGATTAACCGTGTTCCCCACAAGGCGCTTGCTCGCTTCTATACCGCTGAAGCTACCTACGCCACATCCATCCATCTCGAGCCTTGTTCATCATACCGTATATATATATTTAAAGATATAAAACAAATATAAACCTGTTCATACCGGTTATATGAAGATAAGCAAGAATGTTACACTCCCAAGCCAGCCATAGCAGCGGTCTGGACAATACAGAGTTGAGACCCCTATGAGATGTTAACTACCTCGCGTGGTGTACAGGAGGTCTGTGTCTCTCATCATCATCACGGTGGCTAGGAGATGTTGACTACCTCGCCTGGTGTACAGGAGGTCTGTGTCTCTCATCATCATCACGGTGGCTAGGAGATGTTGACTACCTCGCCTGGTGTACAGGAGGTCTGTGTCTCTCTCCCATCATCACGGTGACTAGGAGATGTTAACTACCTCGCCTGGTGTACAGGAGGTCTGTGTCTCTCTCTCATCATCATCACGGTGGCTAGGAGATGTTAACTACATCGCTGGGTGTACAGGAGGTCTGTGTCTCATCATCACGGTGGCTATGAGATGTTAACTACCTCGCCTGGTGTACAGGAGGTCTGTGTCTCTCTCCCATCATCATCACGGTGGCTAGGAGATGTTGACTACCTCGCCTGGTGTACAGGAGGTCGTGGGTTCGATCCCAACCCTGACACCTGCTGCTGTATATTTTGAAGTTTGCATTGTATGGTAACGCATGCATTCAATGGATTGCGATCAAACTTCAGGTAGAGCATTCGTCTCGTGAGTAGTCAGTCCATCGACCAACCATTTATGAAGAGTCCATTGCTGTTTTTGATGTACAGCGTTAATGACGCATTCAATTCGCGAACTAAGTTCTATGATTGTGCATGAGAAGGTTTATGTACACCCAAATTATATGCTGTGCATTCGCATAAAAATGTGAATAGCTCAAATGAAGCGTAACAACAATGACTCTGTAGAAGCAACAGTTTTCTACTCTGTATGGAAGTATTGACTGCTGAGTTTAAATTAATGTCTGCATTTTTTCCCTTCTAGATTCCTTCAGTGGCAATTACATTTCAAGATGTGATGGTTATGATTACAGAGAGACTGGCTTGAGGGATCGTCACCAAGGCGTGTACCGAGGTATGACCTCATGCTTGTCAACCCGTTATTACAGACCAATTCAGACCTTATTGGTCATCCCGTGCCCTTATACATCTCAACGTTCATCCTTCAAAGTCCCATCACAAGGGAGAAACACAAACAAATAGACACAAATTCTGATAGTTTTGCCCGTATTAAAATGGCTGCACACCGTATGGACCTGAAAACTCAATTTCCCTTTACAAGAATACGGGGTACACGTTATGGTTTGACACAGGTATGTGACCTTGATGTCTCCGCGATGTTTGTATTACAGTCGAGTTTCCACGAGTCACTGAGGGTTTGGGCAGAAATGTATTCCAAAAGTTTATGGGTTCTCATTTATGCCGTGGGTAAATGACACAGTTCAGTTGTGTTACTTCTCAGAACACCAAGTACGTGTGTAATGACAGGGTTACACCTGCTGACACGACGAAGTGACACCTGCTGGCCTGGGAAGGGAATCACGGGTACGGCCACAGAGGTAACAGCCAATCAGGGAATGAGGCGTATCTGGGGCAAAGGTAACAGGTGGGGCTAGCCGAGATGCTCTGGGGACCTGCTCGAAGTTTCCATGAGAGGGCGTGGCCAGAGGCGGGGCTTAGCCACGCCTGGGGGGGATATAAGGGGGAAGCGGGCTCGTGTGTGGGGTCCTGAGTCATGGCGTGTCGCTGTTCACCGACATCTCTCTGCGTCGTCCGGTCACGTGGAAGATCTCCTGCGTGGGTTCCATCGCCGTCACGCCGCCAGCCAGCGGCGGAGACGAGAGAGGGCGAGGGGACCCCGCCGAGTGATCGGCTGTGCGTGTAGCCGGTAGAGGTGTTATTGCCTAGGGTTATATTCAGTGTGAGGAAGAACCAGCGTTGGCCTGTGTTGTGCCCAGTGTGAGAAATGCAAAAACATGAGCTATCAAAGTGGACGGTTACACCGTGCATAAATGGTTCGCTTCATTGGTCAGTGTGGCTGTGTGATGGTCGGATATGCAACGTTGCGCTATTGTCCTTCCCACGCACCTCCGATTAGCACGGTTGGTCACATACGCTGCCAAAGAAGTTCAACATACATATGAGGAATGAGTTTCAGACTTTTTTTATTGCATTAAAGATAAATATGGGATACGGGAGGACATCCCGACTCGACGTACACCTGTTTTTACCGATTCATTAATTAAGAGTGCTTGTTTCACTTAGAATATACGCATTGTGATTATGCATGGATTAAGCGATTTGCAGCTCGTGTAAATTGTATGCTGGCCATTCTGTAAGTGTAAAATTCTGAAAACTGAGCGTAAGTTGGGTGCAAAAAGTACATTCAGTTCGTTGGTGCTGCTGTCTTTTTGCATCTTTGTTGATTTTTTCGTGGTGCAGAGGATGTAGGGCCGCCAGACGACCAACGTGAAACCTACAGCACTGCAGCCAGCCTTCTGACAACTATGATAAAGATCATCAAGTCTGATCACCCAGCCGATCACCCTGGTATGACTTTTTTGACATCTGAAATGTTTTGTTCTCTAAAGTCAGATCGATTGATAGAGGGCCGTACGACAACAACAACACGTCTTGAAATCTATTTAGATTATTTTGCTGTTTCTTCCTTTTTACTTTCACGAGTTATTTTTAGGCCAAGTGTCTGCTACTGAGTCTTGTACAGCGCTCGCTCCGAGATTCTTGATGAAAGGCGAAATATACATTTAATAATTAATAACAACAGCCAGAATGGTCATCTACGGTTGTCTGTGTTTATCTTGCACATGAATTATATGCAGTATTTTTTATGCAGATGTAAAACTTCTCATTCACAAATCTCAGTGTCCATAGTGAGGCCAGAGCTGGTGTGAGATTAGCCAGTCATCTTCATCACAGTTGATTGTGATGATGATGGAGACAGTTTGGGGAAGCCTTGATCCACGAGGAGACAAATGCGGTTGCTGCTGATATGATGAAAACGTGTAAAGAAAAGTGAAAATGATTTCCTGCCCAAATGAGCATTGAGGTATTGGTGCTCATCTCCTGTTAACAGCCCTGAGCTACTGGTGGTCATTCCTCATTCCTACACAACGTGGTACTTATTATGTTATACACCCCAGAAGGATGATGGGTCAACCCAAATGTGTCTATATTTACTTACATATATGTATGTGTATATACGTACACAATCATGTTATGTATATATATACCATCACATTATGTACATATGTGTTATATTATGTATATATAATACTCTTTGGTTCTATTCGGTAAAGTCACGTAGGTAAAAAATAAAACAACAAAAATCACGACGTTTCGGCCACAACACAAGTGGCCTTCATCAGGTGAAGGGACCAGACTGTCCCAAGGACAGCGTTGGAGTGAACACAGCCAAGCTCAGACCGCGACCTTTAAGCTGTGTGAGAGGAATCAAGGTGCCTTGACAAAGGAATTAGCATAAAAAATAGAATTTAATTGGCAGACTTAGCATGATGAACGGTGTAGAGGGGGTAAACATGTGCAGGTCGGCGACGGGGGGAGGGGGTGTTTACATATTGATGGTGTGAAAAGGGAATTTTAAGAGCTGCGAAAGTTTGGGGTACCACTACTTGAAAAAATATATACTGTACCATTGAAAATTAGTTTAATGTTTGGTTAGATTTAGAACATCTTTCCAATGGTTGCTTAATTTGAAACCATCTTCTCGGTTGAAATTGTCTGTATTTGTAAATCTGAATTGCCTCGTGAACAAATCTCTGATAAAAACCCGTGGGTTTGCAAAGAACCTTGGTATCGGAGAAAATTATATCGTGATCACCCACAGTGTTGTAACAGTGATCAGCTACGGCAGAAGAATTCGTTCTGCCGTGTTTCAAATCTGATTTGTGCTCGCGAATTCGGTCGGAAACATGTCGCTTCGTCTCCCCGATATAGCAATCACCACAGGTACAACTCAATTTGTAAACCCCGGGGTACTGTAAGTCAGGAATGACATCCTTCACGGATGGGATCAGATCACGAATTTTGTGTACTGTATTGAGCCGGACCTGGATCTTGTGTTTGTTTAGAATTTTGGAAATCTTTTTAGTAACGCCTGCTATATATGGTAGTGTGATGGTTTTGACCGGAGTATCAAGTGGTAAAATTTTGATTTAAAGCTTTCGTGACTGCAGTAATTCATATTCTTAGCTCTTTTGGTTAAGTCAAGTTGAAGGGAAACAATAAAATAATAAAATATATATAAAACAATACAAATTCTCACGACGTTTTGACCATAACACAAACGGTCGTCATCAGGTGTGTCGGTTTGCATAAATTTATTTATTTATTTTTGGGCGGTGTATTTATTTATAAAAAACGTCAGCGCCACGCGCAGCGATTTGGCAGTTTATTTAGAAGGACGAGTCCATCTATGTTCTGAAAATAGGAGGGGGTAGACAAAAAATGTATGTATGTTGTCTGAAAACCACTGTAAGCGTGAACAATCAATTAAGACCTGAAATGGTTAATCAAATCTTTCCAATGATTGCTAAGCCAGATTCCATCTTCTCGGTTGAAATTGTCTCTATGTGGATAGCCTCATGAATGAATCTCTCATGGTAGCCAGATGGCTTACAAAGAACCTCTGTCTTGGAAAAGTCAATGTCATGTGAGCCTACTGAATTATAACAATGATCTACCACGGCCGAGGTGTTGGTTCTACCGTGTTTAAGGTCTGCTTTGTGTTCACGAATGCGGTCCGAGACATGGCGTTTGGTTTCTCCAATGTAACTACTACCACAGAGGCAACTTAGTTTGTAGACACCAGGGTACTACTGTATGTCCGGAATAACATATTTTACAGACGGAACCAGATCACGGATTTTATGTAATGTGTTGAAACGGACCTGGATCTTGTGTTTATTCAAGATTTTGGAGATCTTTTTTGTGATCCCCGTAATGTAGGGTAAAGTGATGGTTTTGAAAGGCTCCTCAAGAGGGTCCTTCATGGTTTGAGTGGTAGCTTTGCGGATTGTATAGTCGGAGTAGCCATTAGCCTTAAGAGCTTGGTGTACGTGCTTGAGTTCACTGCCTATGTGTTCCTGGTCGGATATGCATTGGGCTCTATGGTACAGAGTCTTGATGAGAGAATTCTTCTGTGATGGATGGTGGTGGGAATCCGGTTTCAGATAAGCATCCGTATGGGTAGCTTTCCTGTAGACAGAGTGGCTCATTGAACCATCAGGTCTCTTTTTTATTAGGACATCCAAAAAACCGTCGTGAGTATTTTTATTGTTTTTTATATATGTTTTATTATTTTATTGTTTCCCTTCAACGTGACTTTACCGAAAGAGCTAAGAATATCAAGTGGTTGTTTCTATATGGAGGGAGAAACAGCTTGGCGGATGGTACGGTCAGAGTATCCATTCCTTTTGAGGGTCAGGTGTACATGTTTTAATTCACTGGTCAGGTGATGTTGGTCCGAAATGCAATGAGCTCTATGGTATAAAGTTTTGATGAGATAATTATTTTGAGCTGGGTGGTGGTGGGAATCAGGTTTCAAGTAGGAATCTGTGTGGGTGGGTTTCCTGTAGACAGAATGCCCCAATGAGCCATCAGGTCTCCTCTCAAATAGAAATCGAACCAAACATTAAACTAATTTTCAATGGTAGAGTATATTTTTTTTCAAGTAGTGGTACCCCAAACTTTCACAGCTCTTAAAATTCCCTTTTCACACCATCAATAGGTAAACTCCCCCTCCCCGACCTGCACATGTTCACCCCCTCTACACCGTTCATCATGCTAAGTCCGCCAATTAAATGCTATTTTTTATGCTAATTCCTTTGTCAAGGCACCTTGATTCCTCTCACACAGCTTAAAGGTCGCGGTCTGAGCTTGGCTGTGTTCACTCCAGCGCTGTCCTCGAGACAGTCTGGTCCCTTCACCTGATGAAGGCCGCTTGTGTTGTGGCTGAAACGTCGTGATTTTTGTTGTTTTATTTTTTTACCTACGTGACTTTACCGAATAGAACCAAAGAGTATGGATCCTTGCAGTCACGAAAGCTTCAAATCTACAAATTATATATACATAGTGTGATTGTGTTGAAATGTTATCACTTGTCTATGGCTTTATTGTTAGTTTTTGGTTAGTCACTGGCAAGTGAATGCTCTTTGTCCGTACAGGTGGTGAATTTCAGGACATGGGCCCACAAGACCAAGGGTAAGTGCCGAAACAAATACATTTTTCTTAAAAACACACATTCAGCTTGATACTCGCTTGTCTTAGAATATTACAAGATTAAAATCACGCTTTGTATTTACAATGAAAATGCCGCATTTGTGTTTTTTTCATCAAACATTGATCTTATATTCTTGTTAACATTTATTACTTTGTAAATTAACATCCTTCTCTGCTAGATTTGTATACTCAAGTATTGTGTATTATTTGAAGTATTTAAACATCACTGTTTTTAGGGTGCCGTTCAAAATCCAATTTGGCTATTGTCAAGGTCATGTCTCCTGGTCTTCATTTCCCTGTTAAAGTGAAGCAGCAGTGCAAGTGTAATGACAGTAGGGTCAACCTACGGTGCGAATGGACTGGTGGCTACGGGAGGTAATGACAAGGGATTCAGCGTGCAGTGCTACGGGAATGATCGAGAATAGGGGTGTGGCCAGGTGACGTAAGAGGACAGGAGTAGAACGTGTGTGGTCTCGGGCCAGCGTGCAGGTTCGAGAATAAGGGCGTGGCCACGGACAAGGGCGTGGCTACGCACCGAAAATATGGAGAATAGGCAGGAGGCTCGGGGCTGCCTGGAGTGGGGTCTCTGCCTGTTCAAGTGTTTGTGTTCTTCAATAAAGAAACCATCTCAAGACAATTGGGTCCCAGTCATTACACAAGTTTTAAAGACAGTCCCTCGATATTTCCTGGGTGCTCAACGGAGCTGAACAGTGAATCACCGTCAATGCATTGAGTCAGAGGGTCGGCATAGAGGCAGCGAAGAGGAGGAGGCGAATCCTGAACCACCTGGAAATGTGAACATACAACAGTGAGATTCTCAGCCGTTGACTTTTCCCATTAAAGGTAACACATTGAGGAGGAGGGTCTGATTACATTAAACTTAAACTTCATTTTTCCATCTGCATATTGAGTGGCACCCTTAGGTTTGTGTAGAAAAAGAGCGTCTTAATAATTAGTTGCGTGAGAGTCGCAACTTAAATGTCAACAAATACCTATTTACATTAGGCGCTCCGGACTGTTTGCTCCCGCATGTTTTTTTGGCATCGTTGTGGTTCACCGTGCTTTGTAGATTGTAATTTCATTATTATGTTATGTTGCGGTGCTTGCCCTGTTTGGAAGGGTTGTGAATCTTAACCAAACAGATTGTCAATTTATATTCAAAAACATACTTTACCCTTTCTGGCATAACTACAGGTGTTAGATGTTCAAACAACAAATAGATTTCTATTACAAGGCATCAAGCCTGCATTAACTATGCATTCTTGTGGTGATGCAGAGAACGCAATGCAGAGAATGTATTTATGCTAAAAAAATAATTCTGATACAGTTCACTTCTGTATAAAATAAGGAAGTTGTACTGGAAGTTTTACAAGGCATCAAGCCTGCATTAACTATGCATTCTTGTGGTGATGCAGAGAATGCAATGCAGAGAATGTATTTATGCTAAAAAATAATTCTGATACAGTTCACTTCTGTATAAAATAAGGAAGTTGTACTGGAAGTTTTACAGCGATTTACAAAAATAAAGGATTACTGAATCTATTAGAAGTGTTGAACACCACAGTACTGCCATTGGATTTATAAAGACTTATGTAATCCACACGACAGCGCTAAAACAATTACTTCACAATGTGAGAAAGGTGAATCTCACAGGGCTCTGTGTCTGATGCAGACAACACTTTGATGTTTTTGAGACAAAAACGTGTTCCTCTTCTCAGAGCGGGTTTCAGGAAATGTTCACAGGAGTCTCCGTGCATACTCGTTAACAGTTTAGAAAAAAAATGCCCTTTAATACTTGTGTGTGAGATATCAAAAGAAACATAATAAACTAACGTATTTAAATATTGATGGCACAATATGACACCATGAAGATTTGAAAATGAGAAGAAAATTCCGGATGAGATTTTATCAAAATGTGATCATATTAAAAAAATTTAAAGGACACAAATATCTGAAACCGATGCAGAGTGAACAATTCTGCGCTCGCCACTCCGCAGCGGAATCTGCGTGCGAGTCGTTCACAGCGGCGAAGGTTCGCGTAGCGGCTCCCATGCTCTCGCCCTGCTCATCCTCCGATCCCGCGACACACAAAAGATGAGACAACCGGTAGCAGTTGGGGTGCAGTCTTTGGCCTCCAACATAGGACTGCCACTCAGACATGGGCCTACACAGGCACAGTAGCACACGGTCACACGGCACGCCGTCCGTCAGCATGGTCATCCTTGGACACAAAGGACGAGGACAAGAAGCTCAGAATGTGCATAACTATTTAGTTCCAAAAAAATCCAGAAATGTTCACGTCTTAGTGGCTTCAAGGCAGATTCCAAAAATGTTCACGTCTTAGTGGCTTCAAGGCAGATTCCAGAAATGTTCACGTCTTAGTGGCTTCAAGGCAGATTCCAGAAATGTTCACGTCTTAGTGGCTTCAAGGCAGATTCCAGAAATGTTCACGTCTTAGTGGCTTCAAGGCAGATTCCAGAAATGTTCACGTCTTAGTGGCTTCAAGGCAGATTCCAGAAATGTTCACGTCTTAGTGGCTTCAAGGCAGATTCCAGAAATGTTCACGACTTAGTGGCTTCAAGGCAGATTCCAGAAATGTTCACGACTTAGTGGCTTCAAGGCAGATTCCAGAAATGTTCACGTCTTAGTGGCTTCAAGGCAGATTCCAGAAATGTTCACGTCTTAGTGGCTTCAAGGCAGATTCCAGAAATGTTCACGTCTTAGTGGCTTCAAGGCAGATTCCAGAAATGTTCACGTCTTAGTGGCTTCAAGGCAGATTCCAGAAATGTTCACGTCTTAGTGGCTTCAAGGCAGATTCCAGAAATGTTCACGACTTAGTTTCTTCAAGGCAGAAACGTGGCTTTCGCAACGGTGTGCTCTTTCCATCACTTTGTTGCTCATATCTGAAATGGAGATTTAAAAAAAAATAACTACTTTGCATTTTCCCGTGGAACTTTGCCATTCACAAATGTGCGAGGAGATTCAAGTAGCATTTGTATTTAAATATATTGGTGCGGCGCCGCAGTGGTTAGCACGCTGCCCTATGAAACCCTGGCGATCTGATTTTAACTCCCTGGCATGGATTTAATCAGTGGCGAGTAATACCTAAACGGGTTTCACCCCGCACCCACCCCAACCTCGTCTGCAACTCGCACTCACTAGTGTCGTGAAGTATGTGCAAAGCGCATCCCATGATGGGAACAGTGTGGAGAACAATAACAAAAAAAAGAGCTGTGCATTTTTTTAGTTATGGACATGAAAAAGCAAGCAGGATAAGGAAAATGTCGGCAGTGATTATTATTCATTGGCCACGTGAAGAAATAGGTGGCTCATTACGACCGCAGTTATTTGGTTTGCGTACATGGTATGGTATGCGGCAAACATCAAAATTATGCTTTTGTTTGAATGCAAAACCTTTTGAGAAGAACATTTTTCTTCAAATATTGGGATTGGAATCCGTACACTGGATTGAACGGTGACCCGAGGAGCGGAAAGAGAGATGGCGCAGGACAGGGCAGCGTGGAGAAGGTTGGCAAGGACAGCGGAACACCCCACGAGTGGGACAAACGCTTGGAAGGAGAAGACGAAACTGGATTGAATGAAATAAATTGTCTAGTGAAGTGGTCCTTGTGGTGTGTGGTGCCGTTTGGTGCCTTCACGTTTTACAAACGCTGCCTTCTACCAGATCCCGAAAAACAATGGCTGATGGGATAAAAAACGCATCGCGTTCCATTTTACGGTGAAGTGTGGAAAGTGCCGCCCATCCCGTATGAGCCTGTTCGGACATTAGAAAATCCACCGCAGTAGGTAGCGTCATCTGGTCCAACACCAGTGGAGACTAGGCTCTTCAGAAAAGCCGTCTCGGGTGTGGACCAATCAATTTCAAGGACAGTGCATATCATTATCAGTTGTCTCTTTTTTGTTTGCATTTTGACTGCTTGTGTTGTGGTTATTGCAAACATGATCCCTTGTATAAAGGTGTCAGTTTTGATGCCAGATTAAAGGGTAAAAACCTATTACTAAACCACCACAGTGGCAAGGAGGTAGAGATCCCGCAGCAGTTGCGAGGATGACACTTGATCGCCAAGACTTGCAGTTAAAGTTTCAAGCCTTCTGGCTGTAGGCACATCCTCCTCCAGTTGAAATAATTCGTTTGGCTGGAGTAGATGACTGGAATGCCAACCAAGTCTCCACTCTCTCTGGTTAGATGCTGAAAGTTCAGACCAATTAAAAACGTGATTTATAATGTTTTATTGACCCATTTGATGACTATGCCAGCCATCAATTCAGAGGCTTGCTATCTAGAAGCGTCATCCATGCCAAATGCTTCAGCACAAAAACTCACCAACCAACTACTCTGTTCTCTGGAACCAAGTAAAGACAGAAACTGCCCAGTGTTGGTTTTGCTATTGTTTCCTTTACTTTGATGTGGACAATGTAAATCTTGTACCGGTGGTTGTTTCCTTTAATCGTACCAGTGAAGATTTATTCAAAGAGGAAAGTGATGCTTCTTCATACCAGATTGGAAAACAAATTTACAACAACCAATTCCCAACATAAATCTCCTTTTGTTGAGTTTGTGAGAAGCAGAAGCAACGGCAAGAATGTGATATTTTGTCTTAAGGTATTTCATGGTGTTTGGACTGATTTTTAAGCTGCTCTTAAATATTGTAGGATGTATGCATTCATGTTAGTTTACATATTTTTATGCTCATTTGCTGTAAAAGGTTCTGATACCTTTTTTAAATGTCACTTGGTTTTCAGGTATGACGATCGTGAGTGTTTTGACTCGAGGCAAGGCGCTGATAACCGAGGCTACAATAAATCAGAGTTTTTGGACCATCGAGGCAGAAGAGGGCCTCAGCATGGTGGACATAGCTCACCTCCAGGTGGACAATATGGCCCACAAAGTCAAAGGAATGACTACGATATGCATTACAATGCACCTGTCCAGCAAGAGCTACCTGGCCAAAGAGGCTTTGGATGGACTGGCCAGTATGGAAGACCTGCCCATATGCAAGAATTTCATGGGCCAGGAAACTGGCCCCAATATAGGGGTCCGGGTAACAGGGCTGATTTTGAAAGCATGAACAACAGGCCAGGCTTTGAAGGTCAAGATGACAGGCCTATCTTTGGAGGTCCAAACAGACCAGGTTTTCGAGGTCCTTATAATAAGCCAGGCCATGGAGGTTTGACAAACAGGTCAGGTTTTGGAGGTCATTCAAATAACCGAAGCATCAGATTTGATCCAACTAGGAAAGTAAATCGGCCAGGCCAGTTATGGCCAGTCACAAAAACGAGTAGCGTGAAAGCTCAAGGTCAAAATAAACTTGGAGGCCAACAAAGTAAGGCCTCCAAGAATACTGCTGTGGAATCGAAGAATACCTCGTATGCTGCAGCGGGCACAAGCGTTGACACTCTGCAAAGAGGCAATAGCAACGCCGGTGGTGGTGGTGGGCAGACCCATCCACTGGCAGAAGGCAATGAAGCAGGCAGGAGTGCCAGCCCAGCATCTGGGAAGAAGGCGAGCGTGTCTGCAGCACCTCCGAAGCCACCCGGTTCATCTGCAGCCATTGCAAGCACTGTAAGTAATGTCCTTCCATATGTTTGCCTTGCATATATGTACCCAAAAACAACAGTGTCTTCTATCTAATTTGCATTTAATCTAAAACTGGTTATAAACATGAGCTTGCAAGTGCTCGTTTATCTTCCAATGTCTTTGAATGGAATGAAGTTGTTTTTTTTCCCGCTGTCATTGTAGGCCTTAACTTGTAGGAGACTGAAGTGTTTCTTTACTCTTCAAGCTCATGAACATTGTTTTTATCACACGACATGTGTGTCTGGTGTCCACACTTAAACTTGATAACCCATTTGTCAATGTAGCAATGACGAAAACAGATTTTACAAAAAATGATTCAGAGAGAACACACCTTTCGTGTCAAGGTGGACCCTGTCTTGCCTCATTGTGAATATGTATATTCAAATACAAATGAGTTTCCTTGTATATCTTAGAATTTTGAAAGTTAATCGGCAAGCTCGGATCACGCTGTGGAAGGCACGGTATAGAAAGACGGTGATCGCCAGTAGCCAGTGACGCCATCGCACACCCGCTCTTGTGTATTCTGGTTTCAACTACTTGACATGAAATTCACAAGATTGTTTGGAAATGTCATTCTCACAGATGTGCCATTACAGATGTGTCGGTATAGATTTCATTTAGAAACTACGTTTGAGTTATCTGCATGGATCGATCATAGGACAAAATAACTTGCCCAAAGTATAGTGGCCATAACCACTATGATTGCAGGTTAGAATCCTCAATGGGCACCACAAAGTAAACTATTTTGACCTGTCGCAAGCTGATGTTTTAATCTGGTTCACCAGTTAATCTTGTTTTTCACAAGCCCGTCTCTGCGGAAGGTGTTTATATATGGAGGGTGATGGATTCAGAATGAAACACTCAACAGTGTTGTGAACGAGTCTTTCAACTCCCTGTGTGGATTATAATATCTGCTGTGGCGTCAACTTCTGGTGGAGATGTTTCTCTTTTGTCCGCATGAGAGTGGACTGACGGATGTGTATTTCCCCATTCATTTTCTCTTGGCAGAATTAGAGATGTAGCTTGTGGTATGAAAAAAAATCTTTCATTTAAAACTTTAAAGGCGTTACATGTGACTTCCTTTAACTTTTAGGAAGTATCAAAAATTACAGCTGGACTTTAGCACAGAGTCCTTCTGAAATTCACTTGGGACGATGTACAATGGAGCACATGGGTCAATCCATTCCAAGTCATCACAAGCGTTCGACAACATCACTGTCTCGGAAAGATTTGCCATTCGGCACAATTATGAACACTTGAATCCAAAGTTCCAGCCATTTGCACTGCCCTGCAAAAGTTCTGAATGGATGCATGATATTTTGATGCCAAGATTGGGATACAATTTGGAAAAAATGGCTAAAAAGTTTAAATCTCAATTATTAATTTCTGTATCCTGCCAACAGATCAATCACTTCTCTTCCAATGCATCACCCTCGTAAAACACAACGCTTACTTAAACCAAATTCTAGTAACTCATGGCATGGGCAATGAAACCCTCGAATTATGCGATGATATGGGAATTAAACTGACCAACCGAGGTGTTGATGTGGCTGTCTGACGGACTGACTTGTATAAGGAGGAAGCACGCGGACAATTGAGGAATGCCTAGTTTTGCCGTAAAGTTGACGCTTCCCTCACAACAACACACCAACAGTCGAGGGCGCTGTGATCGCTGATCCCTCGGTGCTTTGCCCCAGCGGTGCGTTCAGTGGGCAGAGCGGCACTGCCGTGGCGCTACGAGGCAGAGTTTGCCCGTGATTGAACGGTGCGTTATAATACTCGCAACGAGTGACGTCATAGCCAATGAGCGTCCGCGAAACTAAGAGTTCGTGGGAAGGTACGACTCCTGCGCATGGGCTGAAGTTTGACACGCTCACCCAACGCTTAGCGAGGCAGCTCCTCAGACCGTTTGCACCTGTCACGATGCACCCTGTGCTGCTAAACAGTCGTGCCGGGCGCCATGGTGGTGAGAGGTTAACGACCTCGCCTGGTATGCACGGGAGGCCAGGGGTTTGATCCCGACCCTGATGCCGAAATATTTGGAGTTTGCATGTCTCTCTCCCCGTGGTAACATGGATTTTTCTCTGGGTCCTCCGGTTTTTCCCTCCACATTTAGAACACATGCGTTTTGAATATTTCGTTGATAGGTAAAAAGTAGGGTTTTTTTAATTAGCTTAAACTGCAGAACCTGGAGTTAGCCCACAAAGGGTTTGTCTACTATAAATTTCCACTTAGTTGAGCTATCATTTGTGGCCAGGTCGCTTCTACAAAAAGAACTATATAGCTCAAGTGGGCCTTACCTTGCAAACTAAATATAACTTGGTTTAGTTTAAGTCAATAGAAAAGCACTCTGGACCACTCTACCCATTGAACGCACCCCTGAGTCTACAAAAAGCATCATCATCCAAACTCTTCATGTACCCTCCAACCAGGATCCGGCCTGGTGGCAAAACGGTCGAGCGAGCGGCTCGCGATCTTGCAACTTCAAATCCCGGTTGGCGGTTGACTCAGCCCATCATTACTTCAGGTTGATAAAAACAAGTACCCACTTTGTGGCGGAAGTCAACAAGTGGTTGTCCTTTGGATATACTCGCCTCTGTCATAGCAACGTGGAGTTTCCACCAACTGGCTCAGGCCTGTAAGCAGGAGGCGAGCAATGCCTGCGTGCTCAAAATTGAGCAGGGAAATCTCTGCTTTGTTTTGACTTGAACGTGACGTGTCATCCCCGGCAGCTGGGTAATCCAAACGCCTCGACGTCTGTGAGGCCCGGCACGAGCCTCAAGAGGAAGTCCCCCCAAGGAGAGGCTTCACAGGCAAAAAAACTCAAACCCGGTGAGAGCGAACCCCCACCCATTCAGAGCCTCGCCGGGATGAAGAATTGACGCAGGAATTTGTACACGCACTTTATTATTGTGTACGTCTTGTGGTGCATGGCAGAGTGAAAACGATATGTTAACAGTGAGGAACTACACATTTTCACAATGTCTCTATTTTATAATCTTGAAGTGTTGAACCATGGTTTTAAAGCTGGGGTCTGCTGGAATTCTTAGGGCTCTGTAATGGCGCATGACTGTTTCCAACTTTATATAACATTCTACAAGGCCTCATGCTAATAGAGCTACGTGGAGTATTTGATTGAATTAAAGATTGTTTCATATATTCTGTTTTATTTATTTTAATTTGACGATACAGAAATAAAGTCTTCAAGTTCGGCACCTGGAAAATTGGGACAGGTATGCAACCTTATCCCAGATATCTCTGTGCCCAGCACAATCGCACTTCAGCAGTGGGCAACTCAAGGCCCACAGCCTCCCAGCGTCCCCCTGGGGAAGATCAACAATGCCTGCTGTCTGCTGTAGATGGGGCCAAATTAACAACCTCAGTACCCACATATAGCATCTTGCTGCATTCACCTTGCCTTATGATAGAAGCAGAAGAAGGGCCGGATTACCACAGGATTTAGGTACTGCCACAATGTTAACAAAACCCATAGTAAACGTGACACTATAGTCTCATTTCCATTGCACAGAAAGTACAATTTTGCTAGAACTTATAGTTCATAGGAGATGAATTTTAAAATGTGTTCTGAAACCTAATACATCATTGTAACAACCCCAGTGACTTCACTGTGTCGATGGAGACAATGAACCCCCATTGCTGTTTAAAATAATGGGTGCAATTATGTTGATGCGAATGAATTTAACTGAGTCAGGGCTCTTATCTGGTTATACATGAGGGGCTGGCTATTGCCATTTTTGAAAACAAGAGATGACCACATTCACCAGATAATGGGTGCATTAGGCCACGTGATAATCTTCTGACCATTCCGACATTTGCAATGGCAACTTTGATCTGAAAGAAGTTCAACATGCATGCAATTGGAGGAGGTGTAATGGCAGCTTAATGAAACGAAACATTTCTAATCACGACCGAAGTTTTGGGTTTTTGGGATTAAAAATCAGGAGCACATCCCAAACAGCTCGACTTCACTGCAATGAGAGCCACACCCCTTTCTGTACTTTGTGTGTTGTGCAACGTGTACGGTGTCACATTGTCAAGTTATTCACACGGTTGCTTAACACTAAAGTTAGTTTGAATATGGAGACCAATCACCACACACATGGTGCCTGTGTAAGTCACTGTGTTGCCGCTGCGTGTTCCCTAAAGGCCAACCCAGCAGGCAGAACGGTTTCTATCACGGAGTTTTTGCAAGGTGAGTGTTGGAGTTATTGTTACACTTGTAAGACCAACGTGGTGTTTGTGTTACACGTGTTTGTGCCAAGTGTGCACCATGCAGATGGCTTTCAGATTTCATGAATATATCGAATGTTTCATCCCAATTTCGGATTTTATTTGTCTGCTTCCTGTCCCACTGTTCAGGTTTAACTTGCATTAGAATTTAAATAAAGTGTCAGTAAAGTTGGACGTAAACTTTAACCATCAGTGGTAATAAACACACACAAAAACCTCGATACATCCGGCAATAGCACTGCTGCCTCAATAAGAATATTGATATAATTGGTGATGTTTTGAGCAATGGTCCTTTTTTTCACAAGACAGAGATGGATCAGAGAGGTGGCGTGATTAGTGGTAGTTCATTTTTGGATGTTAAAATATTTTACATGGGCTCTCAAATTAGTGAATTACAAACTAATATTTTAATGAAACAAAACAAACGAATACTTAAACTAATCTATTTATTTTACCAGGTAAGGCCCGCTGAGCTATAGAAGTGACCTGGTCACAAACGATAGCTCGAAAAAGTGGCTTATCATTTGGAAATGTATAGCAGCCAAATAGCACAAATGCATGTTTATAAATGATCAGAGAAAAACCAGTGGACCCGGAGAAAAAACCACGCGAGCACGGAGAAAATATTAAAACTCAAAATAAACATACCCTTTGGTTCTTCCGGTAAAGTCACGTAGGTATAAAATAAAAAAAAATCACGACGTTTCGGGCGCAACACAAACGTCCGTCAGGTCCACTCACTCCCACCTGATGAAGCTCGCTTGTGTTGCACCCGAAACGTCGCGATTTATCTTATTTTATTTCTACCCACGTGACTTTACCGAAAGAACCAAAGAGTATGGATTCCTGCGGTCACGAAAGCTTCAAATCATAATATACAGGCGTCACGGTCAGGATCGAAGTAGTTAACATCTCGCCACCACGCCGCGCCCCATTGTTGCAGTGAAACCTCAACGTGACCTTTTTCAGGAGACCGGCCAAATTGACCGGTCGATGCAGGAAAACGTTACCCCGCGTGAAGGTTGACGGTAAATGCGCCAGTAGCAACTGGATTTCCAAACGTGGAACATTAGATGTTGGAAAATGCACAAGCGGGGAGATGTTATAATGAGGTCTCGCTGTAATTTAATTCCTTTGAACAAAGTTTGCACTGCTAGTCGCTGGTGCAGATAGGAGTGGGATATACGGTAAAGCGCAAAAAGGTCGTAGAGGTAGGGAAATAATTTGGCGATGCAGCTGCTAAGTCGCCAGTGGTACACAAGTACAATTAATAAACGCGACACATTTGTCACTAACGCTGCGGCCTGACAAGGGAATGTACCGGCAACATTTTCGGAAATTGCCATGTGCTATAGAATTATAGCACAGGGCAATTTAAGAAAATATTGCCGGCAATAATTCTATAGCACATAACAATGATTTTCACGTGCTATCAATTTTTTTTCATGTGCTCTGAAGCAAGGCCATTGCATTTGCGACGGCAGTCTTGTGAATATATTATAGTTGTATTAAACAAAGACAATTAAATATCTTCAGAATGGAGATCATGTACGTCGCCAACCGTGCTAGTCGTGGCAGTCGGTCTAGCTGTGAAACTTCACGTGGTTTGGAGATAAGCTATTGGCAATGAGTGGAAGTGCTTAAGGGAAGAGAATTAAAGTCATTCACAGTTATTTACTTTTTTAAAAAAAGTCTACAGTTATTTTCCTGCTAAACTGAGCATTGAGGTGGTGGTGCGCATCACCCGTTTACAGCCCTGGGCCGGTGACGGTAATTACGCATTCCTATCGTGCAGAAGAGTCGTATCCACATGTCCGCCGCTCTTCACTTCCCCATGAAGTGGTATCCCCTTTATTGAACGCAGAGGAATTATGGGCTGAGTCAACCCCCTAAATGAGTTTTAAACAACAAATTGTATTCAGCCATCCCCACAGCTCACTAAACATTGTGTCTGAAGAGGTTTCTGGTGGGGAAATGTTAAAAATGACTATTTGCACGCGTATTTGTAAATTTATTTCAGACATGGACAAGGTGCAAGACATAGGAGGCGTTTGGTAAGTGTCAATCTTGAATTGCTTAAGATGTCTGGCCAATGTGTGGAACGATTATTCATTTCAGTTAAGCTGTGCGCTATGTTTATATTTGGGATGTTCTTTATGAAATCCAGTGATGTCCCCCTGTTCTTGCAATTCACAGGGTATTTAAGGTGCGCTTAAAGTGTGCAAGCTTGGATAAATCTTTCTCAAAAATCACAACCACAAGCGGAACTAAGCCAGTGGCAAACACGGCAAACGAGCTGTTCTAAAAATAATGTTGTTATATTACCCCAATTCTAATCCTAGCCATAACCAGCAATCAGTGGTGAGCGATATCCGTTCTGGGGGGGGGGGGGGGCCCTTCACCAACTCGCACTTACGAGCGTGATGAAGTATGATTAAACAGCCCCATAACCAACACCGAGCGGGGGAGATCTTCATCCAGCAGCGCCCTGACGATGAAAGGCTGTACGTGTACAGTTTTTTTCTCTTACAAATGCCCGCAGCACGTTACCAACGTATGTCTGTATGTTGAGCTTCTTTCGCACCGTGCGTAGCCAACCACGACTCGTGAATGTGCCCGGTAGGGCCATGTACAGGTGCATGCTGTGCAAGTTCAAGACTCCAAAGCGCTCCCAGATGGACGCACACGTGCAGAGCAAAATGCACAAGCACACCCTGCAGGACCTTGGCAAAGACCACCCAGACGGGCCGGAAATCGCTGACTTTCTCGATGTAAGCTCAAATAGCCTTCTGTGTTGAGCGTGAATGAAAAAATGCACGCTTTTCAAACCCCACACGATTATTAATTTACGGAGTCTGCGTGTTCTCTCTCCCCGTAGTCATGTGGATATTTCTCTGGGACCTCTGGTTTTCCCCTCTCCACATTTAGAATGGACACGCGTTTAGAGTTTTTGACTGCTATGAATGTCCACGTGATAAGCCAATTCGTTGGGCTATCATTTGTGACATTGAGCTACATAGCTCAATGCGCCTTACCTGGTAAGATAAAAAAAAATGTCTTTCTATATATTTTAAGTGATTTGTTTACCTTTCCTATACTATGTCCTATTGTTTTTTTGTGTTGTTGTTGTTACGTTCTGACCTGCCCCTACTAGACATTTGTAAAAAAAAAAGAGCTTCATAGCAAAAAAATATATTCTGATCTGGCAGTAGACAGAGAAGAGAAGGGCTGTATGTGTACTTCAGTTGGCACCTATGTGAATTAAACAATTATGCGATAGAGAAAAAAACACTGCCGTGGAATATCATTTATATGTGTGTGTGTTAGAGAAAGGTCTATTGAAGTTGCTTCGGAAGTAGTTTTGTGACAACTACTTCTGGGGCCATTCTACTATCACGAGATGGAGTTGCGAATTGTATTTTTGTTTTCGTGTGACACGGCACGATGAAGCTAATGTCACGAGGGGGGGTGGGAAAATAACAATTTTAAATATACATTGATGAATTAAAAAATTAAAAAATAATTTAGTTTTACGTTTTTACAAATGTTGTTGTGGTCGATGTAGAGCTGCGATTTGTCTTTCTCCAGGCACTGATGAGCTGGAAGAATCGCCAGGTGGGCGTGAGGAGGAGAGGAGCCCCTGGGCTGCTCAAATTGGGTCTATCTGATGCGGCGTCAGACGAAGGTTTGTGTCGCTCGCACATGTTTATGAGATTACACGTTCACTTGTCTTCGGCTAAAATCAGTGGCGGGTGATATTTCAACTCGGTCCGAAGGCCCCATCTTCGCCACTGAGGTGAAGTGTGGTCGTATAACCCCCATGATGGGCATTGCTTGGGGAGGCTTTCATCCAGCAGTGGATTGATAGAGGGCTGTGAGCAAACTAAATCCTGGCCAAATTAACACATGGGTGTTCACATAATGATCTGGCCAAATATTAGTTGCAATTAATTAACCAAGCAAATTTACATTTTTATTCTTGGTTCTTTCGGTAAAGTCACGTAGAAGGGAAATAATAAAAATTAAACAATAAAATTCTCACGACGTTTCATCATCAGATGATGATGATTGCTTGTGTTGCAATCGAAACGTGAGAATTTTATTGTTTTATTTTTATTATTTCCCTTATACGTGGTGACTTTACCGAAAGAACCAAGAATATTAATCCCTGCAGTCACGAAAGCTTTAAATCAAAATTTACATTTTATTTTGTTAAACCTGGTGAGAACTCAAGTGACCAGGATAGTCTCATTTGCAAGAGTGACCTTAGGCATGAGTTTACCAGTAGGGGTGAGGGGTGATTGCTGCTCCGTATAATCCTAATTGAGCAATTGGCAGGTAATTTGAACCCTGACTGGCACACAATGGCCAAAACGATGTGAGGAGATTTTTAACGTCCATTGTGAATCAGTGTAGTGTTATTGAGATTACTTCACTTACAGTATTAACCAGGGCGGCCTCTGGATTCCAACCATGAGCCTCTGCAACAAGCGGCGAACGCAGTGCGACCACTAGGCCTCATCACCGCTCCGTGTACGAGTGTTTTAACGTGCTGAGTTTTGTTTTAGCCCGCACTAGTAAGGTGAATACATATTAAAACAATCAAATGTAATAATCGGATATGTATATTGGACTTCTTTAGCACCGTCTGTAGCCAACTATGCTAATCGGAGGTGTGGGGGAAGGACAACAGACTAAATGCAGAAACAGTTCTGAAGAAATTATATGACGTTTTGACTGAAATGAAGCCAAGCATCTTGAGGAAAATCCAACAAAAGTCAGAACGAAACCCAGGAAAAGGTGCCGTATCGCAGGAGCAACCGATGATTTGAACGAGATATTAACCATTGCAATTTAACGTATTCATATTGTATTTTTAACGTGCCGTGTTTCCCGACGTGTCTTAAGTTGCACGTGTAAGCCTCGGTAGTACATCCTCCTCGCGTTCTGACCTGTTTTTTGCGGCATTCGTGCGCCCAACAGATGGAGCGGAGCTGGATGAAACCATGGAGGTGTTGCGCACTGCATGGTGTCGCGCTTGCCACATGCGTGTGCCATATCTCGCCAACAGTTTGCAGGACCACATGAACTCGAAGGTGCACATCACAAGGAGAGAGGTCAGAGAAACCTTCTCCAAAGGGAGAATTTTAAGGAATCTGCTGGGGTTTATTTTATTATATGTATAGAATTCAATGTAAATCAGTCCAGTGCTCGCTGTTACTCGCTCACCGGTCGTTAGTTGTCTCCTTATGACTCTTCTATCGCTGCTACCGTGGTTAATCGTCCCATTAACTTGAATCATTGATTCCTGCAGCCATGCTGAGGATTCGGTCTGCCGGACTGTTTTGTCTCCCCCGCAACGTGTTCACCCATCACACTGCAAGTCACAATAACAGTCACTCACTCACCCATCACACTGCAAGTCACAATAACACTAACCCACTCACCCATCACACTGCAAGTCACAATAACACTAACCCACTCACCCACCACACTGCAAGTCACAATAACACTAACCCACTCACCCATCACACTGCAAGTCACAATAACACTAACCCACTCACCCATCACACTGCAAGTCACAATAACACTAACCCACTCACCCACCACACTGCAAGTCACAATAACACTAACCCACTTACACATCACACTGCAAGTCACAATAACACTAACCCACTCACCCATCACACTGCAAGTCACAATAACACTAACCCAATCACCCATCACACTGCAAGTCACAATAACAGTCACCCACTCGCCCATCACACTGCAAGTCACAATAACACTAACCCACTCACCCATCACACTGCAAGTCACAATAACACTAACCCACTCACCCATCACACTGCAAGTCACAATAACAGTCACCCACTCACCCATTACACTGCAAGTCACAATACTAACCCACTCATCCTTCACACTGCAAGTCACAATAACACTAACCCACTCACCCATCACACTGCAAGTCACAATAACACTAACTAACTCACCCATCACACTGCAAGTGAAAATAACACTAACCCACTCACCCATCACACTGCAAGTCACAATAACAGTCACCCACTCACCCATCACACTGCAAGTCACAATAACAGTCACCCACTCACCCATCACACTGCAAGTCACAATAACAGTCACTCACCCACCACACTGCAAGTCATAACAACAACAACCGCCATTCGCCACTAAGTGGCGGTGACGTCACCACGACGCTTGTGCCAGGCTATGTGCACCCTGAGGCCACGTGAAGTGTCGAACGCCCGCTGGCAGGAGGTCACGGGGCAGACCCAGGTGCCACGGGTCGACTGACTGAGATGACTGGCTGATGCACCACTTGTGCCCCCTACTGTAGCAACCTGCTGTGCTTTAGCCACCCGGCGCTCCGCTCGTTGTTGTGAGCGTCGCTCCTCCGCCCTCCGTTGTTGTTGGAGGGCGACTGCCTCCAACTGCCCAGTAGCGTCCTTCACGAGCCTCCTCCACAGAGGCCGATCTTGACACCGCTGGTACCAGTCATCGGCAAGTCCACTCAGCTCCACGTCCTCCTGTACCACATCACTCCATCTCTTCTCTAGCCTGTGCCGCGCCCACTTAGCCCCCTCAATCTGGCCGAACAAAAGCTGTTTCGGCATGCGGTGGCTGGGCATGCGGGCTACATGACCCAGCCATCGCAGCCTTCCCTGCCGGAGTAGTTCAACGATGGGACCTTGCCCAGATCTTTCAAGGATTTGTGAGCTCCTCACACAATCCAGTCTGGTTAAACCCAGGATGGATCGTAGGCTGGCCAGCCTAAATGTTTCTAACCGGTGAAGATGTTCCATTAGGGGGGTCCACGTTTCGCAAGCATAGAGAAGGGAGGGAATGACCGTGGCCGAGAAGACCTGAAGCTTAGTGCGGAGCGACAGACCAGGTAGCTTCCACACAGCGTTATGCAACCGATGAAAAGATATTGCCACTCGACTGATTCGGAATGAGACCTCTGCTGTTAAACTGGAGCCAGTCATAAGCACACTGCCCAGGTATGGGAAACTCTCCACTCTCTCCACAACTGCCCCATCACCGATTGGGAGTTGTGGGGGTGGAGTGTCCGATGGTACAAAATACCCAGGCAGGTGCTTAGTTTTGGTGGGGCTGATGGTAAGGCCCCACCTCTTAGTGGCACGCTCCAGTTTCAGCAGCAGCGTCTCTAACTCCTCCTCTGAATGAGCAGCTATTACCAAATCATCAGCATACATAACGTGGTTGAGCAATAGGGAGCCATCCCTTGACCGCACCCGGGCATCGATCAGCCTCCCATTATATCTGTACCATATGGAGATTCCCCCGGTACAGCTATTGAAGGCTTCACGAACTACGTGGTCAAAATAGATGTTAAATAATGTGGGAGCCAGAGGACATCCCTGTCGCACCCCAAGGTGTACAGGCAATGGCTCTGACTCCCGGCCACATAGTTTTACCCGGCCCGCTCACCATCATGAAGGTCCTTAATGATCGTGAGCAGAGGGTCAGGTACTCCAAAAGCACGAAGAACAACCCAGAGCCCAGGCCTACTGATGGTATCATAGGCCTTGACCAGGTCAATAAAGCAGAGATGTAGGTCTTGTTGGAATTCCCTACACCTCTGCTGTAGCAGACGGACAGAAAATATGGCATCTGTGCAGGACCGCCCTTTCGTGAAACCGCATTGGGGCTCCGCAAGCCTCTCCTCAGCGTGCCTGGCAAGGCGATGTTGAATAATCCTTGCCAGGACCTTTCCCGGCACACTGAGGAGTGAGATGCCCCTGTAGTTGTTACAGTCTGTGCAGTCCCCCTTCTTAAAAAGGGGGACCACCAGGGCATCCTTCCAATCCGGCAGAACCCGTCCAGTGGTCCAGACTGTTGTTATGATGTCATATAGGGCAGTCTGTGCACAAACGCCGCCCTCCCTCAGCATTTCGCTTGGGAGATCATCTCTGCCCGCTGCCTTTCCTGGTCTCAGACTCTGGATCGCCTTCAGTACTTCCTCAACAGATGGCACCTCAGCCAGCCACTCACAGAGGGTGACTTCTTCCAATATTTGAGGCACCGCAGCCTCAGCAGGGTCATCCTCACTTTGTGCCACGATGTTTTCCTGGCTGAGGGATTTTCCCTCCCCCAGGACCTCACAGAAATGCTCAGCAAATCTGCAAACCTGTTCCTGGGGGTCGGAGATTGGGTCACCGTTTTTTCTCCTAATGATGATAATAGATGTGGCGCTGCAGGTTACTTTTTTGATGGAGTTAAATAGAGATTTGTGATCACGGGCCACTGAGGCAGACTCCATCTCCTCATAAACCCGTGACCACCACCCATCCTTGCAGCGCCTCACGGCTCTTGGAACCTCCGAGCGAAGGCTGCGGTAAGCCTCCTCATTCTCTGACGTGGGATTCTGTAGCCAATGACAGTGGCCTGTCGCTTTTTCTCAACCATCCTGAACACCTCCTCTGTCAGCCAGGGTCTCTGGGGAGGTCTGGACCGCGTACCCATAGCAGCCATTGCAGCTGCATGAGTCACAGTCCTAAACCTCGCCCATTTACCCTCGACTTCAGGAGGAGTCGGGGTCGATGCCAATCCCAGCCGCAAGCGATGATGAAATTCTCGCTTGCAACTTTCATCAGATAACTGAGACCAGGCCACTTTAGGTTGGAATGGGGTCCTGGGTGTACACCCACCACCGGAGTGGAAGAATGGCAGGTGCATCTTACAGATGACTAGTCGATGGTCAGAGGGCAGATCAGCTCCACGGTAGGTCCTGGTGTCAAGGACATGGGTTCGCATCCGCTGGTCCGTCATTATGTAGTCCAGCAGATGTTCTTGCTTGGACCCGGCATGCATCCATGATGTTGTGTGGATGCGCCGATGCCGGAACAGCGTGTTGGTAATTACAAGCCCATGGGCTGCACAAAAATCTAGCAGCCTCCTACCGTTGTTATTGAGCTGATCTGGCCCATGCCCTCCAATCACTCCAGACCAGGTGCCAGTATCATGACCAACTCGGGCACTGAAGTCACCCAACATGATGACTCTATCCCGAGGGGCCACTTTAGCCAGCACCTGTGACAGGAGGGCATAGAAGGAATCTGACTCATCGGCTTTGCCTGCATCCCTCCACGGATTTTCATCTTCGGTGGGGGCATAAGTAACCACGACCACCATTCCTCGCCTCCAGTTGATGGGAAGGCGAGCCCAAAGTAGCCTGGGGCTTACAGCTTCCCACACCTCACCGCCACGCTCCCACGCCCCCTTCATTCTTTTGTTCAAAAGAAGAGCCACACCCTGTTGTTTGGCAGTCTGCTGCCCCGAGTAGAGGACTGTCCACCCCTCATGGTGGCAGGAGCCAGAGTCGGTCCACCGGACCTCCTGAATGCCACATAGATCCAGGCGGTACCAGTCCAGCTCCCGACAGAGGAGTGGCAGCCTCTCCTCCGCAGTAAGCGTTCGAAGATTCCACGTGGCCACCCGTAGTGGTTTTTCGTTGTTTCTGGAGGAGCCCCAAGGGTAGATATTCAATCTTCTGGCTCCACCAATTGGGGTTTGGCCAGGAGACGTCATAGACGCCTGCCCCCCCAGGGCCTCCGGCACAAGCTTATTAGTTATATTCTTAATTCGCGGTTTAGTGGTAATTAATTGAAGGTGGAGGGGTTACCAGCCCCTCGCACCCATCCAGAGCCCCCGTTTAGCCCCTGTGGTGGACACATATGCCATGAGGGGAGGAGCCAATCACAATTGGACCTCCCCCCACAGCACTGTCCACGACAGAGTTGCCCGTCCGGCACCGCGAGGAGGTAGGGGGTTGTTTTGCCGGACAAACACTCACTCACTCACCCACCACACTGCAAGTCATAACAACACTCACTCACCCACCACACTGCAAGTCACAACAACAGTCACCCACTCAGTCACCACACTGCAAGTCACAACAACAGTCACTCAGTCACCCACTCACTCGGTCACCACACTGCAGATCAAAACATTTATTTTTCAGCTTATTTCCTCACACTGCTCGACTTGGGAAATCTCTCCCGTCATCTCTTTCCCTAAGCTATAATAATTCAAGAAGTGCGCTAAATCGTATCTATCGCAGCTTTGAGTCACTGTGAGAGACGACACTTGACCAATGATTCTGTTGTGCAGAACACACTAATAATTGGGCATCATTGTGGAGAATCTAAGTAATATGATGTCTGCTTATTTATGTTGTTACTTTTTATTATCCATAAAAAAGTGCAAAGATTATTATGCGTTTTGTGTTACATAGTTGGTCAAGCTAGGACCCATATCTTAAAGAGTTTACATATCGGGCAGTTTTCCAGCATTGGTTCAAGCGAGCCTGACTGCTGATGAGGCACTGACTGTTGAAACCGGTACAGAGTTTGCTTGCGTTGAATCGATGCTCCTGAAAAGATGCGCTCACAGATGGCCGTGCGGCCGATGCGAAGTCCAATAAATGCCTTCGATTTTAATGTGGAGAGACAAATATGGGATGGAGGGCGTGCCTGCTGTTTTACTTTGTTGGTATTGTGCAGAGGGTGCCGTGCTTGATTGGTCGTTGTTGCCTTTAGTCTTACACCCGGAAGAGACGGACCCGCGTCGCAGCCATGGCCAAGAGAATCATGGGCCAACAGAAACACTCTACCTTTTTTGAAGCGTTTCAAAAGGCAAGAATTTCCATTCCCAATCACCCATTCGTAGAGCCACGCATGCATCGCCATACAGTCATGAGTGAGGGCTAGTGTGCACAGAGAAGTGGCAATCGGGACCCAATTAATTGGTGCGTACACTTGTCACCAAAGAAGCCAACGCATTCGTCAATAACGCTGTGTAGCCTCCGATTAGCACGGTTGGCTATGTACGGTGCAAAATAAGTTCAACAAACATACACAAAAATAATCATCGACGTTTCGGGCAGTGGCCCTTCTTAATTGCATATAGTACATAATGAAGGGCCACTGCGTGAAATATTTCCAATTTGATATTGTTTTATATTAAGGCAGCGGCATTGAAGCATGGGTTGAGTGCGCTTGTGCGCCACTGCTAACGCAGCATCACCAAATAATTTGTTTAACACTGAAGAAATAGTCGCTTGAGATTTACAAATTATGAAGCGGAAATGCTTACATTTTCTGCTCACACTACACCGCGTGAATATTTGTTTTCATATTGTTATTTATTTACTCGTTTTATGTCCGTTAATTACACTGCTCTGGGTGAGTGCTGTCCCTGAGATTGCACACAGCCCTTGCACATGTCTGGCTATCTTTGTTGCTTGTCTGTGGTTGTCCTCAGCAAATAGATTTGGCAATGCAGTGAAACCTTGGATTGCGAGCATAATTCGTTCCGGAAATGTGCTCGTAATCCAAAGCGCTTGTATATCAAAGCGAATTTCCCCATAAGAAATAATGGAAACTCAGATGATTCGTTCCACAACCCAAAAATATTTTTAAAAAATTATTAATACAAAATACTGTACCTTTTTATATATGTATTTAAATTTATTATAAAGTAATCAAATGTATTAATTAAATGTAATCGTGGCTGGTGTGAGGGAGACAAGAGAGAGGAGAGGAGGAGGGAGGGTTATTGTGTAGCACGACTTTCACTGTCACTAACGGAATCACTGCCATCTGTTGGCTCACTGGAATCTTATTCTTTTTGTGCGACTTTAACAAGGAGCCTATCCAATGACGCTTGCTTTTGCCTCCTTTTGAGGATTTCGCGGAAATGTGACATTGCATTGTCGTTAAACAGATTCATCGCTCACACTGCCACAGCCTTATTCGGGTGGTGCTTTTCTAAAGAATAGTCACTACACTTGGACACAAAATAATGCTTTACGCACACACACGTGGTCACAACACTATACAATACTGTAGTAAACAGTATACGCTCGCACGTCTGTTGAATATACGAGTGAGGCACGCCGACTGAGACCGAGCATGGGAGACGATTACCCACAATCCTGCAGCGAGAGAGAGAGAGAAAACCATTGGCTCAGTTGTGATCACGTGACGCTCGGCAGACAAAGCGTATACTGTATGTACTGCTCGTATTGCAAGACATCGCTCGTTTATCAAATTATTTATTTAAAATTTTTGCCCGTCTTGCAAAACACTCGCAGACCAAGTTACTCGCAATCCAAGGTTTCACTTTACCTATGCACGAGTTTGCTTCACAGTTGTTAAACGACAACTGGCAAACCAGTCGCCATTATTCCCAATCGTTGTCAGTCAAGTTTAGCTCATGGTTCACCCTAAACCGCAGTCACACAAACCATGGCAGCCGATACAGATACCTGATGCACAAATAGAATCATAAGAACTCTCCAGTAGTGTGTGACTGTGGACATCCAGAACAAGACCGTACAACGTTATAACAATGCAATGCCCCGATTCACAAATACAAAGGAGACATCACAGCGATGCACTCCGTTGCTCCTGACACGGTTACCTGGCTTGACCCACCTGAATGTGAAAATTGCAGTTGTTGGTCTGAATCCAAATTAGCTGTATGAAAGAAAAAAAATAAGTTGAAGTTTAGTCACGAGTGCACCAATTGGCTAGCAGCGAACGTCCAAACCGCACGACGGCCTAAGTCCCCATGCGGTTTGCTTGCCCTCGTGTCTCAATCACAAGGTAAAGGCGAAGCCCTGCAATTGCTCTCTCACGCCACTGCTGGCGAAAGGGCCTCTACTAGCAGGAGATCTAGAGCCCTTTAGGTCTCCTCTTCCGTGCTTACCAGACCCATGGGGGAGCAATGGGCGTGTAACCATACTTTAGCCCACCACCACCACCACAAGCGGCCTGCCAATCGACTAACTCTGACGCGCCCAGTCGTACTGCTGCATGGACGGAGACGGAGTGGGGGAGGGGTATTAATGGCTTGCACCATTTCTTAACCACTCTGGCAGCTCCCTTCATTTCTTAGTTAAAAAAGCAAAATTTCATCTTTATACCTAGAGACATTTATATACGTGTGGCAAACTGGTAACCGAATGTTTTCAAAGTTGTCAAATTTTAATGCAACACTCCCATGCCCGCTCTTCACATGTGGCTACGTTCGCATATGCTTTGCGTTCAATAATTGTCTTTGTTTTCTAAAACCCCTTTCTTTCCCATCAGGGTATAGATACATTTGAAAACACGATGTTCTTTATTGACAAACAAGGAGACACAGACGTGACAAGAACACTCATACAAAATAATCCAGTGATAAGAAAGGTACAAATGCTTTTGGGCATCGTGCCAGGCCAGAGCAAACCAAATGCAGAAAGGACCACCAAGGTGAGCGCTGAAGACGTCGACCCTAACAATGCTGAGCCCAAAATAATCCAGAAGCGTTCCGTCGGCGAGGCTGTGGAGAGAGTAGTAGGTGCCAACGAAGGGAACGGGGATGCCTGCGTGATATCCTCCACTGTCGACGCAGCCGTGCGGAGTGACGTTGCGTCATCAACGCAGGGGAAGGAGGCCGTGAGTCGGACGAGCAGGGAGAAGGAAGTTCACGGAGAAACGGCAATTGAGAAGGAGAAGGGAGAGACAAATGTCGCGGGCCGAGTTGCGGAAGGGGAGTTTGAGGGCAGGATTGAAAATGTGGTTTACGAGCACAGTGAAGAGGTGAGTGAAGTGGTCGAAGGGATCGTAAGCGACGCAGATGATAACGTGCGTGGCAATGATCGTGGATCTGTGGAGGGTGTGGTGATGAAGGGCGGCACGGAGGTCACTCACGCAAATGACCTGCTTGCGGCGAAGGAGAACCCTGTAAATTTTGGAGAGTCTCTGAAGGGCGGTGGTCCGCACGCACTGCCTACCAAGGGAGAGGGCGGTAGCAGCAACTCCAAACGGGACGTCTCGCTCGTGAAATGCGCGAACACGACGAGCGACAGGCACGCCGCGAACAAGACGAGCGTTACTCCCGCGGTGGGCGTTGAGAGCCCCGAAAAGGTGACAAATGTGTGCACCGAGGGGGATTTGGAGAGCAGCGTTGGCCAGGGGAGCGAGGAGGGAGGAGGAGGAGGAGGAGACGGCGCTTTAAGAGTGCTGGCTTCCCGCAGGCCTGCCGCCCGGGGAAGGGAGAGCGGCCCGCGTGCCCACCGTGGCCGCCCACGCGTGGGCAAGGGCGCCAGGAGGAACAGGGGCAGGTCCCAGGAGTAGGCGCATCCCCTCCTTGTTGCAGAAGTTCACGGTTCAAATCAAATCCGGCAGGTTGCCCTGGTTAAAACTGCGGGGTGTATTAACCGTGAAATACTACTTGCCATCTCCTTGGCACTGCTCATCACACCACTCATCTTTTCACACTCTCCGACCTAGGCACGTCTGACACCCCAACCCCGCTCTTGACTCAAGTCTCACCTTTTCTTTACGCACATCCTCAATCTCCTTCAGTCACTCCATTTCCCCTCCCTCCACTCTCAGTGTCGGTGTTCCATAGGGTTCGGTTCTGGGTTCCTCACTCTTCTCTCTCGATATTTCGGCTCTTGAATCTATGATCTCTTTCCTGCTTTCCTCATTTCTTTGCTGATACCCAAGTCGTCTGCTGCTTTCCTTCACTTACCCCCTGACCATCATGGGACCTCCTTTGCCAGTAACATTATCAGAGTATGTTTTTTTGTTTGCATTTTGACCACAAGTATTGTGGTTAATGCAGACATAATTCCTTGTAAAAGGTTTCAGCTTGGTGTTATAACAACTTAACGCCTGTTTTGTTGCCAGAAAAAAGGGGGAAACCCTATTCTCTTACCCATGTGCATTTCATAATCATTCAGTACCTCCTTGCACGCCCCTGCCATCTAAATCATTCTATTCTCTCACAATTTTAAGTGAAGTCAAGTGTGTTGACTGAGGGCTCTCTGTAAATGTACTGGCATCATGGACCACTCTTTTTTTTTATTTGGAGATCACTTAACTGGGATTACACATCGCAATCACTGACACCGTATTGACAGACTAATACCAACTATCAGGCCAGTGCCGAGTCATCTTGTACCACACAGGGACAGCTGCTACTGGGAGAGAGTCCCCCTTTGAATGGTCAAGATGAGTTTTGATGTTGTGTGCTTTGAGTTGCTGAGATGAATGCAGAGATTATGAAACACGAAGAGAAGTCGGCCAGACCACAGCTTTGAGAAAACGTACAGCAGTGAATTCTATATCGTAATTGGGATACAATCAACTCTAAATTATCCGTGGTTTGATTATTCGGGTTGCGGATTAACCATGTTTGTGGGGAAAAAAACAACTGCATTGTTTTGAGATGTACCCCGTGAGGTGGTACGAACTGAATTCCTGAAAAAGCTCCCAGCACGTGGAATGAAACGTCGGATGTGCCATATCATACGCAGCACAACCCAAAAATACATCAGGGAGCTGTGCAGCATAACCATAATAACCCACCTATCTTTGCGCGCACTCTGGTTATATCATTTTCTGTTCTTCCTTGGAAGGTTCAAAACATACGATTGCAAACATGTTGGAAAGTGAACCGATTACTCTAATAAACAAAAAGACTGCACATGTTACCCTCATTCCACGTTAAGTAAACAAGAAAAAGGTTAACTTAAGCAGTAGGTTTTTTTCAGTCAATATGATTTGGCAAATGTTTTTTATTCAGACTTTCTGCAGCTTGTCCTTAAGATTATTCAAGTTACCAATGGCCGCGTTAACGTTTATACGCATGACAGTTGAATTAATATTCTTTGAGTCTTTCGGTAAAGTCACGTAGATAGGTTCAAGGATAGTTATTTTTTTTGTTATTTTCTTTGAACTTATCTCCGTGACTTTACCAAAAGACCCAAAGAATATGAATTACTGCAGTCACGAAAGCTTTTAAGTAAAATGTAATGAATGTGGAGGGTCTTGCGACTGAAATTTGGCCAGATCAGTATGCACCTTCCGACCCACAGGAAGTGCATACTAATCTATCCAAATTTGGTGCAAGTGGAAGCAAAGATGAAGAGAAAGAAGGCAGAAGAAGAGGTGGGGGGAGGGCGATGTGGTGCGATCGGACACGCTGGCTCGTAAAGCGGAGAGAGAGAGAGGGAGAGATGGCGCAGGAAGGACAGGGCAATGTGGAGAAAGTTGTCAAGGGCAGTGTGGAGAAAGTTGTCAAGGGCAGTGTGGAGAAAGTTGTCAAGGGCAGTGTGGAGAAAGTTGTCAAGGGCAGTGTGGAGAAAGTTGTCAAGGGCAGTGTGGAGAAAGTTGTCAAGGACAGCGGAACACCCCACGTGAGTGACGCGTGGGAGAAGAAGAAAATGAGGCCAACCCAAAATGCAACTGAACAAATAGCTATTATGTTTTACCCTAAGTTAGGTATACTTTATATTTTCAGTGCGTGTGTTTTCTTTTGCGGGCCACCGGATAATTTTCCGGTGAAATAGCGGGAGAGGGTTGGCCCGGAAAAGAAAACACACACACACTTCGGTTCAAGTTAAGAACTTAGGTTCAAGTTAAAAATAGAGCCTGTTGTTAATTTCAAAAGTGATTTCCCGTTTGGAAATTCCACATTATTATGGCGGGGGCAAGTATAAACTACTCTGGACGGATGATGGGCTGAGTCACCCCCCCACCCCCTCCTACCAGAATTTCAACACACGTCCTTCAATTACGAGCCTCTTACTATACGGTAGAGGCATGTGGCCGGATTAATTGTAAACTAATATAAATAGTAAATTTTTTATCACCTGACATGATTTTTTTTCATTTTATAGTGTAGTCCTGAATAGTGACTGTTGTGTAATTTGATAATATTGCTGAATTAATAAAATTAAATGTCTTCAAGAATGTTTTACTCACGTACATTTATGTCGTCAATGAATGGGGGTACAAGCAATGTTTTGTGGGAGCTGTGACGTGGATAGGGCCTCGGCAGTGTTCAGTGCTACCACCTCGTGTCTGAATGTCTTCCCGTGTGTGCTACGAAGCACACGTTCATGGTATTTGCCAAATATCCCAATTCCGGGACCCTCCATAAAACGAGGAATGAGACTTACCGAGTCGTTCCGAGTTAAGTGAATGGCATCAGCTCTAGCACTGACGGTGTCCACCTCAAATCCAGCACATTGGAGGCAAGAGTTGACGGATCGGCTGAGGTCCACATCCTGGATTTCCAGTGTTTGGCAATTCCATGGGGGTGGGGGTGGCCGGGCATGGGGGGTGGCCGGGCACGTGGGGGGGGGTGGCCGGGCACGTGGGGGGGGGGGGGTGGCCGGGCACGTGGGGGGGGGGGGGTGGCCGGGCACGTGGGGGGGGGGGGGGGTGGCCGGGCACGTGGGGGGGGGTGGCCGGGCACGTGGGGGGGGGGGGGGGGGGTGGCCGGGCATGGGGTGGGGGTGGCCGGGCATGGGGGGGGGGGGTGGCCGGGCACGTGGGGGGGGGGGGTGGCCGGGCACGTGGGGGGGGGGGGTGGCCGGGCACGTGGGGTGGGTGGCCGGGCACGTGGGGGGGGGGGTGGCCGGGCACGTGGGGGGGGGGGTGGCCGGGCACGTGGGGGGGGGGGGGTGGCCGGGCACGTGGGGGGGGGGGTGGCCGGGCACGTGGGGGGGGGGGGGGGTGGCCGGGCACGTGGGGGGGGGGGGGTGGCCGGGCACGTGGGGGGGGGTGGCCGGGCACGTGGGGGGGGGGTGGCCGGGCACGTGGGGGGGGGTGGCCGGGCACGTGGGGGGGGGGGTGGCCGGGCACGTGGGGGGGGGGGGGGTGGCCGGGCACGTGGGGGGGGGGGTGGCCGGGCACGTGGGGGGGGGGGGTGGCCGGGCACGTGGGGGGGGGGGGGTGGCCGGGCACGTGGGGGGGGGGGGTGGCCGGGCACGTGGGGGGGGGGGGTGGCCGGGCACGTGGGGTGGGTGGCCGGGCACGTGGGGTGGGTGGCCGGGCACGTGGGGTGGGTGGCCGGGCACGTGGGGTGGGTGGCCATGCGGGCTACACGACTTGTCCACTAGACGGCAGTATATACCCACAGCACTTTGTTGGCCCGATTCATCGCCGATCCGAGGGGAAAATCCTCCGATCTGGCAACGCGACGAGGGTCCCCGCATTTCCGGTTTCAAAGTATTGACTTCAGGATCAACATCATCATCAGTTCTTCATCTCATCATCATCATCAGCTCCTCGTGGCTCCCTCCCCTTGTCGTCGCTCCATCCATTCCCGCAGCCTGGTCACAATTCCTCGTTCCTCATCACTCGTTCGCCGCTCCCACACAGTTACAACAACAACAACAGCAGCAGCAAGAAGACCGCCTAGAGATCTTGAGACCATTACCTCATCCAGTGCCGGATTAAGCTCGTGCCGGGGCCTGTATCATTTGTTATTAAAGGGACATACATTAAAATACACAATTTTTACTTGCAGAGTAAAGTAAATAGATTGTTTTCATTTGCTATACAGCCGGATAATACGAAACAAATCGCTAACCTTAAACGCCCAGTCGTTCGTAAAAGTTGAAGGCGGTATAGTACTATAGTAATAGAGCAAGTGCAGAATCACTGAACCGGAATTTATAGCCTGAAAGCATTTAGCGCGGGGCCCTTGAAAGTGCGGGGCCCGTAGCTACTACTTGTAGCTACTTGTGTAGTAGCTACTTGTGTAGTAGCTACTACACTTGTAGCTACTTGTGTTACTACATGTGTAGTAGCTACTTGTGTAGTAGCTACTACACTTGTAGCTACTTGTGTTACTACATGTGTAGTAGCTACTTGTGCTACTAGGTTAATAATCTGTCACTGGCCTCGCCTTCCTCCTCGTCGTCAAACTCGTCCTCCTCCTAGTCCGCCTCGTCTCTCTCCTCGTCGTCCTCGTCCTCCTCGTCATGATGGTGCAGGCGGTTCGCGTGCGCGCGGACGCGCTCCACGTGTGCCTCACGCACGCGCTCTCCACTGAGCGCGAGGAGGTCATGGGGCTGTGCATCGGGGAGGTGAGCGGCGACTCGCCACCAACACCCTCACCACCACCACCCTCGCCACCACCACCACCCTCGCCACCACCACCACCACCCTCACCACCACCACCACCACCCTCACCACCACCACCACCACCCTCACCACCACCCTCACCACCCTCACCACCACCCTCACCACCCTCACCACCACCCTCACCACCCTCACCACCACCCTCACCACCCTCACCACCACCCTCACCACCCTCACCACCACCCTCACCACCACCCTCACCACCCTCACCACCACCCTCACCACCACCCTCACCACCCTCACCACCACCCTCACCACCCTCACTCTCACCACTCTTCCCACCACCCTCGCTACCCTCCCACCACCACCACCACCCTCACCACCCTCGCCACCACCCTCACTACCCTCTCCACCACCACCCTCACCACCAACACTCTCATCACCACCCTAACCACTCTTACCACCACCCTCGCTACCCTTACCACCACCATCACCACCACCCTCACCACCCTTGCCACCCCCTCCACCACCACCACCCTCGCTACCCTCACTCTCACCAGGACCACCACTCTTACCACCACTCTCACCACTCTTACCACCACCCTCACCACAACCCTCACTCTCACCAGGACCACCACATCACCCTCACCTTCGCTCATCACCACCACCCTCACCAAAGACCCCCCCACCCCCCATAACATCCTTAGATTTGGGGCAAGTGGTGTTAGCGAACTCCAATGAAGGCTGGAACGGCACACGAGGGGGTGGGTGGTCACCACCACTCACCACACAGACACAGACCTCACCACACAGACACAGACCTCACCACACAGACACAGACCTCACCACACAGACACAGACCTCACCACTCACCACACAGACCTCACCACACAGACACAGACCACACAGACACAGACCTCACCACACAGACACAGACCTCACCACTCACCACACAGACCTCACCACACAGACACAGACCTCACCACTCACCACACAGACCTCACCACACAGACACAGACCTCACCACACAGACACAGACCTCACCACACAGACCTCACCACACAGACACAGACCTCACCACACAGACACAGACCTCACCACACAGACACAGACCTCACCACACAGACCTCACCACACAGACACAGACCTCACCACACAGACACAGACCTCACCACACAGACACAGACCTCACCACACAGACCTCACCACACAGACACAGACCTCACCACACAGACCTCACCACACAGACACAGACCTCACCACACAGACACAGACCTCACCACACAGACACAGACCTCAGCACACAGACACAGACCTCACCACACAGACACAGACCTCACCACACAGACACAGACCTCACCACACAGACACAGACCTCACCACACAGACACAGACCTCACCACACAGACACAGACCTCACCACACAGACACAGACCTCACCACACAGACACAGACCTCACCACACAGACCTCACCACACAGACACAGACATCACCACACAGACACAGACCTCACCACAGACTTTACCACACAGACCTCACCACACAGACACAGACCTCACCACACAGACACAGACATCACCACACAGACACAGACATCACCACACAGACCTCACCACACAGACACAGACCTCACCACACAGACCTCACCACACAGACACAGACATCACCATACAGACACAGACATCACCACAGACTTTACCACACAGACCTCACCACACAGACAGACCACACCACAAAGCTCAGCTCCCAACGCCATCCACGCAGACCCTATTCAGCCTCAGACCCTTCCACTCAGCAGCGTCAGGAGCGTGGGGGAAGGCGGGGGGGGGGGGGTGCCTTGCCACCCCCCCTGGTGGCTAAAGCTACAAGTTGGGACCCCCTTGACAACCACCATGAGATACGATCGGTGTCATCGAACAAAAACATTTCTTTATTAACGCGGTTTTAATAAGGTCTCCATCTAGCCAGATCACATCCACCCAGTCTCCATCTAACCAGATCACATCCACCCAGTCTCCATCTAACCAGATCACATCCACCCAGTCTCCATCTAACCAGGTCACATCCACCCAGTCTCCATATAACCAGATCACATCCACCCAGTCTCCGTCTAACCAGATCACATCCACCCAGTCTCCATTTAACCAGATCACATCCACCCAGTCTCCATCTAACCAGATCACATCCACCCAGTCTCCATTTAACCAGATCACATCCACCCAGTCTCCATCTAACCAGATCACATACACCCAGTCTCCATCTATCCAGATCACATACACCCAGTCTCCATCTAACCAGATCACATCCACCCAGTCTCCATCTAACCAGGTCACATCCACCCAGTCTCCATCTAACCAGATCACATCCACCCAGTCTCCATCTAACCAGATCACATACACCCAGTCTCCATCTATCCAGATCACATCCACCCAGTCTCCATCTAACCAGATCACATCCACCCAGTCTCCATCTAACCAGATCACATCCACCCCAGTCTCGATTTAACCAGATGACATCCACCCAAGTCTCCATATAACCAGATCACACCCACCTATCTGGTTCATCCAGGCCAGGGGTCAGCAACCAAAAGAACAAGAAGAGCCATTTGTTTTCGAATTCGGTAAAAAAAGTTAATATTTTCAAGAGCCGCAATGCACGTGATGAATACGAGACTGTGGTCCTCATGAAATAACGTTACGAAGGCAGCAGTCCTTAAAGAGTCGCATGCGGCCTTGTAAAGCCGCAGGTTACCGACCCCTGATCCAGGCCTTACTAACCCCATACACCCGGACCCCATTCTGCCAAGTCCCACAGACCCAATTCACCCTATTCACCAAAGTACTACAGACCCAATTCACCCCAGTCTCCATCTACCCAGCTCTTAAAGACCCAGTTCACCCAGACCCTACCCACCCCCATTACCTCCAGACTGGATCCACTCAGTCCCTACAGACCCCCATCCACAGAGGCCCCATCCCACCCAGACCCGACTGATCGCCGTACCGCCAGACTCCGACACACCCAGCCGAGCCTCCCGCTGCTCTGGGTCGCCCCCCTTGCAGGTGGACACGAGCGAGGTGGTTCACATCTACTCGGTGATCATCCTCCGGCGCTCGGACAAGCGCAAAGACCGCGTGGAGATCTCCCCGGAGCAGCTGTCGGCCGCCTCCACCGAGGCCGAGATATCCTCCCCCCGCGCCTGCTTGCACCTCTGCCTCTTTTTCCACTGGCACAACCGTGCCGTGCCGGGGCCGTGCCCAGGTGTTTTTTTTCCCCCCCACCGTAGAAGCCGAGCTGTGCTTGCTGTGACGTCACACAACAAATATGTCTTATGCATGTAATTATCCCTGCCCCCTCGCTACTGCTTGGGCCCAAGCCAGCTGTGTACAGAAGATGAGCGCTGCCTCAATGAAAAGGATTTGGCCAAATATTGCAATGCAGGACCCACCTGTAAATGACTCTTGAGACTCATTGGGTCTTTCCTGTATACATTTGCTGTTGTAAATTTCTGACCAGCCCCGACTGAACATCTATTAAAAAGAGCTTCTTAGCTCCTCGGATTTCTATAGGATAAAGATTCTTATTCTGAATTACATTATATTATATTTTTACAAGGCTTTTACTCTAAAACCTTTGTGTCATTAAAGTGTAAATATAAAATACTAATGCAAGTGATTTCTTGCTGAAAAGAGCATTGAGACGGTGCTCATGTTCTGTTTACAGAGCTCAGCTGGGGGTGGAAATTCCACTGTGGAGGGAAGCCTCTCAATAGGACAACCGCTGTCAACTTCGCCACAAAGTGGTACTACTCGTTTTGTTGATACTCATTATCAGAGGGATGATGGGCTGAACCACCCCCCAAGCAGGATTTGAACTCCCAACTTCGCGATTGGGAGCCGTTCGCCCTGCCGCCGGGCCACCTGATGGGTTCCCAGTTCCAGTCGGGGTCTTCGCAACGTCTCTGCTGGTCCTTGACTCGTTTCCACAGACTGGCGGTGCAGAGCGGGAAGCCGATGCGCGTGGTGGGGTGGTACCACTCCCACCCACACATCACGGTGTGGCCCTCGCATGTCGGTGAGTGTGCACAGCAAGCAGGAACCGTGCCGTAGTGCTGTGACAGTGTCTACATTGAAGGGAACGTTTGTGTTGTTTGGTAGGTCTAGCCTTGTCATTTGCTCACTCGCTCGCTCGCTCGCTCAACTGCGGGCAGAAGGGCCCTCCATGCTGGCCAGATGTCTTGGAAGAGGTGGGAGTACCCACGTTTTACTCCACCACACGTGACCGGCCAATCATCAGTCAGAATCAGAATGTTTATTGATACTGGAGGAATCCGATGAGCTATAAAGCCCTTTTTCACAGATGTCCAGTTGGGGCAGGTAAGAACGTTCACCGCAATCGACTGGTGAATGCATTTCTACTGCTGGGGATAGATAGACGTTTGGGGGGGGTGGGCGGGTTTAAGAAACTTGCAGCATCGTTTCACCTGCGCGCCGGGAGATTGGATCGAACCGGCGACCTGGATTGCAAATTTGCGGTGCGAGACATCGCAGCACTTTGACAGCCAGGGGGAGGATCCCAGGATCTCAGCAGTGCCGGCTGTGCTCAGACACAGAATTAACTCCCTGAGCTACCCAGTCACCTCTTATCAAAGCATCAAACTCATGCCAGCCAGCCTACCTATGCGTCTTCTAATTATTGTTGCTGTTGTGCATGTTTTGGACTCTTTAGCAAGTGAAGAAGAAAGGAGAATCGCTGCCTTCGAAATGAAAGCCTTTCGTTGAATTCTTAAACTTCATTATAATGAGCAGCACTTAAACAAGGATGTCCTGGATAGATGAAGCAAAGAATCAGGGCTACTTATTTAGGTCTAGTTCAGAATCCTGCAATATTTTGGACATGTGACCAAGGTGAAAGGCTGCTGAGCATAGCGACAGAGGGAACGCGTGAAGGAGCTAGGGAAAAAGGAAACGCAGGACATGGCCGGACGTCAAACATCAAACACCGGGCGGGATGGAACGCCGTCGCAGTTGAACAACGCAGCGACGGACAGAGTAGCAGTGGAGATAAAGCACTGCAAGGAGGTATCGGTGAAGGAGACTGTCAGGGCCCAACAGGCCAAGGGACCAGAAGAAGCAGAAGATTGGTTGTTTGGGGTGCACGGTGGTGGGGTGCGTTATGGCGAGCGTGATAGTTGTTGGCGTGTGTCAGACGTGGGCACGCAGGCCATGTACCAGATGATGGACGATTGCTTCGTGGGACTCATTTTCGCCTGTTTCTCCGACGACAAGAACACCAAGGTAAGAGGCCACAGCGCTGCCCTGCGGGGGCTCCCTCTAACGCTGTCGCTCTTAACGCAGCGTTCTTCACTCATTTTCAGAGCGGGGCCACTTTCCCCCGATACCACACCACCAGTATGAAGGCCGCCACACATTTGAAACCATTGCGGGTTTGACAGCAGCGCGATGATGATGGGGGGAGTGTTTTCACCATTTGTTTATTGACGGGGGCCGCACTAAAGGCCACCAGGAGCCACCAGTGATCCGCGGGCATTCCATTATGGCTCTGCAGCTATTGTTGAAACAACTTGCTAAAGGATGCTAGACTATTTGGTTTTTGCTGTTTATTATTATGCCTTGTCGAACCTCATGACTTGTTCAGGAGGATCCTGCCAAGTTTCTGCGGTAGGGGGCGATGATTGCTCTCTTATCCCAGCCGAGTACTGTAATTTGATTGTAGCTGTGACTACGTTATGGGTCCTGCAAATGTTATTGTCGTTCAGAGCCTTGAACCAGAGAGAATTGTGCTTCAGCAGGCACGAGTAAAAAATTATTATTATTATTATTGACAGCTGCTGTTTGTTGTGTGTTGGTCAGTGTGTGGGCTGGAGTGTGGTTTTGTTGTGTTTGTTGGTGTGTGAGTTATTGGTTGGGTTATAGGTTGTTGGTTGGGGTGTGGGTCCGTGTGGTGTTTTTTTGGGTGTGGGTCGCTTTGTGGGTCGTTGTGTAGGTCGTTGTGTATGTAGGTCGTTGTGTAGGTCGTTGTGTATGTAGGTCGTTGTGTAGGTCCGTGTGATGGTTTTTTGGGTGTGGGTCGTTGTGTGCGTCGCTGTGTGGGTCGCTGTGTAAGTCGTTGTGTAGGTCCGCGTGATGGTTTTTGGGGTGTGGGTCTTTGGTTGCTTCGCTGTGTGGGTCGCTGTGTAGGTCCGTGTGATGTTTTTGGGGTGTGGGTCGTTGTGTGGGTCACTTTGTGGGTCGCTGTGTAGGTCCGTGTGATGTTTTTGGGGTGTGGGTCGCTGTGTGGGTCGCTGTGTAGGTCCGTGTGATGGTTTTTGGGGTGTGGATCGTTGTGTAGGTCTGTGTGATGGTTTTTGGGGTGTGGGTCACTGTGTGGGTCGCTGTGTAAGTCGTGTAGTTCCGTGTGATGTTTTTTGGGTGTGGGTCGTTGTGTGCGTCGCTGTGTGGGTCGCTTTGTGTTCCCCTAACGGCCGGTGCCTGCCGTCTCCCACAGACTGGCCGCGTGCTGCTCACCTGCTTCCAGTCCATGAAAGTGCCCGGGGAAGAGGAGTGAGTGTCCCCTCACCTCCCCACTCTTCACACCACTGCTTCCCGAGCCTCACCAGACACTCTCACCATGCCATCACACTCACAACTCACCACCATGCCATCACACTCACAACTCACCAGATACTCATTCTCACCAGACACGCGACTTGCCAGATACCAACCAGTGACCAGACACTCATCACTCCCAACTCGTAAAACACTTCCCACTCGCCAAACACTCACTAGATGCCACACTCGTCAGACTAGCACCAAACACTTACTAGACACTCTTGCTACTCACCCACACGAGTGGTGATTCACCATCACCACTCGCCCATACACACGCTCACCACTCGCCAGACACTCACTGTGTTCTGTATGGATGTGTGTATGCTCTGTGTGACTGTATGTACGGTGTTGTGTATGGATGCGTGTGTGTGGACCTTGGTGTGTGCATGCAGGGGTGAGGCAGTCCAGTGGTTCGTGCACCGCACGACCCGGTGACTTGATTCCCGCTCATGACCAAGACCAATGACGAATATCTGAACCGATCCTGGGCCACCCTTAGGTTGACTCGGCCTGAAATGAGTACCTGGTGCGATGTATAAACATCAGCACTGGGGAGACAAAGGCGGTCAGGCGCGGTGTTGGCCACACGACCTCTTCGTACGTCATTCCGACCTTGACAGGTGCTGCTCGCTGACAGCCCTTGCCCCCAACAGTCTATTAAAGGTTACACGTGTTGGGGGGGTGGGGGGCGGGGGAACGTTGTCTCTGTGCGTGCTGCAGGATAGCGCGAGTCGAGATCCCGGTGCACGTGGTGCCGTGCCCGACCATCAGCCAGATGTGCCTGGAGTCCATCGTTGAGCTGCCCAAGAGTCTGTGCGAGGAGGAGCAGGACGCGTACCGGAGGGTTCTCAAGTACGTGAGCGCTTACGGCGTGTAAAGGAGTTCAACATGCGTACACGCAGCTCGCGAGGGGGCCGTGGCACGCGGTGGTGACGCTTGCGCCTCACAGCAAGAAGGGCCGGGGATCCATTACCCACTTGTAATCTCACGCGACCCGCTGTATTTATTGTAGAGCGTCTAACGTGCTAATTGCATCTCGGCAATTGTACCTGCACGATTTGCAACGGGGTCGTGGGAAACTGCACACAGGTGGGCAGGCAGCCAGAACTGGCGCTGCCAACAATTGCTCCGGCCCTGTAGTCACTCCATAGGGGGGCGATACGCGCTGCGTCTCATCCCAATCTATTAATTTGCGGGTCATTTTCGAATTTGCCAAATGTGGATCGTGACGCCGGCACCCAGTGGCCTACCCTTACGACTGACGTCGCTGGATCTCGAACGTGCAACGTGAATCGGACGACGCGTAGCTTACGGTTCACACACCCGCGGTAATAAACAGGGCGGCCGCTTCGGTGCAAGCCATGAACCTTTGCAACAAGCGGCAAGCACCCTACCGCTGGGCCACATAACCTTCCCCCGCCCAACTGTCTCGCATGTCATCTCGCGTCTCTCCTTGTATCTGCTGACCAATGTTGTTTGCCACTCGTTTTTACCTCGTTGATTTCGTCTCATTTGTTGCATAATCCTTACGGTGCATTAGCGTATACTTTTGTGCCATGTTGCAAATGACAGTGACGGTAGACCTGACGTTTCCACTCTCAGACTGATCCTGTTTGTGTTTTCAGTTTAACCAGCCTGGACCCCATCACTAAGATACACAACGGGACAGGTACGCGGACTAATGCACTGCCCCAAATCACTGTGGCATCTTTCGTAAGAGTAGTAGTAGTAGGCTGTTGCGTACCTGCGTCGAGATCCAGAATTACAAAATGTAAAAAATTACACCGCAGATGCCTCAATCGAAATACGCATGGCGATCCTTTGCCAAGAAAACCTTGCAGGGACCCTCCTTAAAAAGCAAAAGAACTCATGAGACTGAGGCTTTCCTGGGTCAACAAGTGTAGATGTCATAATCACGTGATATTTTTGTAGAAAAGCGACAAGAGCTCAAAACTGTTCCGGAGGTGCAGCACGAGATTGGTGCTGCTTGAGCACCGCAATTGCCCAAAGTAGTTTTCGCTGCGTGGTTGGCACACAACTGTGATCCAGTGCGTTGAGGAAAGGGCCGCGGTGGGGTCTTGTGTATGTCCCTGGTCTCCTGAATTCTCCAAAATAGACTTGAGCCTCGATGTAGATTAGTTAGGCTTCCAAACCCATCCGACTGTAAGGTAGCCAGCAGGTGGCAGTGCACTAAGCGGGTTCGTGCACCCATCTGTGTGGACCTTTCAGCATGGGTTTTAGATTTCTCGAGCCGCTTCATTTTTCTCCCACATCCGAAGCGACATGCCTACATGGGGACCCTTCTTTCTGAAAGAGTATTGCTACTGGGCAAGGCTGTCTCAGATAAATAATAGACATGCAGCATGTTATACTTGGGGTTTGTTCATTTTTCAAAGGAAACACGCCAATACCATAAATCACTCACCATTGTCATCCACGGTCAATCCACCGCTGGACGAATGTCTCCAGAAGCCGCTGCCGTCTCTCACTCTCCTCCCCTCCTGTGTTCTTGTTGCGCGTTGACAGTTTTCACGAGGAATCTGTGCTCCCAGATGGCCTACGTGAGTGGGCCGCTGCTCCAGTTCCTGGAGGACCGCGTAGAGCGGAACGCGTGGAGGATCCGCGAGCTCCAGGCAGAGAAACAGAAGCTCCAGGAGCAACTGGAGGCCCTGGAGTAGTGACCCTGCTGGCAGTGACGCGGACGTGCCGGCTCAAAGCTCCATTGTCCGCATGATTCACACTTGTCGTCATGATTCACACCTGTCGGCATGATTCACACTTGTCCGCATGATTCACACTTGTCGGCGTGATTCACACTTGTCGGCGTGGTCACTGGGATTGTTGCTCTGGAAAGTACAATGGTAACCAGTGGCGTGTGTATGCTCATGTTGAGGTTGGCGAGTGAGGCAGCGAACGGCTACAGTTGCCTCACGGTGAAAGTCCACTGGTGAATTATCGCATCGGGCATTGCGGTTCCTGTGTGATCCGTGGTTTTAGATGTATACTCGCAGATATAGATTCAGACGTGCATTGAGACTTAGACTTACATAGAGAGCCATAGACTCAAATGGACACGGCTTCGGGATTCACGTCGTGGTGAATATTCCAAACGCCGCCAGCAAATGATCGCAGCCGGCAGTGGCGTTAATTGTGGTCTATTGTTTGAGATCGGTGACAGCAGCCTTGCTGCGGGCTGCTCCGAATTGTCCATTGGCGCAAGGAGATAGCGGCGTCTGCCATGCCGACGTGTTCCCACTGCCACATCACACCGGCGGGATGTACGAGCCGATGTCCGGTGGCCCCGTGGCGACAGCTGTGGTGTTGGCGAGGAGCGCGAAATCGAGAGCGGCGCGTTTCGGTGGGAGGGGGCAGAGGGTCAGCGGGTGAACCAACGCAAAGGCTGCCACCCCGACCCCGTGGACGGTGTTGAACCCCCGCTTCACGAGCAAGAGGTCTGGGCGGTGGATATACGTGGACGTAACGATAAGCGTGGAGTGGTGGCACGAACCCGATCAGCCGAGCTTGCATCTCTGGCCACAGATCAGGTCCCGCAACAAAACAACCCCCGTAACCCAACCTGGTGTGGCGAGGCCTTCCTCCGTCCTTGGCTTGATAATGGCTGGAAATTATTTTATTGTGCAAATCGACTCTTATACAATACACATAAATAAGGCTCCACTAGAATCTATATTAGGAATCTATTGAGTAATGTAAACATACGAAACTGAAATCTGCATTGAAGTGAATCTGGAGGATTTCGTGGCGTGAATATAGAATCCACACGAGTGGGAATGTAGACTTTACAGCTGTAGAAATGTCGAGGAAGCATCGTGTCGTGAAGTCCCACGTGATAATAGTTCGGCTGGCTCCGAAGAATCAGCAGCTCGCAATCGGAAAGTTGCGAGTTCCAATCCTGGTTCGGGCTCGACTCAGCCACTCGTATACCTTTGGGGTCCATAAAATGAATACCGCTTTGTGCGAAGTTGATGGTCATTGTCCGATGGATTAATTCACCACCATAGGAATGTGGAATTTACCCCGCTAGTTCAGGGCTGGCAGCAGATGCACGTGATGTCAATTGGCACGTGGAATACCCCAAGATGAATGCGCATCCTTGCGTCTGCTTTGTAAACCACGATTGGAGTTAACGTGTCTTGCGTGTTGGAAATAACACCCGTTTCTCTCTCATCAACTACAGTCGGTTATCCTACAGCGCCGCGTGTTATCGTAACGCGAATTGTATATAACGTGATGAATGTATGAGGGAACACTTTTTTTAATAACAAGGATGTGAACGGGATATAACGCAATCGAGTGAACGGAACCCCGTCGCGCGAGTAGGAGAATGTGGTCGTACGGCTGCCTCGGCGAAGCCTCGCTGCTACGCGCCTCGGTCTTTATTCAGCCTGAATATGCATCTCGCGTCGTATCACGCGCTCTGCTTTATCCTACATTGTTATTAAAATGCGATTTTTCCATAACCCCGGTGTTCATCAGGAACGCAGCTACCACGTTATAAGAGAACGGACTGTACACCATAATCAATCTTGGCAAACTTCTCGTCCTTGGTATGTCATGTATGTAAATATTTAAATAAAACTACTGTCAACACAAGGATCTGAATTTGTCCGTCTTTCAGTCCGTATCAGCATTGTAGCGTCAGCTTACGGCGGGGATCATTGAGGGCGGAGTTCCCAGAGTGATCACGCTGGACCACGTGCCTGTTGTAGTGGGTTCGAATTAGGTACACACACACACACACAGCTTGGTAAGTGTGTGTGTGTGCACCTAATTCCGTTCTATTTATTAGAACGGTAAGTAATATAACACTGTACATAAGGTGGTGACCACCTTCCTCAACTCACTAACACTCTGGAACACTACACAGCGTGACCCAGGCAGGCAACGGGCTGCCTGGTCCCAGACGATGACCCGGGACTTGAGGATTGATGATTTCGTCTTCACTTCGGGGTTGAACAGCCCCGCTCTGCCTTCACACCTCTGGGAAGGTCCGGGTCCTCCACCACGTGACCCCCCAGGTTCCCCCTTGGGACCCCCAGTCCTCGTACGGGCCTACACAGTAGTGACGTCCTTATGTCACTAACACTGTCACAAAGTTCTCCAGTAGAGGACACGGGGTCAATGCTGTTGAAAACCGCGTGAACATTTGAGTGTGGTCTGATGATGTGTGAAGAATACTGTTGGTTTATAGTCAGGTTTTTTGGGGGTGGTGCTTCAAAGACAGAACTACTATCAATGAGATTGATGATTATGAAGATGCAGCAGCAGCAGCAGCATCGGCCGTGGTCTATTCACTGCTCATTCACCGTCACCACTCGGACACTCACTAGTCGCCAGACACTTGTTGTTGTACGCTCCATGCGACTGCATGCACAGACAGACCGCGCTGAACGCAGGGTTTACATCCCTGGAAAGTGTTGAGACGAAACCGCGTTGGACAAATAATATATACCTTGTGGGAAAAAACGGGGTTGTGTCCATGGGTCTGAAATGACCACCCCCTTCTTCCTCTTTGTTAAATGATTCTCAGCAATTTCTGGCCTTGTTATTGAACAAAAGAATGCCTCCATTCCTCGTGTGTTTATTCTATTTTTTAAATTTCACCTCGACACAAAGTCACCCGCACCCAGGCCGCCCTTCATTCTGTTTTTCTCGCACATCACTCTCCCTGGGCAGTGCCCGACTGGGCAGCTTACTCCAAGGGATTGTGGTTTTTGCGCCGAGAATACAAGTTAGTACTGAGAGAGTTTATAACATGTGGTATAATAAATAGTATTAGATTGTAATGTTTAACATAATTCATAAGGCAATATATAGCATCGTAATTGCATAGTGAATATACAGCAGTGTGGTACATAGTTGGGTTCATAGAATAAGACATAGTGTAATGTTACAAGTCCAAAGGTGGAATTTGTCTATGGCTATGATGTTATACCATGTAGTTTAGATTTGAAGGTATAATATTGTATGGTATAGTAGTCCAGTTTATAGCATAGTCATAATGCAACTCAGGACACAGCAGCGCACCTTGGCTGTTTCTCTTATTTGTCTGTGTTCCCAGCCCCCTCCTCCGCTCCGGTGGTGGTGCTCGGTAACTTGCTAATTCATGTAACTCTGCCCACACAGCTTACAAGACGCGGTCCTCGCTTGACAAGTGTTCATTCAAGCTCTCTCTTTTGGACAGACCTGTTTCTTCACCTGAAGAAGGCCACTTGTGTTGTGGCCGAAACGTCGTGAGAATTGTATTTTATTATGCTTTATTTTTTATTATTTTGTTTCCATTCTACGTGACTTTACTGAAAGAACCAAGAAGATGAATCCCTGCAGTCACGAAAGCTTTAAATCGAAATTCACGGTGATGCGGTGTCTGCTATTTCTGTGTGGAGCGACTGCGTGTGCAGGACGAGTCCCGGGGTAGCGGCGGGGGAGCGCGCGGGGCGATGATCGCGGCGCGAGTGATCGTGGGGTGATGATCGCGGCAGCGAGTGATCGTGGGGTGATGATCGTGGGGTGATGGTCGCGGGGCGATGATCGCGGCGCGAGTGATCGTGGGGTGATGATCGTGGGGTGATGATCGCGGCGCGAGTGATCGTGGGGTGATGATCGTGGGGTGATGATCGCGGCGCGAGTGATCGTGGGGTGATGATCGTGGGGTGATGGTCGTGGGGTGATGATCGTGGGGTGATGATCGCGGGGACCGCTACCACGTTTGCGCAGGTGTGCAGGTGGAAGCGTACGGTCCCCGCAGCTGATAGTTAACCGCTCGCAGGTAACAGCGCGGTTCGCGGCCCCTCTGTTTGCGACAGCTGCGGTGTGCACGGGCGTGTGGTTTAACCCCGTGCGGCTCCCGAGGCCACCAGCACGAACATGTCCCTCGAGAGAGGGCGCTGGCGTGGGGGGGGGGGACCCGTCACTCGGTCGGCAGGGTGCCCGGCGGGGGGCCCGGCGGGGGCCCGACCGACGCGGTGGATGTGGGAGCGAAACGGGGCGGACGTCGCGCCCCACCTGCCCAGCGAGGGTGGCGGGGTGGACGTCGACCCTTCGAGCTGCTGCCTTCGCCAATTGCTTCTTCTGGCCTCCTCCGTCGTGTCCCCCCCTTGTTCTTTTCTTCAGCTGCCTCGCCATCTGCTCTACTCGTCGGAGCCTTTGACCTTCAAATGTCTGCTTCTCTGGAACCTTTGCTGGTGATATTTCACGCAATTGCCCGCCAAGTTTTATCTCAATACAGTAAAACCTTGGATTGCGAGTAACTTCGGTCTGCGAGTGTTTTGCAAGACGAGCAAAAAATGTAAATAAATATTAATTTGATAAACGAGCGAGGTCTTGCAATACGAGTAGTACGTACACACGTTTTGCCTGCCGAGCGTCACGTGATCACAACTGATATACGAGTGCTTTGATATACGAGTGCTTTGGATTACAAACACGTTATGCTCGCAATCCAAGGTTTTACTGTATAACAATACGGCTGTGTCTGTAGCGCGCCGGAACATAGAGGAAATAAACAGAAACACATTTTATCTGGGTGGGGAGGTGGGGGCTGATTGGGCTGATGACCTCAGGAGCCACCGATGTTGACCTCAGTTTGGGGTGAGGCTGAGGATGGGGGGGACGTCATGAGACGCATTGGGGGCAAATGCGCGCTATGACGTCATGATCCCTACGGTGGCGGGGATTACGTCACGCGACACTCCGGTGGAGCGATGACGATATCGAGAAACGCTGGGGCGTCGAGGACACGTGCATGATGTAATGCGAAGCCAGTGATGTGGAAGGATGACGTCACGCAAGTGTGGTGATGATGGGTTGGTGAGATGTCGATGGTGAGGGGAATGACGTCACGCGACGCTGATGGATCAGTGATTTAAAAGTTTTCATTAAGATACCAAAATATTAAAATGTCGCAAACATAAATACCAAATTATAAAATGTACACAGTCGCCATGTTTCCACGTGGGTTCCTGATAGTTGTACAATAATAAGTCACCATATACTGTATTAAGAATGATTTATTCAGAGCACATCCATAAACACCAACATATATTATCCGTAACCACATCTGCTGTTTATACCTTTAGTAATTAAACAGCAAGTACAACATAAGTCAGCTTTGTGGTAATGACCGAAATTCTAGAGCCATTCACCCCAAGCAAATGTGCAGCCAAACAGACTTCTAGGAAGTAGGCCACGGCCTCCTATTGGTGCAGAAAGGCCTCCATGATGATTGGCCGGGAGGCAAGGTTTGAAGGGATTGGAGGAGAGGTTCAAACTGAAAAAGGCGGGAAGCGGAGGTTGGGAGTTGGTTTGAGAGTTGAGGCGACGGTTGAGAACCGTTACAGGAGGACGGGGATTGGCTGCGGGAAAAAAACAGTGAGAGACGTTTTGAGAGAAGGGGCTCAAGAGGGATACAAGAGGAGAGCACGAGGAGCGAGGAAGTTGGGGAGAGAGGACGAACTTCAACCAACAAGCAAGAAGCCGGGCATAATGTCGGCGCTGTGTCGAATAAAGGGCTCCGAGTTCAACGTGTGTCGGTGTCGTTACATTTGTAACAATGCACCACTCAAGACAATGCATGTACAGGAGTTCTCTTTTCTGGTATAGAAATATTATTTCAATGATACATCTCGCTTTCTCTTGTAACACACGGGTGGCTACTCTAGTTGGTTGTCCTGTGGTACAAAACAACTCTATCCCGGACCCGCCTGACTAGACATCTGGGGGAAAAGAGATTCAAAGCTCATCCGATTCCTCCAGTCTAAATATATGTTCTGATTCAAATTAGGGCTCTGCAATTGGATCCTCTTTAAGAGGGATGAGTGCTCCTCCTGCCCTTCTTCCCACGCCCCTGTGCTGCCCTGCCCCTCTTCCCCCTGACGGACTTCACCAGGGTCCCCTCCGCCTTCCCCACGTCCTGGCTGAGCTCAGCCGTGCAGCTTTCTCCTTTGGCAGACTCAACCGCTCTCTCACCTCCTCTGGAGCCATCGCTTTCTTTCCCCGACTCCACCAATTCTCCAGAGTCTCCAGTAGACGCGTCAATTCCTTTTACCGCCTCCACAAATTCTCCAGAGTCTCCAGTAGACGCGTCACTTCCTTTAACCGCCTCCACCGATTCTCTTGTCCTGCTGGGTTTTCCAATTGTCTCTCTGGCCTCCCCAATCGTGTCTGTTCCCTCAATGAACTTGGAAGAATCTTCATCTTCATTACATGTTTTGCCAGCTTCTCCAGTGTCCATTTCTTCAACCAAATCTGCAGGTTCTTCATATTTAGGATTTGTTTCCACAGCCTTGCTCAGATTTACACTTTTGCTCATCTCTTCAAGTGGACAACCCATCTCTTTGACATCATTTTTCAGAGCTTCACTCGCACCCTCAGTAGTGATGCTAGTTTCAACTGCCTTGCCACACTCGACGACAGGCGCACCACCCTTCTCACCAGATACGCCGGCCACCTTCTCAGTGTCAGGATCCACTTTGCCAGTTTCTTCAAGGGGCGCAGGTGAGTTTTCTATCGCATCGTTGGTCATCGTACCGACCTTACCAGTTGACTGAGCAAGGTTTCCCAAAGTATTGCCCGTAACCTCCGCTGCCTCATTGGCGACTTTAACCCCATCGGCAGATTGATCCAAACGTGGCCCTTCTGCTCCGCTTATCTTCGCTACATTTCCACTTTGTTCTCCAGCCAAACCAATCCTTTTAACAGCCCTTCCCGATTTATTATTAGCCTTGCCTCTTGTTGCAACAGCCTTGCCTGCTCCAGCAGCCGTGTCTGCTGCTACAGTTACACCTGTAGCTTTACCCATTGCAACAATTACATCTCCTGTTGCAACAGCCTTAGGTGGTGCAACAACAGCCTTAGGTGGTGCAACAACAGCCTTAGGCGGTGCAACAACAGCCTGAGGCGGTGCAACAACAGCCTGAGGCGGTGCAACAACAGCCTTAGGTGGTGGAACAGCAGCCTTAGGTGGTGCAACAGCAGCCTTAGGTGGTGCAACAACAGCCTTAGGTGGTGCAACCACAGCCTTAGGTGGTGCAACAGCCTGAGGTGGTGCAACAACAGCCTTAGGTGGTGCAACAGGCTGAGGTGGTGCAACAGCCTTAGGTGGTGCAACAGCCTGAGGTGGTGCAACAGACTGAGGTGGTGCAACAGCCTTAGGTGGTGCAACAACAGCCTTAGGTGGTGCAACAACAGCCTGAATTGCTCCAACAGCCTTAGGTGGTGCAACAACAGCCTTAGGTGGTGCAACAGCCTGAATTGCTCCAACAGCCTTAGGTGGTGCAACAGCCTTAGGTGGTGCAACAGCCTGAATTGCTCCAACAGCCTTAACTCGGGCAACAGCCTTTCCTGTTCCAACAGCCTTTCCTGTTGCAACAGCCTTAGGTGGTGCAACAGCCTTACCGGTTGCAACAACCTTTCCTGTTGCAGCAGCCTTGACTGGTGCAACAACCTTTCCCTGCGCAACAGCCTTAACTTGTGCAACAGCCTTAACTTGTGCAACAGCCTTAACTTGTGCAACAGCCTTAACTTGTGCAACAGCCTTAACTTGTGCAACAGCCTTAACTTGTGCAACAGCCTTACGTGTGCCCATGGCTGTCTTGGCAGCGACATTAACCGCTTTCTTGGTTTCCACTGCCACCCCGCTGCCCTCTTCAGCAGCCCTGCCCACTTCGGCAATCGCCTTCTTGACCTTCTGAGCCACCACCTTCGTGTTGCCGGCCGGCTTGCTTGCCAGTCCAGCCGGTTTGGGGTTCTCCGGCGTTCTCTCTGCTGCCTGCACGGCGCCTGACTGGGCCTTGCTTGACTCGACACTCGCTCCGACGCTCTCTTTAAATTTCCGCAAGAGTTCCTCCTCTTCCTTCTTCATCTGTTCCATCTCTTTCTCATAGAGGGCCTTTAAACAAGATAATGCATCGGCAGAAAGGTCAATGTTGGTTCCCGAATAACAGTTCTGTACACTCTGCAATCAATTGAGCGGTTTCGCATCAATAATGGAAATGAGATAGGAAGCTTGGCATTCGTGCTGTTCATGTAGCGCAATGGTGCCATGTTTCAGATACAGTCTGCAGTAGTTTCACAGTAGCGGGCAATGTTGCTGTGTGGCATCCCAATTGAGTAATTCGCAGGTATTTTTTTCGAATTTGGTCAATTTGGACCATGATGCTGGCACACAATAACCTGCTCTATTCGAATGTCACGGGATCTTTAAGGTCTACTGTGAAGCAAACGGATATTTTATGGTTATTAAACACCGGCAGTAATAACCAGGGCGGCCTGCTGGATTCGAACTGCAAACATCTGCAAAAAGCTGCAAAGGCACTGCCACTGAGCCACATCACCACCCCACAGGACTAGTTTTTAGAATTCCAAGCCCTGTTATTACAACTTTATTGTGAAATTAGTTACCAAGTTATTTCAAGGTGACATTTGGTGGATCATGCAGATTTGAGAAAATCCAAAATTCTCTGGGCTGTGACATAGTCAGGGGAATGCGGACTGGCAAATGAATCGGAAGTCTCTGAATCAAAAGTTTATTTCCCCGAGTAAAGCCCATTGAGTTTTACTCGACTCGGCCGGGGCATAACATCAAATGATCTCACGGACACTTCTGTGTGGACTTTTGAGTGTTCTTCCCCTTGTAATGCAAGGGGTCTTCCCCGGGTGCTGCCGCTAACTTCTACATGCAAAGCAATGCTTTAAAAAGAAATTAACCAAAACACCTCTGTACAGAACCTTAATTTAAAAATAAATAGTACTGAGATTTACCGAGGATTCCTGGTATTAACGTGTGCAATTCGTATTGATCATGAGCCAGTTACCGTGACCAACATAACACAATAGTCTAAACGCTTTCACAAAGTAAAAAAAAGTGTTGATTGGCACAAGTGCAGGGTTTTAAGAAGGCCTATCGTGCCATACCAATATTTATTCATAAGTACTTTACATAAATAACAATTGTTCATAACAGTAGAGCACAACAACAGTGCTAGCTAACAATGTTATAAATGATAATAGCAATACTTAAAGCTTTCGTGACTGCAGGAATTAATATTCTTTGGGTATTTCAGTAAAGTCACGTTGCAATGGAAACGTCGCTATATTTCAATTTTTTATTTTTTTATTATTTTTTATTAACTTTCTTTTTAATGTATTTTTATTATTTTATTGTTTATATTTTTTCTATCTACGTGACTTTACCGAAAGACCCAAAGAAGATCATAGCAATAATTGGGTAGCATGTGGACAACATGGTCAACCATTTTCAATGGAATGATGATCATAATAATGATAGTAAGAGTAAAATGGATAACCTCTTTGTACTTCTCAAACAATTGGATATTCTTCGGCTGGGAGAGGATGCACTTGGCAGCGTGTATGGCAACTTCTTTTCTTTCTTCCAAGTAATTCTAAAACACATGCAAAACAGCGTTTCAGCTCAACACTACTGCGATCGATTCATAACTAATTTTTGGCCGAGATGGCTGCAAGAGTAAAAAAGCCAGTGTCTTGTACATCCCCTCCTCCATCCGACAACCGAATAAATGAAGTTGTCACGTGAACAAGCGTGCCAATTTATTATTAAAAGCTTTTTTTTGCAGGTAAGGCCCACTGAACTATCTGTTTTTTTTTCAGAAGCGAACTGGCCATAAAAAAGTTCAACAAAGTGGCTCATCACGTGGAAATGCATTGCTGCCAGATATGTTGCAGTGACCCACGCATTTTACAATTTGGTTTGGCCAAAGATTGTAGATTTTCACAATTCTGGAATGATGCTGGTTGTAACTACCAGTGAAACATCCGTACCTAGTTAAACATTGTGGTTCGCTCTCCAACAACATTACCGCTGGTGCTGTAGCAGTAATAAATTGGCATGTTTGTTTGCATAACAACTTTATTTATTTGGCTGTACCAAGTGGAGAAGGGTGCACAACACACATTACCATTTTTACTCACGTGGTGATGTGACCCAAAAATCTATTATCAATCATGTTGATCACGACAGTGCATGTGTAAAATTCACTGCTGCAATTGTTTTCAGTCATAAAACTGCACACGTGCAAATGGCACATTTTTTCAGCTTTAAGGGTAAATTGAAATGGGTACAGGTGGCCGTGTATACCTGTAACCCAGCACTTTATAGGGGAGGGTTGGGTGAATCACACAGATTCGCGAAACTCACTCGCTACCGAGGCCACCATCTCCCGGCTTGCCAGGGTAGGATGGCAGCACAGTCGTCTTCCATGCGTTTGTCCCACTCATGCGGGGTGTTCCGCTGTCCTTGCCAACCTTCTCCACACTGCCCTGTCCTGCGCCATCTCTCTTTCCGCTCCTCGGGCCACCATGTCCAATCGCACCACAGCGCCCCCACCTCTTTTTCTTTCTTCCTCTTGATCTCTTTCCTTCCACTTGCATCACTTGCACCTTCTGACCCACATAATTGTCCTGGCTGTCTCTCCACACGACCAAACCGCGCCAGCCTTTCTCCGTCACCTTCTCTGTAATTTCTACCAACTTGAGCCTTCCTCTCACTTCTTCATTTCTCACCCCGTCCTTGCTTGTTAAACCCAACATCCACCGCAACATCCTCATCTCTGTCACTGCCATAACTTGGTCCTCCCTCTTTCTTGTGCCCCAGCACTCGGCCACATACAACAGCATCGGCTTCACCACCGTCTTGTACATTTTCACCTTCTAACAGGATGGCAGTACGGTAAGTGGGATAATTCTCATCCGTACAGGGATTGAGTGTTACACCCCACTCACACATGCAGGGTTTCTGCGGGTACTCTGGTTTCCTTCCACAAATATAATCCCTCACTAATTGAGCTGGCCAAACATACAGATATATTTACCACAGAGCTTGGACCCATTGTTGACACTGGTTGTCTGCTTTTCTGTCCATCTGTCAGGCAACTCATGTTACTCGCCTCCCTTCTTTCTCGAGGTGCCGCATAGATCACGCGGCTCTCTTTCACTCCCAGTGTTAGTGACGAGGAACGCATCACCCTCCCCTCGTCGCCCCATATTTTTTTTTTACAATTTCTGCCTGTAATCCAGCACGGTGGAGGCGAGGGTTTGTGAATCGCACAAATGTTCCGGAGCTCACTTTCCGTGGGTGTCAAAGAGGTGACATAAACCCTGGCTTGCCAGTAGAAGGCAGTACAGTTGTCCCTCACTGTAACGCGGTTCACCTTTCGCGGCCTCGCTGTTTCGCGGATTTTTTTTGTGTAATTTTGCATGCTTTTTTTCCCTGCGTACAGTATGAACGAGCATTGTGTTCGGCGTCCTGATTGGCTAAGGGAGAACCGCACATGTGTTCTGCGTCCTGATTAGCTAAGGGAGTAGAGAATGCGTTCGGCTAGCCAGATTTACAAAAATGTTTGGGCTTGAAAACAGGTTTTGGTCTTTGATTTCATTTACTAATATTGTACTTATTTTTTTAAATCTGCGAAAGTTTTAACTTTGAGAGTGTTTAAATAAGAGAGAAATGTGAGAAAATGTTAATGCCTGTCTGAGAAAAGTGTATAAAAGTGTGTGGTTAGGGGTTTTACGGCCTTAAAACATGTATAATAATTGTAAAAAATAAAGCCGATCACTTCGCGGATTTCGTCTATTGCGGGTTATTTTTAGAACGTATCCCCCGCGATAAACGAGGGACCACTGCACAGCAAAGTGCGGACTCAAGTCGTCTGTCCCTTTCTTTATGAATCAGAATATGTATTTATGGGATGGTGTTGCCCACCTCGCACGACTGGGTTTACTCTGGTTGCTCCGGTATCCTCCCACTTGCATCTACACTAATTGGTTGAAAACATCTTAATATATAGAGGATCACAGATCGTGGACAATTGTTGGCAACACCTACTCACCGCCTGGCTGCTGCCTGCCAGCCCGTCTGTGGTTCTTCAGCAATTGTGAGATGCAATTTGCACGAATTACACTATGTGAAACTAAACATTATTATAACACCACCTGCCTACCAGTAACATATGCATTGCAAAGAGTGGCTGAGTTCACAACGCTTACTTTCAAATTTTTTAAAATATATATTTGTCTTATGATCCGGTAGAATACGGTAAGTGCTACTGTATTAAAACTATCTTAAGAAAGACAATTTAGCCTCACCTGTTTCTGGAGTACGTGTGTATTCGAAGCCATGTGCTCATTCAGGATTTTAGAATCGTTAATCAAATAGGTGTTGCAGGCGTGACACCGAATCATGTCTTTAACCTCCATATCGTCATCCAATTTTAGCCGTGCTGTGAAAACAGAGCAAAAGACACATTTCTTTAAAAAATACACCCTCTTACGCATGACCAAGTGGGAGCGAATTGAGATTTGTTCATATAAAGGTTGATCCGGGACGCGGTGAATCGTCGCGTTCGGACACCGCACGGCAGATGGTGCCGTCTCCTGCGCGAGTGGAAGCCCCCAGGCGGTTCCACCTGCGGCCGCGGAGGGGACCGGACGACGGCCAACCGCCGCCCGTCCACCGAGGACCATCGGACGACGGCACCAAAGCAATCCGCCAGCTCACGGTCGGCGCCGTCGAGTGGCTCAAGAACCTGGACCTCATTTATAACATTCGTGGCGGTTACACAAATCAGTTGCTTATCTCTACAACGCGCTGTACTAAACAAGCGGACTGAAATGCAATAAGGGAAGCCTATAAACACTCCGCTCCGCTCCACACTACACAACATGGCACAAAACACCCCCTACATTCCTTACCACATCACACTCAACTCCATATACCGCTACACTACACTTCAAACTACACTACACAACACTCCATACACCACAAGACCAGCGCTGTTCCTGGATTGGGACAGGATGGCATGGTAGGGTCAGTCACAATAACAACAAAAATGATGATGACGACAATTCCTACAGCGCCGTAAGACGGCAAGCCATTACAACGGCGCTGAACAAGCAACAACAACAACAAAAAAATAAACGCGCGGTCATTAATCCACCATAATGCGAATGAGAGGAAGTGTCACTGGTGAATACTGACAAGGTGAGTGCAGGTTCGGGCGAGTCTTTAAATGAAGGCAGCCAAACTCGGCGGCAAGGATGTGCGCCGGCACGGCAGGGTGACAAACTCTGCTCCGTGAACGTGGGGGTCCGCAGCTAAGTGGCGTGAAGGGAACGTGGGAGAGAGCATCTCTCTCGTGTCGGCAGCGCAAGACTGCACAAACGCGAAAGCAGCCGCGCAGGCGGACACGCGCGCAAGGGTGCGCGAGTCTGGTGGCGTAATAACCTTTATCAGGGTCGCAGGGAATATTCACGATCGGTTCCACTGTACTTCCCCAGGCGCCCTCCTCCCTCAATCGCATCCTCTGCTTACGTTTCTCATTTCGAGCTTTCATCAATTCCTGCGAAAAAAGAGAAATGGTCACAAGACGACACACGCACCACCAACCCCCGTATTACGCGCTTAACCCCTCCCCCACAATCCAATGCGACGCGGCAATGCGATGTACCCTGAGGAGACGGAGGGCCATGGGGCTCTCGCCAAAGGACTCATCGACGATCCTCATCGACTCGGAGTGTGGCTTGCTCTTCAAGTGCATCTCCAGCTCCTCCTCTTCGGTCGTGCGAAATCGGCACATCGGGCACGACAAGAGATCCCTGCTGGTTTGGGACACCGCCAAAGTCACGTCACATGACACCAACAAGGCACCCGGCCAGGTGACTTAGCGGTAGAACAAGCGGCTTGCAGTCCAATCAGTGGGTTGCCATTTCAAAACCTGGTTTGGGGCGGGGCGGTGGGGGGGAATGACTCGACCCATTATCCCTCCAGGATCACTAAAATAAGGACCGCTTTTTTGGGGATGTCAATCGCGGTTGTCCTGAGGATAAACTCACCCCAGTCACGGGAATCACTGTGACAAAAATGCGACAGACTTGGAACGTGATGCTGGCGCAACACGGTCTCTTTTTTTTGTTTTCAATAACCTTATCATACATTTAACGTCCACTGTGAAGTAGACACCGCATAGTCACGGTTAATACACTCGCGGTATTAACCAGGGTGGACGCAAGGCCCCAACCGCAAAGCTCTACAGCAAGCGACAAATTCCACCAAAACACACCAATGACGGGTGTCTACTGCATCGTTGCACGATCCATCAACTGAGCCCCCAAGTCACTGCATTAAACACGAGGCCTACACACAGGTGAGACCGATTACAGGTGACGCCATTTGAAAGTGAGACCTCAACAGGCGAGACTCATTACGTTGAGGCTCTCGCAGGTGAGGGTCATGCAGGTGTGACTTCTCAACAGGTGAGGCTTAGACAGGTGAAGCATCCACGAGTGTGCCTCGCTAGTGAACACGTCACCAGGCATCCTTCGCAAAGAAAGACAATGCATCTCACCGGGGCTCAAATCTTGATAAAGGGAAATCTGTCCACGTGTCTGCATGGGCACAACGCTATAAAAAAAAAATGTAAAATAAAAGACTCACCTAACTTCTGCCCAGTGTCGCTTTTTTTCGCTCCCTGTAATCCAGAACACGAAAGTCGGACACTGAATTATCAACATCCGTTGCCTCCAGCAGATAGGTAAAACATTTATACACTCAATTGGCAGTATACATAGTAATCATTGCCCCCTACAGGCAGACCAATGCCCCAGGTCACTCTAGCAAATTATGCTTATTCTGGTCTCTTGGGTTATCACCTGGTGAAATCAAACCAAGACTGCAAACAACTCAGCAGGGGTTGAAGGAAGCCACAATCCAAATAGCAAACAGGGCAGCTGCGCGATTATTTTCCCACTCCGATATGAAATCAATGTTAAATTCCAGGACTATACATCCAGTACTCATAAAGATTGCGAAAACATCGTATAAACGTGGTTCACTAAACGTAAGCGTGCCACGAGCCTCCTATCACTGCAACTTTACGATGCAATAATGCTTGTCGTGCACAATGTCAGTTATACACCAACATTAATTTTATGAACTAAAATTACGATATAATAAAAGAGCTACGTCGTCAATTACTCTTAAAAACATTCAGCAAAGTACTCATTTAATGGGTAATTCATAATTGCAGAGCGCGTGAGTGAAATACCAATGTGTGTTGAACACCCTGACACAGCTTTTTGACCAAAAAAATCCAGCAAGAATCATATCAGTTGCAAAAGCTTGCATGTTAAATGTACTGGCTAATAGCAACTTATTTAGAACTTGAATTTAGATATTATTATTACTTCAGGTAAAATGTCACATACCTGGGGGATAAACGTCTAACTCCAGTTCATCCGGCCAAAGGTTCACAAAGAAATCCTGCAAGAAAACAAGATGTGGCTCGAAAGACAACCTCGCCGAACGTTCACACACTGTGTTTAAATAACAATTACGTCGCAAATGTATGCACTCAAATCCCTATCGGCCGTCAACTAACCCCAACATCTTTTCGCTGCCGATAAAAGGACTTTTTTTTTTCCAGTGTGTTTGGGGGCTCTTCCACTATTGGCTGAAGGCCCCAAGGAATTAGGCCAATTCGACGACTCGAGACAGAAAATTGACACGTTCGTTGCGGGCGACGTCCAGTCAGTACGCCGCAAGGACACTGCGCCACCGAGTCATCTGCGCGTGTCTCGGCTCGGCAAATGCGTGCGACGTCAGCGGCACAGCCCGGCTTGTGCTGTGGAAAAACCACCTGGCGCCTCAAGCTGTGCCAAAGCGGCCCGGCACGGCCACGGCGCCGCTCGGTCGTACAGCACGAAAAGTGGCACCAGGTACCTGATTAGCATTGGCGTCATCCTTCAGTTTTTTCGACGGCGTCGCCGCCGGGACCTCCGCTTCAGTATTTGCGCGCTTTCTCTCCCGGCTCAAGGAATCGGTCAGTAAGCCCGTGGTACCGGGCGTGTCCCATTGCGCTTCGTAATCCCACATGGCCATCTCCAGGTCAAGGGCGTTGGCTGCGGATGAGCCCAGGACTTGAGAAGCGGAGCTCTTTTGATCGCCGCTGTCCTTCTGCTCAGCGGAATGCTCCATGCTAGTCGACCGATCTACGATTAGGTGACTTTGAAGGTCGCATACACGCAACCCCTCAAAGCACGGTCAACGAGATGAGATTAAGTGTCGGTCCACCCTCTCGCCGTTTGTTGAAGGCGCTGCGTTCAGCAAACTGGACGCTGACGCGCGGTGAGGTTTGGTGCATTGCCGAAGCAGCCCGCCACACGCCCGTCCACTTGTCGAGCTCGCAGCGGTCTCAAGAAGCTGTGAACAGAAAGCAAACGTCAAGCTCACACAGGCCACTGCAACACGGTTTCATAGAAAAATAAAGAAAACTAACGATTATCTTTATAAATTACCAGACCTATACACAAACAGAAAACAATTATTCCTTAACGTTATTACGATTCAAAGAATATTTTTTCAATGAAGCCACCTTATTATCTGGTCAAATTTGTGTTGCTAGTACCCTCCGTCAACCGACACAGCCAAACAAATTCAACCGTCATGTGTACAAGCGTTCAACACGCCATTTATTATCTTTTGTTGCAGATCACCGATAAGCTGAAGCGCAATTCTCAACCAAATTTAGAAATGAGATACGATTGACTCTGGATTTTTATTCTAATTTATGATGCATGAGATAGTCTCAAGCGAAATGCCGTTAATCTAATTGCTGATTTTAAATGAGAATTGCTCAAAGATGAGTTAGAAAATTTACAATTGGTGCGTGGGTAAACGCTTGTACACCACGTGACAATCTAATTTGTTTGACTATGTCTTAAAGACACAAATTTGGCCAGAAAATTACGTGACCTAACCCAGACATCTTTTATAAAGAAACATTTATTCCACTGTCATTTCGGAATGATACATTTCTGCATGTATTATCTTTTTTTGTTTAACACGTAGGCTTTACAACTTTGCACCTTCAATTTCTTTCACTGCAGTCATATGAAGGGAGCTAGGGTGCCCTATAAACACAGCAGCCTGAGTTTGACGCATTACCACAGCTCACCACCTCATTGGTGAGTTATCATCTCTGAACCAGTCCTAAGAACCCCCACCAGCATCAAACCGCACTGACCAGTGTGGAAAAGTTACGTAAAAAAAGAGACAACACTTAATTGAGAAGTATCTGTGTCTTGACAAAAGGGCTTCAAAAAACATACACACACACAAAAATCGACATTGTTTCGTCTTACATGTATGTGTTGCAAAGGGGGCAGATGAACATTCAGTGATGACTCAACCAAAAAAATCGAATCGTCTGTCCTTCACGTCAGATATCCGACCTTTTCACAAAATAAACTCCCCTGGCCAATTAACCGCCTTACACCCAATGCAATATTTATGCATGGCTGTTCACTCTTAGACTTGTGCAACTAACCATCAACCGCATCTGAACCATCAGTAGGCCATAGATGGAACATTTCAGAAAAAACTACAGGAGTGCCATTGTGGCCATGCAACCCTAAAGCCAACCCAGAGAAACATAAAGACCCCCAGAGATACAGTACAGTGACCCACATATACAGTAAGGGAAACAAGTATTTGATCCCCTGCTGATTTTGTACGTTTGCCCACAGACAAAGAAATGATCAGTCTACAATTTTAATGGTAGGTTTATTTGAACAGTGAGAGACAGAATAACAACAACAAAAAAATCAGCTTATTACCTGTATAAAAGACACCTGTCCACAGAAGCAATCAATCAATCACAACAAAAATATCCAGAAAAACGCATGTCAAAAATGTTATAAATTGATTTGCATTTTAACGAGGGAAATAAGTATTTGACCCCTCTGCAAAACATGACTTAGTACTTGGTGGCAAAACCCTTGTTGGCAATCACAGAGGTGAGACGTTTCTTGTAGTTGGCCACCAGGTTTGCACACATCTCAGGAGGGATTTTGTCCCATTCCTCCTTGCAGATCTTCTCCAAGTCATTAAGGTTTCGAGGCTGACGTTTGGCAACTCGAACCTTCAGCTCCCTCCACAGATTTACTATGGGATTAAGGTCTGGAGACTGGTTAGGCCACTCCAGGACCTTAATGTGCTTCTTCAGCCATTCCTTTGTTGCCTTGGCCGTGTGTTTTGGGTCATTGTCATGCTGGAATACCCATCCACGACCCATTTTCAATGCCCTGGCTGAGGGAAGGAGGTTCTCACCCAAGATTTGATGGTACATGGCCCCGTCCATCGTCCCTTTGATGCGGTGAAGTTGTCCTGTCCCCTTAGCAGAAAAACACCCCCAAAGCATAATGTTTCCACCTCCATGTTTGACGGTGGGGATGGTGTTCTTGGGGTCATAGGCAGCATTCCTCCTCATCCAAACACGGCGAGTTGAGTTGATGCCAAAGAGCTCCATTTTGGTCTCATCTGACCACAACACTTTCACCCAGTTGTCCTCTGATTCATTCAGATGTTCATTGGCAAACTTCAGACAGGCATGTATATGTGCTTTCTTGAGCAGGGGGACCTTGCGGGCGCTGCAGGATTTCAGTCCTTCACGGCGTAGTGTGTTACCAATTGTTTTCTTGGTGACTATGGTCCCAGCTGCCTTGAGATCATTGACAAGATCCTCCCGTGCAGTTCTGGGCTGATTCCTCACCGTTCTCATGATCATTGCAACTCCACAAAGTGAGATCTTGCATGGAGCCCCAGGCTGAGGGAGATAGACAGTTCTTTTGTGTTTCTTGCATTTGCGAATAATCGCACCAACTGTTGACACCTTCTCACCAAGCTGCTTGGCAATGGTCTAGTAGCCCATTCCAGCCTTGTGTAGGTCTACAATCTTGTCCCTGACATCCTTGGAGAGCTCTTTGGTCTTGGCCATGGTGGAGAGTTTGGAATCTGATTGATTGATTGCTTCTGTGGACAGGTGTCTTTTATACAGGTAACAAGCTGATTTTTTTTGTTATTCTGTCTCTCACTGTTCAAATAAACCTACCATTAAAATTATAGACTGATCATTTCTTTGTCAGTGGGCAAACGTACAAAATCAGCAGGGGATCAAATACCTTTTTCCCTCACTGTAGGGGCCATCCATTTAGTACGCACGCAAAAATCTGTCAAAACTTGACCCCTCCCTGTATTTTTCGATTTAAAGCTTCTGTCCTACCAGACAGTCTCGCCCCCTTCACCTGATGAAGGCCGCTTGTGTTGTGGCCGAAACGTCGTGAGAATATTATTGTGTTATTTTATTTTATCAATTTATTATTTTATTCTCATTCTACGTGACTTTACCGAAAGAACCAAAGAAGACCCTCCCTGTATGCCCGGGTATTTTTTACCCCCCCCCCCTCCACCGAATCCTATAGAACAGCCGATATTTAATCCACGCAGAAACGATCAAGGATTAATAATATTAACGTGTTTAAGCAAACAGATAGTCCACCAATCGAACTAATTTGAAGGCCAATGTAGATAAATAATTATAGAGGCTTCACCCCTCCCCCCCGCCATTTCCTATGCGAACGCATTTGGGTTAACTCCTCCCTCCATGCGTACGTACTCAATGGATGGCCCCATACTGTATAGACCTCAGAGATACAAAGACGTACATTAAAGACAAGCAGTACGAGTGCGACGGTGGCCATGCAATTCAAACTATGGACCATACGGTACACCCAGAGACAGAGAAACACAGAGACCCAAAGATCGAGATACATTAAAGACGACCCACAGTAGGGCAACGGTGGCCACGCAACCCACACTATGGGCCAGATAGTAAACCCGCAGGCAAGGAGGGTCGCCACACATTTGAAACCATTGTTGGGTTTGACAGCAGTACGACGATGATGACGATGGGTGGTGTTCACACTCGCTGTTTATTTTCAAGGGCCGCACTCAAGGCCACCAGGGGCCGCCAGTGGCCCGCAGGCCTTGCAACGAAAACACTGCTGGAAGAGCTGGCGTTTTCATGCAGGATATTCTTGTACATTCCAGTATGGCTATGCAGCTATTTTTTAAACGACTTGCTAAAGGTCGCTGTTCATTTTACAAATGTAGTGAGTCCAACTGAATCGCAGACGTTGTCTTGTGAGCAACACTATTTATTCAATAACTCAACATAACAAAACACAACCTACACTTGGGTGTTGAATGTTCTTCCAGCCACGCTACGGCAAAACTAGACACGGTTCGCTATCCCGGCCCGGAGCACAAGCTGGGTCCCGGATCCGGTGTGGGGGGGGGGAGCTTCTTTAACCCGACGTGGATCTTCATCACCCGCAACACGAAGAACCCCGAGCCCCTCACGGGGGCCCCCGTTATATCGGCCTGGGCTGGGGCTGGCTCCGCCCCTCGCCCTGCCCACCTTCTAGATCTCTCGAGCTCTTTCCCGAAGGCTCCCCGAGAGCTCTTTTATACCACGTGACCGACCCAGCGGCCCCCGTCCAATATCATCCGGTCACGTGTCGGCAGGTCACCCAGCGTATCATGCCCCAACATAACCCTGGCTGGCTGACACTCTCTCACCGGGAGCTCGCACCGAACACTGTACGTTTTCAGTTTCATTTATTAGGTACTAGCTTTACTACCCGGCTTCGCCCGGGACTTGGATTCACCACGCCCGGCCGCCTTTGTCTCCCCAGTGGCGATGTTCACACACCACACCAGTTACTCGTTTGAGGCTGAGTCGACCTAGGGGAGGCCCAGGACCAGTTCAAATAATCGTCACCGGTGGTGGCCGTGAGCAGGAATCGAACTCGGGTCGCCGGGTTCGTAGCGCGGCGCGCTAACCACTACACTACAATGCGTTACGCTTCCACATACGCGGGTCACGTGACAGATTTGACGTCACAGCTCACTTGCTGTGCAAACAAAAATATGCATTATTGAGCCCCCCCCCCTCCCAAAAAAACACAAATGTGTATTTTTATAATTTTTGCATGGTGTACAGTCTGGAAAGTACCCACATGGCAAATTTCAAGTTAGTTGCATGTCGGGAAGTACACTAAACATTTTGAACAGACACAATCACAACTTTGCCTTTTATATTTATGGAGATAACCCTGTAAACCATGCGGCTCTTGACCCGGGTGTAACCGCAACAAACAAAAACATGAACAGGAAACATCTTAAAGTGACTACACGCAAAAGAAAAAGTCTTCCAGAAAAAACAGCGCATTTCAACGCTGTGTGCAAAAATCCCAGTGGGATGCAAGTCAAACAATAACAACCATAAGACAATTTAGATTAAAGGTATCAGGCCAACTCTGTACTACAACAAACAAACATGGCCAGACCAAACCGTCCTCAAAATCACCAAAATAAAGCCACGAAAACAATGTAACAGTAATCATAGGAACTGTGATTCAAATCCAACAACAAACGATATACATAACGTGTACGACCAAACCCCGCAGCCATAGCTAGCTGCATGAGTCACTCCATAACAGCAGGAGCATCAGTAGCATAATCAAAATTTCTCAATACACCTTTAAAGATCAGCACACCACAATCAAAACTCGAGATCATACTTTGCAGCGGTCATCCGGAACGATACATTTGATTTCAGGCCATTCTGAACAGCAGTGGCAGCTAGGTGTGTCCAGCTCCTCTGGAGCAGTTTTTGGTGCCTCTGCGCTGACCAGCGCTCACCCAAGCCCCGCTAGGGCTGGTGGTTCTGAGTCCAGTAAGCGGGCTACACGTAATGCCCAACACATTGGTGCACCGGGGCTTCGTAAGCCCGGCACCACACAGTGACAATCACAGCCACTGCACAATCAACCCCTTGCCGAACCTCACGAATTGTTCATATGGCTATCAACGTGCGCGCAAGAGTACATGGTGGTCCTGATGTCTTGCGACCCCCCCCCCAAATAATTAAGGGTGTCTTGATGTGAACTCCTTCGCCTGGTGTGCAGAAGGTCGCACGTTCAATCCCGACCCTGACGCCTGCTCTATATTCGGAGTCTGCGGTGTCTCTCATCCCCCGTGGTCGCGTGGATTTGTCTCCGGTTTTACCCTCCACGTTGAGAATCAACGTCACGACGCGTTCGGAGTCTTTGGCTGCTACAATAAATGTTCACACCGGGGGTGATGATGATGATAAGCCCCCAAGTTCGTTGGGATATTAATTGTGGTGGCCAGGTCGATTCTAAAAACTAGCTAACATAGCTCAGTGGGGCCTTACCTGACAAAATGACAAAAAATAATGACATTTTATTGACCCTGAACATGTTTTTTTTTCCCTTTTCATATTCACGGCTGCTTTAAGTGAATCTTAACGTAAAATGTATTACGTCTTGGAGAATACAATTGGGGTCACGGGACTTGTGGAGCACCCTGCGAGCCGGATACCACCCCCAACCCGGCCCCCTCCCCGCCCCCCACAACCCGCCTGGCCCCCCCACAACCCGCCTGGCCCCCCCACAACCCCCCCCCCCCACAACCCCCCCCTCCCACAACCCCCCCCACAACCCCCCCTCCCACAACCCCCCCCACAACCCCCCCTCCCACAACCCCCCCCCCCACGCCCCCATGGCACGCGAGGAGCGATCTTAGGCCCCCGTGGGGTTTCGGGTGTCGATTTTTAACAACACCCCGAGTGCTTGCAGTGACTGTTTAAAAAAATATATATCTTGAATACTCACACGGCGTCTTCGAGGGTTGGCTCGAAGAGAACGTAATTATCAAGATAACAACATCAACACGAAACTTCCCTCGGCGTAGAACTCCCGCATCAAACAATCGCCTCACGCCAGGCAAGACGGAGGCCTGGGACGTGCGTGATGACGTCATCACGCACGATCCGTCTAGCTCTTTCATTGAGCGTGACGTCATCACGCAAAGGTTGGCCAGGCGCCTTCATTGAGTGACGGTGATCACGTCGTGTTTAACACGTGCGACAATCAATTCATATATTATTTACACTGAGGATACCGAACATTGACATCACTGGATATCATTGAAAAAGAGCTGTTTCGCTCATCGGATTCCTCGTATAAATATCATGATTAGAGCGTGTATTACGTCATTACGTTTTTGACGTCACCGCAGGAAATTGTGCATGTCGTTTCATTCGGAGCGGCTTTGCGTTGTGACGTCATCGCGCTTTTGTGCAATATATGCAGGGACGTCATCGCGTCGTGACGCCATTCTCTCTTCGCGGGGACCTTAAGATGGCGTCGTACAGAGGTGAGCTCTTCCGTGCGCGGCTGTCTTCCTCCTTCGTAAAATAAATAAAAGTGAATAAAAAAACGACGATTGTATAATCTCCTGCGGTTCTACCACTTGGTAACGCCGCTGCCCTATCGCGTTGTGCGTGTTATTTGGCACGTCTCGATTGTGGTTAGGCAAGTCTTTGGTGACATGGCGCCAACGCCTTCGAGCAAGGCCTGAGGGCACAATGGCCCATGTGCTGTGGAGGGCCGCTTCCCGAAACGTCGCCCATTCTATTCATAGCACGTGACGACGAAGGACGGACCACTGCCCCCAAATGTCCCCAGTCATATTGTTCAGTTGGAGGCTTGTCCCCCTTTTCTCTGCGCATGATGACGACCGCTTGTGTTGCGATCGAAACATCGTGAGTTTTATTTATTTTTAATCATATTTTTATTTTCTATCTACGTGACTTGGCCGAAAGAACCAAAGAATACATATTGTTCCTGCTTAGGTAACGCAATGGGATAGAATGTGTTAGGTTTTGTTTAATTTTCTCGTGCACCTTCGCCTTGCTCCATTCTGTCCGTTTCTCGTTTTCGGTCTTTGGGTCCGTGCTCGACAATCACGATAACCTAAAAACAGTAACCCATGTATACACGATCGATGGCGAGTGCTGTTTGTTAGCCGACCGCTTGGCCCGCTGGGCCTTTGGGCCTTCGTTCAGCAATCGCGGCGAAGACGAATATCGTCAGCTATGGTCGAGCCAGCGGTGGCTGAAGGCCTCCCGCCGTGCCTCGCGAATGCGGCAACCAAAACGCCCATCCTGCGTACGAGATGATTTCATCGCTCCGCCTCCACAGCGTTCGGGAAGATGTATTATTGATAGAGTTGTATTTCAAATAAATATTCCCCCAATATTTGATTATTTCACGTACTGCATATGTTCGGAGTATTTACCCACCTCTATAGTGACTCGGGTGATTGCCAATCATTCAAGCTAATTCCTGTGTTTGACACGTTGAATCGCCATAACCCGATGCGTGGTTGAAAGAAGCTGTTTTTGTGTTGAGCAGGTGGTGGTGGTAGCTACTACCGTGGGGATAACAGTGGCAATTGGGACAATGATGGAAGGAGGTCGACAAGAGCTTCTGATGTGCAAGACTCATACGAAGGTGCCACATTTATGCAAATTAATATAAAATATATGGAAATAAAGTCGCCATCCTAAATGCAACATCCGTGTGGTTATTGTTGCGGAAGTGACTCCTGACCCCACAGATGCATGGAAATAATAGCCCCGAGCAAAAATAACGTTTTGCCCAACTCTTAGATCAGTTTGTCCACTTCTCGAAGAGCAACATGCCTTTATACTGAAGTTTCACTCATTGAATCATACTTTATCTATGTTGAACTTCTTTCGCACCGTACGTAGCAAACCGTGCTCATCAGAGGTGCGGATTGTGGAATTCCCTCGGTCCATTAGGGATTTTGCGTCTGTTAAAGTTTTTAAATCACGTCTTAAACCTCATCGCTTTGTACAGGCTTTCTCCGTAAACTTAAGATTTTATGCATAGCGCATTCAGTTTTTGTGGGCATTGCGCTATAGAAAACCCGAGTTTATTATTATTGTTACTGACGGCGGTAGGACAGACCATCCGAAGTGGAAAATGTAAAAAAAGTGTAACACTATTACCCTTCAGAATAGGGTTTTTCCCCTTTTTTCTGGCAACAAAACTGAAACCTTTTTACAAGGATTCATGTCTGCATTAACCACAATACCTGCAGTCAAAATGCAAACAAAAAACATACTATGATAATATGTGTTGTCCTTGAAACTGATTGAAAGCCGTCCCTTTGTGTGGACCAATCAGTTTCAATGCCAATGCATATATTATCATAGGGTGTTTTTTGTTTGCATTTTGACTGCAGGTAGTGTGGTTAATGCAGACATGAATCCTTGTAAAAAGGTTTCAGTTTTGTTGCCAGAAAGAAGGGGAAAAACCCTATTCTTATATTTTGGTACTGGCAAAGAAGGTCTAATTCCAATTCCGATGACGTACATGTACGTCGTAAGTTTTATCTTCAGATTCCGCTCCGATGACGCACGTGTGCACTTGCTGCTTTTTTTTTACAAACGTAACTTTTAATGGAGAGAATTACAAAGGTGTCCTTCAAGACTTCTGTTGCTTTTTCCGCTGTGCATGTACTTAATTCGTCTTCTTTCTTCCCAAGCCATGCATAAAGACAACAGAAGTGACGGTAATTACAGCACAGCTGCTGCGCTGCTGAGCACCATGCTGAAGATGATGACTTCGGACGGATCCCAGCCTGCCGCCTCAGGTGAGTCTCTGGGCTGTGTGAGATGTCGATTGGGCAACAGTGTGGTGCAATATGTCACCACATTTCTGTAAATCCTGTCGCCAAATCGCGCAGAATGCACCGGATAAAAATATGCTTTTGCACAAGATAATCGGAAAGCCAAGCTTCAACCATTACTGTTTCAAACATGCAACAGTGTGGCATACCTGTCAATGCCTTATCAGTGCCTGTCTTATTACAGACCAATTCAGATCTTTATTGGTCACCCCCGTGCCCTTACAAATCTCAATGTTCATCCTACAAAGTCCCATCGCAAGGGAGAAACAGACAAATACAAAACATTTTTTTTTCCAGTACGAATGTATGCCATATAGACCTGAACTCAATTTCCCTGTACAAGAATATGGGTAAGCCGTTTGTGTTGACAAGTATTGGATGGGAACTTTTTATTTCGCATTGTGAGGACTGACCTCATTTCTGGTATTGAGAGTTCTGTGCCAAAGTGGCTGCACTTTTGTGTCTTTCTACAGTCTCAGAATCGGGCTATCCGAAGGATTGGTCGTCGTCACAAGAGTAAGTGAAAAATCGCTCGCACGTTTACAAAGTGGGGTTTTACCAAAAGGGATTTTTCAATGTCTGCAAAATTACCAACGTGTTGTGTTCCTGCCAGCTGCAGTTTATTTTAAGTCCATATTTCAAAATGCCTCATTTGACAGTTAATAAGCACTTTTGTCTAGAGTTTTGGTTACTTTAATCCACAGTCGTGTTTGGTAGAACAGTTTAGAGTACATTGCGGACAAATTGGAAAACAACCAAGACAGGCTTTTCTCAGCGCTGAACAATCGTGATAGTTTGATTTACCTAAAGTCTTAAAATTTCATCAACCTACGTGTGGTGGTGAGCAACTGCACATGGTATAATTTGGAATGGAGCACGTTGATTTCCGTATAAAAAAGAAGCATTTTTCTATTCTTTGGGTCTTTCGATAAAGCCATGTAGATAGAAAAATAATAACAATATCGCGACGTTTCGATCGCAACACAAGCAATCGTCAGGTGAAAAATATAGCGGGAGAGCTGCTGAGGCAGGAAAAAATATATATATCCTGCCTCAGCAGTTCTCCTGCTATATGAAGATTGCTTGTGTTGCGATGGAAATGTCGTGCTATTGTTATTTTTCTATCTACGTGGCTTTACCGAAAGACCCAAAGAATATGAATTCTATGCAGTCACGAAAGCTTTAAGTCAAGCATTTTTCTATTTAAATATTTGCTGTTTGCCAGCCTGACTGTCTCGTTTGCAGATGTTGTATGCCCACCCCCAGTGTGTGTGTGGGTTGGCACCTTTCTCTTGTGCGCATTTGTAAATTCAAGTCCCCTAACAAAAAACAGGCACACTCAAAAGGAATGGCTTAACAGCTTGTTTTGTTTGTAACGTGGCTTGTGGTTGGTTTACAGGTACAGCTATCGCAGATCGAATGACTCATCACAGCTAGGATCCGGTTATAGTGCAGGCTACAGCGAGCCTTACAACAGTCAGATGCCCCGTCAAACCACCGACTACAACTACCAGCCGCGCAGTGGGCAGCAGAACCAAGGCCAATATGGCCGCAGCAGCAGCAGCTCATGGCAGCCCTATAATGCTTGGCAGGACAGGGGGCATGGCTACTCGAAGGGGCATGACTTCTCGCAGGGCACTGGATGGCAGCCGAGTGGTCGGGGCAAGCGGGGCAAATTTGTGGGCAGCTACCGAGGACGTGGCGGTATGCCCAATGCGCAGTGGAAATCTGACGGGCAGGGCTACGGAAACCAGACTGCCAGGCCTGGGCAGGGCTCTTCGAATTGGTCCAGTCAGCGCTCAGGCTCTCAGGGTCAGGCGGGGAAGTTTGACTTGCGCAGCCAACCAGCTAAGCAGACCCCTGTGAGCGGGGCCAAGGTTCCAAGTCTTGTTGGTGGTGTAGGGCAGAGAAAAGAGAGCACTGCGCCAAAGGGCCAGGTCGGCCAGCAGAGCTTGCCGGCCAAGGCTGCCCCCACTACCAAGGCAGTTGGCACGGGGCTGTCCAAAAACCAAAAGCGGAAAATGAAGTGGCTTCCAAACAAGATCAACGCGAACCCGGCGATGGTGCCCGCTCAGAAGCTGCCGTCCTCAGGCGCCCAGCCGGGGGATGGGGCTTCTGCAGCAGAGAAGGGCCACCTCGGCAAGCAGCCGGTGAGCAGTGCCGGCTCGGAGGTGGGCGGCGGCGCCTGCACGGGACCGTCTGGCATGGCCAATGTGCCGTCTGTAAGTAGCGGCCGCTTTTTGTTGTCCCTGTTTAAAGAAGTGGAAGGCCGGCTCACTCGGCATGAAATGGCCGTGTTGGAGCAACGAGCCCAGCCCTGCTTCGATCCTGGGTTCAAATCTGGGCGACCGCCCGTGATTAAACCAGGCTCTAAAGTGAAGGGAGGTGATGGTCTCAGCCAAGTCACCAGTGACCGCACAAATACGACCATCTTAAATTAGTTGTCACTCAAATTGACAGATTGAAGATGCCAGCTCTGGGGGTGGAGGTCTTGGCTTGAGTGGCATGCGATAAACTCTTTAACAGGGGGTATGAGAGCACTTTCCATTGTTGGATGAGAAGAGGCCTATTGAAATGACTCCAGAAGTAGTTCTTTGATGTCATTTTATGTGGTTCCTTCTCTGCCACATTGTGATGCTCTGCTCGCTGTGGGAGTGGTGATGCCATTGATGCAAATTTTATTTGGAGATTGAGATTGAAAAGGACTCGAGCAATTGGCCCACAGAGCCATTGTCGGGTTGGTAGTGGCTGGTGCGCCTGGCTCTTTTTAAAGATCGTATTAAGCGGAGGTGCTGCCTCGTGCTCGTCCATCACACTGGTGGCGCTGGGGTCGGAGGAGCGCCGTCATACGTGCTCCACCCTCCCTTGCCCTCCGCCGCGCACCCCCACCTCACACCCCCACCTCACACTCCCAGATTCAGCCACAGTCAAGCCTCGGGCCCTGGCGCCATAAATTCGGTGGGATGCCCGCCTTACTGCAGCCAGGGCTCGCCGTGCATCGTTTTCGGTGGAATCTTCTTAACGGAAGGCAACCTTGCTCGTCATAGCAGGGGTGCTACCCATACGAAGCGCCGACTCGGGCTCAACCAAAAGGATGGAAGTTTAACGTTTTGTTAATGAGCAGAGAGTGCAGCCCCTATCAAAGGCCTTAGCAATATTGAGAGTTTACTACTCTTGACTTTACAGAGGCCTTTGAGGGCAGAACTCCATAAATGTGGCATTGAATCAAAGCCGTTGACTGTTGAATGGACTATGAAACCCGTAGTAATGGCTTGCAAATTCGAGAGTCTCTTTAAATGTTTTAACAGTCGCTTGCTGTTTAAGGATTTGGAGATAACAGGAGTAAGGATAATTGGTCAGTAGTCAAGAGATCAGGTGGTAGGTGTGCTAAATCCATATAGTTACAGCTTGAAACTAACACCAATTGCAAATGATGCCCTGTTTTAATATAATTATTCAACTATAAACAAGCTTACATTTTTTGCTGTAATATGTGGTTCGGTTATATTTCCAAAACATTCACTTATTTTCCATTGCAAAGGCAAGTGCTGCATATAAGGTGTTGCTGGTAAGATTGTATTGGCAGGGAGTTAAAGAAGAGGCTTGCTAAGTCTAACATGAAATGTGGCGTTTTATCAGGCAGCGATGTTGAGATAGAAAGACATTGGGGGAAAATATTCAGTTTTGAGATGTCGGTGTGGTGGTCCGGTGAAGAAAATCTACCGCACAGAATTAAGAAAGTGCTAGAGGCCCGGGTCAGGAGGTGAGAAGTGAACTTGGGACAATTTGGAGAAAGCAAACGATGTGGATTGAGCGTATTGCTGAGCGGAACGGCTTCCTGGACGAAGCTGGAGAAATTATGTTGTGGAAACCGGCCGAGAGGTAGAACAAGGAAACGTGCTTGTGAGGTGACTTTAAGAAAGGCTGTTTAACAAAAACTGAACTATGGTGTAGACTGGGCGGAGGGAGCTTGAACCGAGTAACCTGGCAGAGCGCTCGATGAAGACACTTGCAATCACTTTATACGTTTGAAACGTCTCTTATAGACCTTGTTAGATTTTGTTTACAGGGGCCTTGGCCATGTACACTGTGGTTGTTGACCTCCATTCTAGTTTTTTTTTATCCCACAGTCGAGGTTACCATTCACAAGTTACTTCAGTATCAACTGATCAACTAACATATGTTATCGTTGCACTTGTTACCTTGGAAAATAGTTGCCACCGATTAAACATTATTCGGTAATACCGCTGCATTACCAGTGGGGCACAAATAACACGAACATTCAATACATTTGTCAATAACACTGGCCGGAAAAAAAGTATATCATCGGTGACATTTCGGGCAATGAGCCTAGCAGCTCAAGAGTTTTACATGCATGCTGTAAAGAAGAGGCAGTGCCCAAAACATCGCTTATTACATTTTTTTACGCCACTGTTATTGACGTATGCGAGTTTTCGACACTGGTTTGGGGTCCGGTGTTTCCCGCCTGGTTTTTCCAGCGGCGTTTCCGTAACAGCGGTAATGCTGCCGCTTGGCCGCGTTATTTTGATGCTGCAAATATGTACGACAAGTAGATCCACGATGATCATATCGTCTGGATGTGCAAAATATTGTCAAATCGTGGTTTATGTTCCTTCTATATATGTATTTGGACAAATACTTCCTGGCAATATAAACATTAATTCAAGTTCTAAATGTCAATTATCTTCTAAATTAGTTATTTTCTAAATGTTAGGAGTAACTGATGACGTGGTCGTTATATGACGTCATAATTTGTGTAGTGGATGTCATTACTTCTTTGACGTATAACAGTAACAGCATGTGCCTCTGTCGGTGTTGCAGGTTGTAAATGCAGGATTTTGTCGAGTGAACTTCAGTCGAAGAACGTTCCCGACATCTTGCTGTACAGCTAGACAAAAACAATACAATATAAAATGTGAAATACAATTCCATATAGGAATAGGTTTTACCCTTTTAACTGGCACAAAAACTGACACCTTTATTCAAGGCATCATGTTTGCAATAACCGCAACACAAGCAGTCAAAATGCAAACAAAAAGACAACTGCTTGTGTTGTGGTTATTGCAAACATGATGCCTTGAATAAAGGTGTCAGTTTTTGTGCCAGTTAAAAGGGTAAAACCTATTCCTATATCTTGTTTCTGGCAAAGGAGGTCTCATAATGTGAAATACAATTCCATAGTTATGTGAAACGGATAACAGGACAGTCGTCACATTCGGAAATTGTATATCGTATCGCGTAATTTCACGAAAAAGTAAATCCTAAAACCGTGGCAATATTTGTTTGTGCAGGAAAATCCCTACTGAATCAACTTCCCGTAGTCTTGCCTTGGGTGTTCCATCAGTTGCTTTGTTAATTATTTTTGTTTCGTGTTGCTGCCAATGTGTTGGTGCAAGTCAAGAGAGGATGGTTTAAGAGCTGACTTGTTGTGGTGATGCAGGCCGGCGAGGCAAACGAAGTGACAAATATACAGCAGTCTGGAGGCACAGTGAAGAGGAAACTGACCCAGGGTGAGCAGCCGTTGGCCAAAAAAACCAAATTTGAAGATCACTGTAAGTACGCGCGATCCGAGAACAACTCATTTTCAGTGGATGGGCGAGTTAATCCATATAAGAACGTTTCAGCATTGATAAATTAGCGCATTTGGTATTCGCACCGTTATTATGGTGCAGGGCTATCGCATGCCTTTATAGAATTGCCGGTAATTACAGTTGAGCAAATTGAGGGTAATGTTGACAATTGGACCATGAATATGGCACACAGTGGCCTCGTTCCGAACGGCGACGTGAGGGGATTTGTAACGTTGATTTTGAAGCATACTTCATGTGTTTGTACGCTCGGTGCACCCACAATTACAAGATGCACTTTTTCCCTATATTTTAAAGAAAAATGTTGGGGGTGTTACTAATGATTGTGTGTGTGACCAGATGTGTATTCCATTATTGGCAGTGGTTACAAGTTGTGATGCATCTTACAAACAAGCTGGGATTTTCTGTTCTCTGATCTAAAACACCTTTTCACGTGTATTATTATTCGTTTCCAGACTGCACACATTTTGTTTGGATGGTGGGTTTTCTTAAATTTGTCTTCGTAGCATTCTGCCAAGTTGTGCCCACGGCACAAAGGGAGAGGGGCTGCCCAACACAATTCCCACGGGCACAATTGTCTGCAGTAGGCATTGATGGCTCGTGTGTTGTGACGAGTCTCAATCGCGATGCAATTTGTACGCAGTTCCATTGCTGTCCTAAATAAAAGGTCACCTTTCTGACTATTTTGGGCTGATAGCTATGACCAGGCCATGTGTACGTATACCTTATCTTGTCATATATAGATTTTATAGAGCACCTTAGTCTAAAGTGCTTTGCAATCATACAATTGTACATTTGATTATAGTGGGGTTATTAAAAGTGGTGGTGTCGCTATGGTGACGGCAAGGAAGACAGGTGTGAGGGGTTGGTTAGGGTAGTGATCTGGGTTGGTAGTGATATGGATAGTGGTAGGGAGAGTGATAAGGGGTTTGCCTAGTTGTAGCTGGGGGCTGGGGCATGGAGTAGCAGTAGCAGGATAGGCAAGGGAGATGGATTATTACTTGTGTCATTCCCACATGCAATACAACCTGCGACTTACTGTTATGCATTGCATTTTAAAACACTTTTCTGTTTCAAAAGTTATTGGGGGTGGGGGGGGAGCTAACTGCAGTCAATTGCCAGCTCAGATCATCGTATCCAATGAGCCGCCAATCAGGTTTGGGGAAATGTTTTTTACGGCCCCCTTCAAGCCACGTCCCACTGAGCGAACAGAGCCATCGAGTAAAATATGTCCCCTGAAACTGGTTGACTTGTTGGGATATGAAGATTTGCAGTGAGCACCCTGGAGTTTTTGAAACCATGATTATTGTGCCATGTCTTACGCCTTCTAAACCTTTGTTTATTGTACATTATTATGAAATGTTTCCAGCCTTGCATACCTTTTTGGCTGGTGGATGTTCATCAGTTACACAATGTTTAAGTAATTTTTCTGCAGTTCAGATGATTCAAAGTTCCAATATTGACATTCACAAGTTTAACTTGCACAGTAAACATACGTTGAGTGTTTTTTGTATAGCGATAAGAATGCCTCTAATAAATTAAATGATCTTTAAAAATACAATCTAGATGAAATGTAACCCAGTGCACTGTTTTTTCAGCACCAGAGAGTGAAACCACCAGTATATTTGGAGGACTATGGTCAACGAAACCCAAGGGCCCTAGACGCAAAGGTATTGTGTTCGCATTACTAGTGTGGGCCATGTCACACCAAACGCTCGTCGGGTCAATACACGGACGTATTAGCGGTACACGGGTGTAGCATGACACACCGGTCCTCGTAAAACAGTCTTACGATGTCGCCGTTGCCTTTGAGTGAGCTGCAGATTCTCCCATCAGAAGCTGCCTTAGATTCAGCAGCTGCTTTCCCATTCGAAAGTGCGGTGGCACCACGAGTCGTACTCTTTTGATGCCACCGTCCGCCCATAAATTATTCCGGAAACGAATGGAGGAACCGTCCCGACCGAGTCTAGGGCACGAGGAGTCAAATCTGCCTTTGGAGCACGGAGCAGCCAATCGTCATCAGGCTGGGTGCTGCTATACGGCAACAGATTGTGAAGCTTCGTGTTCAGCCGCTCATAAAAAAACATTCGTCTTCCGGCTGTGTCGTCATCACGAGAACTGATTTTGAAGCACCACCACCCTACAAAATTTTCTGACCGGGATTGCGAATCGCGGGAAAATAATTACTGCTAAAAATGTGCTTTTATACCGCACACCAACGGTGTTCCGCCAATACGTTCACACGGTGATTTCCTGCTCAAATGAGCATTGAGTCGTTGGTGCTCCACTCCTGTTGGCAGCCCTGAGTCGTGGTAACAAATCGGGGGGGGGGGCGAGTCTTACCCATAGAACAACGACTGTTGACTTCCCCGTTTTGTCGACCAACGGAGGGAAGATGGGCTTGTCAACTTCCCCCCCCCACCCTCAACCAGGATATTAACGTGAAGCTTTCCGATGTGGGGGCTGCTCGCTCTCCCACTGAGCCACCTGGCCGTATAAGCACTTAAAGGAAATTAAATTTTATTCAATGGTCAGTGGGTGTGGTTAAAGTTTCCTCGAGTGTTTCTCCAAACAAGCAATCCCTTCACTCAAGTCTCGTTATTGTGCCAGACATGGTCATTTGTTACCCTCCTGTTGTCTTATTATCATGATAATATAATATTTAGATTTGGATGGTGTCGTTAATGCAAATTGCATCTCACTCGCTGAGGATCTACAAGCAGTGAGCTGGAATTTCCAACAATTTCCCAAGCTTTGCGGTCCTCTATATTGAGATGTTTTCGGCCAATTAATGAGTGCATGTGGGAGGAAACGGGAGAACCTAGAATAAAACCCCTAAATACGAGGGGGGTAATACTATCCCACAGAAAAGGGAGCGATAATATCAGTCCGCACTTTCCTGTATCGCCGCCTTAACCAGGAGTCGACGAGCTGCAGCTTCGGAGACGCATGCGACACTTTTTTAAAGGGACTGCATTGCGGCTTTTGAAATATTGAGTTGTTTTTTTTACCAAATTCGAAAAACATGGCTCCTCTTGTTGTATTGATTGCTGTGACCCCCTGACCATTGGGGTCCAGTTTACCATGTCCTAAGCCATACCCTGCCTTGGCAGAATGAAGATCATGAATGTTGTGAGCAGAGATTAACATGTTTATTTTGCTTTCTTTTTTTTGCATGTCAACTGGATGAAAGGTACCAAAAAGTGAGTCTTGTGTCTTATTAAAATGGGTTGTGACTGTGTACATGATTATTTCACCCACAGTGTTAATCAGGGTGGTTAGCCCGATTTAGAACTGCAAACCTCAGATGGGTTGTGATTGGAGGCCTTTAGTTGCCTAGTCACTTAATTATACTGTACGTGGCATAAGCACAATTGCCACGCTTTTTTTTAAGGTGCGCTTGGAGAAAGTACAACAAACACAATTGGCATGAAACATGTGTTTTACCATATATACATGCACGCACTTGTAACAGTCTCCCCAAAACTTTGCAGGAGGGTCCTGCTATGTGTTCGTGGTAGGGGCAAAGATGGCAAACTGGCCTACACTAAATCTAAAATAACATCACAGGCTCTTTCATGTATTGTCCACTCTGAAGTGGGCAGTGGCGAACATTTGTATGGGAATTACACTTGCAGTGTTAATCAGGGCCACCTGCCAGATTCGAACCACGAACAAGCAGCGTACAATCAATGAACGCGCTATCGCTGGGCGGTGTCTGCCTCCTAGTGCAGAAACATAAAAAGGTCAAACCAATTTGCTATATTCCAGCAGTACCAGGTGAATTGTACTGAACGCAAATAACTTTCCCTATGGCATGCAGAGTAGACTTTCCTCAGGTTGAAAGCATTAATTTGTGAGCAGTGTCTCGTCTCTAAGGGGTGACAATAACTCATACCGAGGAGCCAATAAATATATTTAAAATGATTGTGTTGCTTTGAGCATATTGTCTGATATAAAACCAGGACAAATTGATTGATGGTTTGCCCGAAACCTGGCAATAATCCGGCACCAAAAATATTTCAGCTTGCTGGCCATGGCGGTACCGTCGTATGCAATGCGACGTCCTGATTACGCATGACGTACAGCTTGAGACTTAACATTATTACTAAATATATACTTCGGCGGATGAATGCATGTTGGAGAGCATTGAACAATCCACGTATTTGCATAATTCTTAATCCTTGGGTTCATTTTTTTTATTGGGCCGTGTGCGGTGGCGCATGCCCTGTAGTCCCCACTTCTCTGGAGGCGCAAGTTAGGTGGATCACGTGGATGTGAGAGTTCTATACCCAGTGGGCTGCGAGCTGACGAGACACCAGTATAATAATAAGTGGATTTGTGAAACCATCTCTGCCGATCTTTGAATATGATCCCGTTTTGTTCATGTCCATGTACCTTGATTTCCTCCCACAATTGTAGTCGTTAATAAAACTGACCAAACACCCCCAATCGATGACAATAATTTTAGAGTTTTTAGCCTTCTTCTTTATTGGGCATATTAATAACAACTTTTTATTGATGCTTGTTTCGCCACACCTGTTCTCTTGCTCAGGCCACAGTATGGCTGCAGCCTCTGCCAGATCCGCACGAACAAAGCGTTCTTCATCAAGGGACACTTGGAGAGTGTGTACCACCAACAGTCGCTCGCTTTCCTTGAAGAGGAGTTCGACAAGGATGTCTCCAAGTTCCTGCATGTCAGTGTAACCAGCCACCCACCACAGCAGCCAGCCATCCGCAATGACACCCAACCAGTCAATCGTCCAGCTGCTCTGCCACAACACCCACTCAGCCACAACATCCACTCATACACCCAGCCACCACAACTCCCACTCAACCACAACATCAACTCCGCCACCCAGCCACGACAACACCCACTCAGCCACCACAACACCCACTCGGCCACCCAGCCACCACAATACCCACTCAGCCACCACAATACCCACTCAGCAACCCAGCTACTCGGAGACCCACAAAACCCACCTAGCCACCCACCTGCCCAGCAAGTGCTTTAGTTAACTTGTCCGCGCACACCTTTCAGTGTTACTACCCTCAAATGTGTGAGTTTTCTAAAGGATCTCTTCTTGTGTCCAATTTTCTACCATGTTGCCGTACGTATGCAGAAGCTAATCTGGAGGAAAGCCGATTTTGTTATGAAGCGGGGAAACGAATCTAAGTGCGTCCTTGGCAACAGTGACGACATCTTCACGCGGACTTCAAAGCGAGCAGAAAGAGGTTGGTTCTATGGTTCAGTGGTGTACTGTGGCAAAGGCCAGCAGGATGCATTGTTAGTGGGGTGTGTGTGGTAAGGTGGCCTTTGTTTTGAGGGGGAGCAGTAGGTTAGCGCACTGCACTACGAACTCGGAGACCAGAGTTGGATTCCTGCTCGTGGCCAACACCAGTGATGATTCTCTGAACCGGTCTTGGGCCTCCCATAGATTCTCTCAGCCTCAAACGAGTTCCTGGTGTAAACATCGCCACTCGGGAGACAAAGGCGGCCAGGTGTTGTGCTCGCCACCCCCCCCCCCCTCGTGTCATGCCGGCCTTCATAGGTGCTCGCTTAACAGCACGTGCCCCACAAGTCTGTTTACAGCGTTACAGGGGATATTTATCTTGTGTTGTGGGTGCCAAGGTGTTTGAAAGGTTTGTACTGAGATGCGAACTGGAGGGTGCAGATTCATGTTTAAGCCTTACATTTCATAGTTGTAGGCACGTCAGCCTTAGTAGGTGCTCGTCACCCCCATGGAGTATAATACAGTCTGTTCTATAACGCGGAAATATAGGGTAGAGCATAGTCTTCAATAACACGTGAGATGCGTAACATCTAGAGGCATCCAGCAGCATATCCCACCTTGTGTGATGCTATGCCGAGGCAGCCATATGACCGCTTATTCCTACTTCCGCGACGCAGTTCCGTTCCCTCAATAGCATTGTATCCGATTCGCATCCGTGTGATAAAAAAATGTTCCATAATACATTCATCGCATTGTAGCCAAATTGCCTTACGGAAACGCGCGTTCTCGGAGAACAAAGTATCTCTTTCCATTGCACAACTGAGCCGTGCCGGTGCCATTCCGAGCCTGCACTCGTGTACATAGGGCAGTGTCGCCGCATCCTCGCAGTTTGTACCCGTTGACATCACAACGAACGACTCGAAACGCACGTCAGCAACGGGGTGACGCTTTGTCCTCGCGTTGCAATGACTGACATCGCACATGCAATAAATGCATCGTCAACCCCGGCCCCGACACCTGCGGGGTCCCGAACCAGATTCACGTATGTCTTCTTGTTAGGCCAGCATATCATGTGTTTTGATTTTGACTGGCTCTGCAAATAACCGGTGGAAAAAAAAATACCTGTGCCATCAATGCCTTGTGCTGGTTCAGCTCAAACCAGGCAGTGCAAAAGAAGTGTAAGATCATCGTTTTGTGTGTCTGTGTGTGTGTGCAGAAGCAATCGTTCTGGATGAAGCACTGGAGATGAGAACAGCAGTGCAGTGTCATGCCTGCAATATGTTTGTGCCGTACACATTTTCAATGGTGGCTCAGCACCTTGAATCTCCGGAGCACCAGCAGAATAAATTGGTGTGTGAGTATTGGACGCTGTGGCTTTATGGTTAGCACACTGCAGATGGAAATTAATCCACTTGCTGTGCTGCCATACTCTGGCAAGCCATGACAATGGTGGCCTTGATGCCTAGGGTAGACACAAAATTTACATTAAATTAACTTGTACAGGAACCCCATGCTGTAAGTTGTAGTGGGGGATTCCTGTATATTAAATCGCTTGGATTCTTTTTCCAGGTTGTTGACTTCCTGCCGCAGCCCTAATGCCAAATAAAAAATATAAAAGCACCCTAAACCACATTTTTTTAAATGCAATAACTTTTACTTACCAAAGTTTACTTTTCCAGTTAATTATTTTTCCAGTTCAGGGGCACCTCGGTGGCGAGATGTTAACTGCCTCGCCTGGTATACAGGAGCTAGTGGGTTTGATCCCGACGCCTTTATAGTTGGAGTTTGCATGTCTCTCGCCGTGGTCACGTGGATTCTTCACCGGGTCCTCCGTTTTTTCCGCTCCACATGTAGAAACATTAGTTTAGAGTATTTGGCTGCTATACATTTCCACCATGATAAGCCACTTCATGGAGCTATAGTTTCTGGTCTGGTCGCTGATGAAAAGAGCTGTATAGTTCAGTTGGCCTTGCCTGGTAAAATAAAAATAGCTTCGTTTGTTTCTTCCAAAATGTATCGATTGAATCTCAATTAAGAGTTCCTGCTTGTCTCTTTTCAAAGGTGTACGTGACTGAAAGGAAGACGGTGGTGGTTGCTGTTGCCAAGAGCATTCTGGGAAACGACAACAACTCCGTCCTCCTCAAGCACTTCAAAGAGGTGTGCACTTTCAATCACCTCGACACAGCGTGTCGTACACACACACCTGGTTGGACAACAAAGGTTGGATTCACAGTTAGGCTCTCTAATGGAGCCATCCACACGCTCACCACTCTTCACTTATAAATTCCGTCCGGTGGCCGCACCCAGAAATCTATAATAATAAATAATAACATGTATGTTTTGAAAGGCAATATTATAGTTCGTCATGATTGATGGTTTTATTCTGACTTTAATTATGGAATTTGTGCTGAAGATGGCGCAATTTCAAGCGAAACACCCGTCGTATCTAAGTGCCAAATTTGGATGCGAAGTTTTTCAACTTGCCGTCTGAGCTGAAACGATGATAATCGATGCATTTAAATGCCTGTACGCTTCACGATTTTATTTGTCTGGCTGTCGTGTTTTGGAAGGTCTTGCAACGACAAATTTGGCCAAATCATTCTGTGGCAAAACCAAACAATCTATTATCTCACTGTCTCTGAGCCGTGTCTTGTCTCAAATAATCGGCAATCAAGGCCTTCCATTTCACTCTGCCCATGATCACTCAAGAACCTTGAATTAGCTAACTCCCAGTTATTCATTTTCTTATGTACTTAATTCGCCATGTTCCCCAGCTTCAGTCGCTCTATTATGATTATAAATGTATAACGTACCCATAATTCCATCGTAGCACATCGAAATAAAAGCCCTGTTCCAAGTTATATATTGTTAAATTATTCACAGCTGCCACAGGGTGCTGCCACATGGTGCTGGCACAGCGCCGTGGCAGCTGTGAATAATGAGTCACAAGATTCAGACTTTCCTGGGTAAACAGGGTAACGGTAGTCATAGTAATGGTAACATGCCAGTTTAGCTGCTCCACTTGATCATGTTGCAGTGCTGATGGGGCACCACGGTGGCGAGATGTTAACTCCCTCGCATTTTGCATGGAGTTTGCACGTCTCTTTCCTCGTGGTCACGTGTATTATTCAACCGTTCCTCTGATTTTTCTGTCCTTATTTTAGAAACATGACTTTAGAGTATTTGGGTACTATAAATATCCACTTGATAAGCCACTTCGTTGAGCTGTCATTTGTAGCCAGGTTGGTTCTGAATAAGAGCTCCATAGCTCGGTGGGCCTTACCTGGTGAAATTAAAATTAGTTTAGTTGAAATCGAATAGTTTAGAGATCCTTTCCCCTACCCTGAATTAGAAATGGCCATGGCCTGCCCTTAAGGGGTTGAGGCATCTCGGGGCCCAAGTTCTCACGGGACAGGGTTAGACTCCATCTGAACCGCCCATAGTCACACACATCTTCGCACTCACCGATAATCTACATTAACAAATTTCAGCAACTTCGGTGAGGCTTAATAAACAAGCGTAAAAAAATAAATGCAACTTTAACACCACCCTGGCACAGTTGTCTCTGCTGCTTCATTTGTGGTGTTACCAATTACATGAGAAGTTTAAGAATGTGTGGATATGCAGTTGCACAGTGCACCTCCACATTTCTTTTCACGTTCGCGGTTGTGCCACAATCTACGAAGCCACAGAACGGCTTGTATCGACACTCATTGATGGACTTTCAATTCATATGATTTCCTTTCTTTTCTTCCAGGGCAAAGAACCCTTTAACAACCCCGAATATGAACACCTCTTCATTTTCTCTGGCCATGGCAAGAAGCAGAATCCAGTGGTAGTGGCCAGCGAAGAAACCAGCAAAGAAACAGCCGCTAAAGATGATGCAGAAGCCGGGGAGGCAGCAGCCGAGCTGGCTACGCAGCAGAGCTCTGAGCAGACACCCGCTGATGACGGAGAGATGCAAGGCACTGCACAGGAAGGTGCAGACGATGATCTTCTGAAAGAAGACGAGCTCGCAGAGGCTGTCGCTGGGGAGCCCAAGTTGTCGGAGGGTACCACTGCTGACGGTGTTTCAGGCGAAGATGTGGCCAATCCCCCTTTTGACCATTTGGAAACAGAAACGCAGGAGGGCGATCTCGGAGGAGATGGAGTTGTTGTTGACTACGACGGCGAAGAGGCGGGGAGCCACGGAGACTGCGCCGCCACCGTGCCGGCAGGAGAAGAAGAAGAATCGTTTCTTGGCTCCGTTGCTCAGGGCGATGCTCAGGAAGGGCAATACGTAGATGGTGAGGAGTCGGCGTCTGCTGTCAAGACGACGTCTGTCCTGGAAGAGGCGGTGTCGCTGCCCGCAGAAACCCCTCCATTTTTTGAGGACACCATCCCGTCCGATTGGAGCCTGGGGAACGCGAGCGTGGAGGCGCCCATCGTCATGAGAGGAAGAGGAACGGCCGCCGTTGCCCGAAAAAGTTCGTACGTGACGCGGAAGGCCGGGAGGGGTCGTGGTGGGGCCAGCAAATCTAAGGCCACATAGAGGGCCTTGTTTCAATGCACAAGTTTATTTGCAAAATGTGCAGCCCATTTTTTTTATTTCCTCCAATTTCTGCCGTCATCGTTTTCAGGTCTTTGGTATGCACGTTGGACGACGGCATGCATTACTGAAGTTGGGCCACATGTTTGCAATGTTAACTAATGCCCCATACACACGTCTTTCAAATCCGGCCAGTGCCCTAATGACATCGTCGCAATGGGTTAAGTGCTCTTGTCACGCCAGCGTGTTATATTGTTCATCAGACCCTTCACTGTCATTCTCCCTGTGTGAGTGGTGGCGTGGTTTTGTTATGCATGCTGAACGTCTTTCACACCGAACGTAGCCAGCCGTGCTAATTGGAGGTGTGGGGGAAGGACTACAAACTAAAAACAAAAAGCAGTTCTGAAGAAATCAGCTTTCAATCCAGATTTTTTTAAGTGAATAGCTCCAGTGGCTTATTAATATCGGAAGGAAGAGCGTTCCAGATGGCCCCAGAAGCGCCATCTGAAAGTGCGCAATGCAGTCACCAGCTTTGTTCGATGGTTAGCCAAAAGTCCTTGTGAGAATGACCAGAGTTTCTGTGATGGTTAATGATTGATTCAGGATTTAACACATTGCAGTTTTCAGGATGTACAATTTGGTTTTTAAATGGACCAAGATTGTTAAAATAAGCTTTTGATAAAATGTTAAACGTGTTCCATATATCAGAATAGGTTGTTCCGTTTTATCTGGCAACAAAACAGATGTTGAGATGTTAAAACAACTGAAATGTAATGAGGGTGGTGTTTGATTGATTTGCATGCTGCAAAGCGAGTTCAGTTTCCTGGGTTCGAATCCTGGCAGTACATGACATCAGTGGCTATTGATATCTGAAATCCTGTCCTTATAGATTGACTGAGCCTCCGATTAGGCACGGTTTGCTAACGTACGGTCCGAAAGAAGTTCAACTATATTCATCAGTGGAAACCTGTGCGTGCTACCGATGATTTCACTTCCACTTTTTCACTTAACTACTAGTCCTTCAATAGCTGCTTCCCTGACATTTTGTAGGAAACAATGGACCTGTGTTTAATACCAGTAGATTAAGTGTATTCAAGAGCAGATGGAGTTTTTAATTGTATGCTGTTATATGTTAAAAGACTAATGCGGAATTCAATTATCTTCCATCATTCAAAGTATTGATTTTCAGAATCGCCCATAGTTTCCTCCTATATCTGAATTTAGGCAAGTAACATTTATCACATTAATCTACAGTGTAAGGGGTAGAAGTTTTTAATAACTACTTGGTAAAATATGACCTGGTTTTATTGTTGTTCATTAATGTTTTTTTGTTATTCTAGATTATTGCGGAGGGGTTGGCGCTTTTGAATGTTTAATTTAGATGCTTTGTTGTAGTCCATGTGTAGTCACGTGAAGTAGATTTTGGTTTGCCACGTGAGAAATCCCAGAGACTAGGGTGATTTATTTGCGAGTGAGATCCTGGGGTCATGGAAATTACAATGCAAGTCTGTACACGTGGGAAATTCAAAGTTGTGTCCAAAGGTAAATGTATTCACGAATAAATTCCTTCGAATGCAAGCTGACTCTGGCTGATTATTTTTAGACTGATCAAATCCAACTACAAATGCGGAGTTGCAGTTTTACTTTTTTATCATCTCTGTTCATTGACTTTGGTGCACTTGCTTAAGCATTGCGCTCACCAGCTTAAAAACCAGGCTACAGTCTATATTATAGACTGCCAGTACACTCACAACTTAATTACCATTATAGATTGCCAGTACACTCCGATTAAGAACCAGGCTACAGTCTATATTAGTGTTAATTTTTATTTTATTTTTTATTTTTCTATCTACGTGACTACCGAAAGAACCAAAGAATATGAATGCATCTCAAGTAGAAATGTTAAAACATAAAGATGGGAAACGCTCTAGAGATTGCGTGATGAGGGCACCGAGACAGACGAAAGAGGGGATGGGTGCCTTACCAAGGCACTTCACGGTAGCAAAAAAGTTTTTAGAAAATTGTACTGGAGGAATGAAGGCATAAAGATACATTGGAGGCTATAAAGTTGGGGTTGATCTGTCGGCGCAGCTATCATTGAAGGATCAACAGTATGTCGACCTCGGGCAATAACTGAATGTTGATCACGACCCAAAATTAAATAAAGCAGCAGAATGGGATTGTGGGTTGTTTCTATGTACTTAACCACTCCGAATAGCAGATAAAATGATTGGTGGGAAAAGTTAAGTGAGTAAGGTCTGTTGCTGTACATGTCAGTTGGACATCAACAAAGCAGCTGTGAAAAGTTCTTGGTATTTTGATGGACAATAAGTCCTCGCTGAACGCTGTAGGTGCGTCCCTGAAAAGCACCGCGTTGAGCGAAAAATACGTTGTGCTAAAGCAATTTCCCCATGAATGTAACGTTTGGCGAGATGGCAGGGACAATATCTGAGGGTACTCGGTCGTGTCACTTATTCCACTTGCGGTATCACTCCGCTCAGCCGCGGAGCTCAAAAATGTAGTTCGTCAGAACCCGCGTTATAACGTTGCGCGTTCCACGTTATAACGAACGCTTTCAGCGTTGTGCGAAAGTGTTGCCGAATGTAAGAACCGCGTCATCGTGAAAATGCATTGTGCGGACACGCGTTAAGCGAGGACTTTCCGTAGATGTTAAAGAAAGTTGCTCTTTTTTTTTTTGAGTTCACACTTGGTGGCTCTCCCAGAGTCGGCTTGGTGATCCCGCAGTGCTGGCCCAGCTGGGCCAGGATGGAGGAGCGCTTGAACATCCTCCACAATAGTGCAGTGCAATTCCCAGCATTGACCTGCAGGTCGCACTAGTGACGTGCTTCAGCGCTGCCGCCCATCAAGATGTCCTAGCCCGGGAAAATCGGTAAACTAAAAATAACAAGAGCCATCGGGTTTTTTTTTTCGAATTCGGTACAAACAAACCAAGAAACACCAATATTGTCAAGAGCCGCGATGCTGCGCAGGATGAATACGAGACGGCGCTTCCGTAACGGATAACGTCACGAAGCAGGTTTTTTTTTTTTTAAAGAGCCTCCTGCTGCTCCGGGGCTGAGGGTTGCCGATCTCCAACCCCCCCCCACCCACCCATGCACTGCCCGAGCCCGTCACTGGCTGGAACGCGCTCGCTGTCAGGGAGCGTGCGCACGTGTCCTCTCGCCGACGACGTCCTCCACCACCACCACCATCCAGCCCTTGCCCATCGACCGAAGGCCTCGACGTCTTCCCCTCGCCGCCAGCGGTGGCTGTGCACGTGGCCTTCCATCCAGCGCGGTGGCGGGTCGCGCAAATGTCCCTTGGCCCCGTTGGCTTAGGCGAGGTGGCGTGCCCTGGCTCGCTAGCGTGAGGATAGTACAGCAAGTAGGCTCATCTCCCCATCTGTCATGGGAGACCCAGGGGTTTTTCTCTCCGGGCGCTCCGCTTTCCTCCCGCGTCTATAAAAACTCGTCGTAAATTGGCTGACGACTTTAAAATGCAACAGAAACTCCAATGCGGGACCCTCCTTAAAAGAAGTCATCAAAAAGTCATATAATTTTAAATGAGAAGTCCCGGACTTCTAGGATTGCATTAGTCTCCATCCTAGAATCTCAGTCGGATCGGGAAGAATGCTGGCGAACAGAATGGAACAATGTGGATGCCCAGAATAAACACCTCATTTGAGACCCAAATATCGCATCTACTGGCTTTGACATCCCTCCGAGACACCGGTGTAACCATCCACCGCACCAGAGTATCATCGACAGCCCAGTGTGCACATCTTCATCAGTAGAAAATAAAAACACAAACCACAGCATCGCGGTCATGCAACTCATCGAGTAAACTACTGTATAACTACTGTCACGAAAGCTTCAAATCAAGATAGAACTACTGTAGTCTGCACTCCTTCTGTAGAGGAGTCACAAAACTACACAAACTCTCTCCCGAAGCTGTCTCGTGGCTTGCAGATGCCGCGAGATGTTAACTACCTCGCCTGCTGTACAGGATGTCGTGGGATCGATCCCGACACAGGCGCACGTACGCGCGTGCAGGGGCGGCTTCTCGCGTTGGGCAAACTTTGCCGTAAGGGGCCGTCCATAAATGACGTCACGCACCTAGGGGGGGGGGGGGGTCAGACATTTGTGACGATGTGTGACGAGGAGGGGGTTTGAGAAATGTGACGTCACATCAAAATGTGCAACTTTAAATAAAATATAGACAACACGTTCTACTTAATTATATACTTTTTAATCAATGTTTTCTTCTGCAACATCAGAGTGCAGCGCCACATTAAATACGCACTACAATGACAATAGTTTAAAGCGATTTGAAGCATGTTTTATTTTCAAAATGGAAATATGGTTTTGGGCGGTGGGGGGGGCAGAGCTTTGTGACGTCATTTGAGGGGGGTCTCACTTTTTGTGACGTCGTGTGACGAGGAGGGGGGGGTCAAAAATCGCGTGACGTCATTTATGGATGGCCCCAACGCCCCGGCGATGCATCCCATTCCCCTCTCTCGCCCGAGCGTGCTTCTGCGTGCTCCTTCTCAGGTGCTCCTTCTCAGGTGCTCCTTCTCAGGTGCTCCTTCTCAGGTGCTCCTTCTCAAGTGCTCCTCAGGTGCTCCTTCTCAGGTGCTCCTTCTCAAGTGCTCCTTCTCAGGTGCTCCTTCTCAGGTGCTCCTTCTCAAGTGCTCCTTCTCAGGTGCTCCTCAGGTGCTCTTTCCCAAGTGCTCCTCGCAGTGCCAACACTTCAGAGCCCCTTTTGCTCGGTGGAATCTTCAGAAATTATCAATGTAAAGGAACCGCACGCGAAACGGAAATCACAACTTCGTTTGGCTACATTTCAACTGTGACAATCATGAACAAGTAAGTCCTCGTTCAAGACGGTGGTAGATGCGTTCCTCCAAAGCCCCGCTTTAAGCGAAAAACGCCTTCAGCGAGAACGCAACGACAGTTTATCATTCCGGGTACCGTATCACTCCGCCCAGCCGCGCGGCTCAAGAAACCACGTTATTACAGGGTGCGTGTTTCGCGTTATAGCGGTGCGTGTTTACCATTCAGCGAATGGAAGAGTCGCGTTATAGCGGTGAGTGTTTAGCGTTCTGCGAATGGAAGAGTCACGTTATAGCGGTGCGTGTTTAGCGTTCTGCGAATGGAAGAGTCGCGTTATAGCGGTGAGTGTTTAGCGTTCTGCGAATGGAAGAGTCGCGCTATAGCGGTGCGTGTTTACCATTCAGCGAATGGAAGAGTCGCGTTATAGCGGTGCGTGTTTAGCGTTCTGCGAATGGAAGTCGCGTTATAGCGGTGCGTGTTTAGCGTTCTGCGAATGGAAGTCGCGTTATAGCGGTGCGTGTTTAGCGTTCAGCGAATGGAAGAGTCGCGTTATAGCGGTGCGTGTTTACCATTCAGCGAATGGAAGAGTCGCGTTATAGCGGTGAGTGTTTAGCGTTCTGCGAATGGAAGAGTCACGTTATAGCGGTGCGTGTTTAGCGTTCTGCGAATGGAAGAGTCGCGTTATAGCGGTGAGTGTTTAGCGTTCTGCGAATGGAAGAGTCGCGCTATAGCGGTGCGTGTTTACCATTCAGCGAATGGAAGAGTCGCGTTATAGCGGTGCGTGTTTAGCGTTCTGCGAATGGAAGTCGCGTTATAGCGGTGCGTGTTTAGCGTTCTGCGAATGGAAGTCGCGTTATAGCGGTGCGTGTTTAGCGTTCAGCGAATGGAAGAGTCACGTTATAGCGGTGCGTGTTTAGCGTTCTGCGAATGGAAGAGTCGCGTTATAGCGGTGAGTGTTTAGCGTTCTGCGAATGGAAGAGTCACGTTATAGCGGTGCGTGTTTAGTGTTCTGCGAATGGAAGTCACGTTATAGCGGTGAGTGTTTAGCGTTCTGCGAATGGAAGAGTCGCGTTATAGCGGTGAGTGTTTAGCGTTCTGCGAATGGAAAAGTCACGTTATAGCGGTGAGTGTTTAGCGTTCTGCGAATGGAAGAGTCACGTTATAGCGGTGAGTGTTTAGCGTTCTGCGAATGGAAGAGTCGCGTTATAGCGGTGCGTGTTTAGCGTTCAGCGAATGGAAGAGTCACGTTATAGCGGTGCGTGTTTAGCGTTCTGCGAATGGAAGAGTCGCGTTATAGCGGTGAGTGTTTAGCGTTCTGCGAATGGAAGAGTCACGTTATAGCGGTGAGTGTTTAGCGTTCTGCAAATGGAAGAGTCGCGTTATAGCGGTGCGTGTTTAGCGTTCAGCGAATGGAAGAGTCACGTTATAGCGGTGCGTGTTTAGCGTTCAGCGAATGGAAGAGTCGCGTTATAGCGGTGCGTGTTTAGCGTTCTGCGAATGGAAGAGTCACGTTATAGCGGTGCGTGTTTAGCGTTCTGCGAATGGAAGAGTCGCGTTATAGCGGTGCGTGTTTAGCGTTCTACGAATGGAAGTCACGTTATAGCGGTGAGTGTTTAGCGTTCTGCGAATGGAAGAGTCGCGTTATAGCAGTGCGTGTTTAGCGTTCTGCGAATGGAAGAGTCACGTTATAGCGGTGCGTGTTTAGCGTTCTGCGAATGGAAGAGACGCGTTATAGCGGTGAGTGTT